ATGAGGATATTGAGGAAGCCTCTATCCATCATTGGATTCAGTCGACAAGCTTCAACTCTTCGCCTTTGTCACATGAATCATGAAGACATGTCAGGCTTGAGAAGGAAGAACAATCAGACCTTGCTACTACTGTTGGACACAGAGCTACCAAGAATGTGCCTATGATTGAGGAGGTCGAAGATGAGGATTCAATACAAAATGTGTGGATTAGATACAAAAGCTCTGTAGCATCAGAGTTAGCTCAACAAGAGGGAAAGAAGAAGGAAAAGAAGCCTGTAGAAGAGATGGTGTCAGAGTGGCTCCATGACTACCTCAAGGTCTTCTCCGAAGAAGAATCTACTTGATTCCCCGAGTCTAAGAAGTGGGATCATAAAGTAGATCTCAAGGATCCTAATGATCTTCCTCCCAATGCGAAAGCATATCCTCTGTCACCCATCGAAAACGAAGCATGTGAGAAGTGGCTCAAACAAGAATATGATTTAGGATGACTGAGAGATTCCGAATCTCCAGTAGCAGCTCCTTTCTTCTTTGTTGCCAAGAAAGATGGAAAGCTCAGACCCTGTCATGGACTATCAGAGGTTGAACGAGAAAACCATCCGAAATGCATACCCTCTCCCTTGTTCTCAGGATCTTATTGATCGTCTTTCTGGTGCAAAACTCTTTTTGAAAATGGATGTTCAATGGGGTTACAATAATATTAGGATGAAAGAAGGAGACCAGTGGAAGGCCGCTTTCAGAACCCCTTTTGGACATCATGAACCAGTCGTAATGTACTTTGGCATGACGAACTCCTCAGCTACTTTCCAAACTATGATGGACCAAATCTTCCAAGATCTAAAGAAAGGAAAAGTCAGTTGTAGTCTACATTGACGACATCTTGGTTTTCACCAACAATGATGTAGAGAAGCATAGGAAAGTGGTGCACAAGGTACTACAGAGACTGCAGGACAATGACCTCTATCTCAAACCGGAGAAATGTTCCTTTGAAAAGAAAGAAGTAGAGTTTCTTGGTTTGATCATTAAAGATGGACACGTCTCTATGGATCCGGTCAAGGTTAAAGGAGTTCAGGAATGGCCCACTCCTACCTGTGTGAAGGACATTCAATGATTTATGGGATTTGCGAACTTTTATTGTTGATTCATTCTCGGATTCTCAAACATTGCCAGACCCATGAATGAGCTCATCAGGAAGGATGTACCATGGGAATGGATGGATAAGCAAGAGAAGGCTTTCAAAACTCTGAAAGACAATTTCACCTCCACACCAGTGCTAGTTATGCCAGATGCAAATAAAAAACAAAAGATAGAAAGCAACACATCTGACTATGCTACTGGTGGTGTACTTTCTCAGTTGGAAGAAGACGGACTATGGCACCTGGTGGCCTTTTTTAGTAAATCAATGCAGGATGCAGAGAGGAACTATGATATCAACGATAAAGAAATTTTAGCTATCATCCGTGCATTGGAGGAGTGGAGGCATTATGTGCAAGGCACACCTCATCCAGTGTGGGTACAACAATTCTGCTGGGTGCAGAAAGTGTTGGGTTTTGTTGCCTGCTGCTATACCTGCAAGGAGGTGCATTTGACCCTAGAGGGTTTCTGGACTAGAGCTAGGTAGTGCTCAGAGAGAAAAGTGAATCAAAAGAGCACTGCTCATGGTGGTGGCTCAAGAAGATTGATTGTTTACATAAGCAGTAAAAATGCGTACATAAACTAAGTAAAAACCATCAATACAAGCCCAGAGTAACATAACTCCCTACACCGGTAGAGATTTGGACAGACCACAAGAATCTCGAGTACTTCATGACAAGTCAGAAGTTAACTCGCAGACAAGCGAGGTGGTCCTTATTCCTTGCAGAGTACAACTTCACACTGCAACACAAACCATGGAAGGTTAATGACACTGCCGATGCTCTGTCCAGGAGGCCAGACCACAGAGGGGGGGTAGAAAACAATAATTCTGATCGCATGCTTTTAAAACCCGAGTTTTTCCATATTTAAGCTGCAAAAAGAGGTCAGATTCTGATAGAAGGAGAACATTTGCTGTTGAAGCGTATCAGAAACTGCACCAATTTAGATCCGGAAGTCCAAAATGCTATCGAAACTCTGAAGAAGGCCCCTGTACAGTTGAGAAGAGGATTGGAAGAGTGGAATACGGAGGATGGACTCATTTTGTTCCAAGGACTGGTCTATGTTCCCAATAATAAGGAAATACGTCACTCAGTGTTAGAGATCTTCCACAACTCGCCTGCAGCAGGACACATGGGACGTGCCAAAACTCTTGAATTTGTCTCACAGAACTATTGGTGGCCTCAGATGCAGAAATGGGTCAATGACTACATAGATGGGTGTGATTGATGCAAGCAGATGAAGGTGTTACCGTCAAAACCCCACGGACCTTTGAAGCCAAACGAAATTCCAGAAGGACCATGGCAGACTATTAGCTGTGACCTTATTGTCGATCTACCCATCTCCCAAGGCAAAGACAGTATTCTAGTAGTTGTTGATCGCTTCACAAAGCAAATGCATCTTGCTCCAACCACCAAGGATGTTAATTCCAAAGGAATCACAGACTTATTTCTCAACCATGTATGGAAGTTGCACGGAACACCGAAGAAGGTGATTTCGGATAGGGGAACACAATTTGTGTCCAAGTTCATGCAGGAAGTTTCGAAAAGACTAGGAACCAAGTGGTCCATGTTGACAGTGTATCACCCTCAGACCGACGGACAAACTGAACGAGTCAATGCAGAAGTAGAACAATATCTCCAACTCTTCACATCATACCGTCAAAATGACTGGGTATCGTGGCTCCCTATTGCAGAATTTACACATAACAATTCCATTACAACTACTGGACATTCCCCATTCAAAACCCTCTACGGCTATAACCCCGAATTCATCATTGCTCCCAATTCCTCTAATACCGTCCCTCAAGCTGATGAGAGAGTAGCCGAAATGAAAGAAGTGCAGAAGGAAGCCAAGGCAACGCTAGAAATAGCAAATGATTGGATGAAACATTTCTATGATCATGGAGTGAAAGATGCACCTATATTGAAAGTTGGACAGAAGGTTTGGCTAGACGCCAAAAATATCAAACAACGGCGTCCAAGTCAGAAGTTGTCAGATCGCCGTCTTGGCCCCTTTGAAATACTTGAGCGAATAGGCAAGTTAAACTACCGGATCAAATTGCCGCAATCATATCAGATTTACCTGGTATTTCATGTGGGATTACTCACACCCCACAAAACTTCCACACTGACGCCTCGAATCACCCCCACACATCCACCCCCAGATATTGTCCAATCAGAAGAAGAATACCAAGTAGAAAAAGTAATATCCAGCAGAAGGCATAGAGGGCAGCTACAATACAAGGTACAATGGAAGGGGTATCCATTGGAAGAGGCGACATGGGAAAGTGAGGAAAATCTGAAGAACTCCCCCAGATTAGTCAGCGAATTTTATGCCATGAACCCTGATGCTCCAAAATCACACTGAATCACTTGTTCTGTCATTCCAATTCTACAGACACCCAGTTTCCTTGAATGGAGACAAAAAAATATCCGACCATCTTACATTCGCGAGGACGCTCATTCTAGAAAGGGGGTAATGTCACAAATTCCAAACATGAACCATTTTTCATTCCTTGGTTTTCCTCCAGCTACTTCTAGTTACCAAACCAATCATGTGACTTCACTTCCTGTCACATCTTCACCTCTTCACATATCACCCATTGCTTCTCCGATTGGCTCCCCTACTCCACGGGCTAGAACGATGTCGCTTCCCAAAGAAGAATCAGTCGGATCTTGGGTTTCTATTTAGTAGCTGTCTTACTCATTTGCTTATATATCATGATGTCATAATCAGTCATCTGCAGTATTGTACGACTCTTTTCTCATTGGCTGATTTTCTTTCACACTCAGATATCTACTATTCAATGTTATGTATATAAGTAGGTTAGTTAGCGTAAGTACTCCTTAGACTTAACCTTTTCGTTCTCTACAGTTGTAGTAGACCTAGACGTTCACGCTCAAATCCATCTTGTTCTCATCATCATCTGTGACCGAGTCCTAGTGGTTGTTGTCTGACTTTACCATTCAGTGAACTCAGGTCATAACAGGCAGGCAGCTTATATACCCATCTAGTTACAGTAGTCTACTTCATGTGTTGAATTTGTATTGACTGTTGACAGGAATCTATTCCACTCTTCATCATCTCATATTCTTACATAATGGCCTTTAGGATAGTTATCTGAAGGGGTTTTTTTGTGAGTTCAGGTGAAAAACCAGATAGATTTGAGAGCAAATGGGGACGCCAAAGGGCATCATTGGTGCTGTTGAGCGCGATGACCTCGAGGGGTGTCCAGGGTCTTACTTGGGGTGCCACTCAGTGTGAGACTAAGAAGCAATTGCCTAATCTCTTTATGAGAGGTCTGCAGGTGCAATGTCGAGCCCTGATGCTCTAGAGAAGGAAGTGAAAGGAAGGAAGAAAAATTGGTTGTACTGAAACATAGCGGTTGCATTAAGCATGGAATGAAAATGACAATGAAGCTGTTGGCAGATTCGGACACCAAGGTACGAGACGTACAGCCATAACCTGTCTTGTCGGTAGCAGCATGTCTCAGAATCAGACTCGAAATAGTACTAGTCATACATTTTGCGCTAATGTAACTTGTACAGCTAGAGAAATATGGATATCATGTAAACTTGGAGATGTGAGAATGGTATATATGGTATCTGATTTTTTAAAAAAGATCCGCACTATCGACCAAGTAGATCAGTCAAAAGTATAGTCAAGGCGAAAATCATAAAAGCTGAAAAGAGTGCTGCACTGTGGCCCACTATGATATGACGACATATTGAGCTACCTGCACGGCAAACAGCACGAAGATGTCTCATTTGATGGTGTGGTTAGCCGTGCGCACCGTCACTAAATGTATCATCAGCCCGACTCAATAAAAGTGAATCATAAATCAAGAAATGCCTTTTCAACAGCGGGCACTTCTCCTGGGATGGCTGGATGGGACACGACATCAGAACCAGCATAAACACAGTCCATCTTCACACCCAGCAGTGGATGATTGCTCGTCCCTTTTAAGAGTGTCAATACAGCATCCTCGTGATTATGAAAATGCCATACCAGCATGACAATACGGGGTCCCATCCTCCTTATGACCCCACCACATCATAGGCAACCACTCATCCACAAGGTTGGCGAGCGTCTGGAGGTGCCCGTATGTGGCTGGCTGGGGGCCGTGTGGTTGGCGCAGTGAGGCGGAAGTGAAGACACATGCAAATATCAACAGTGCTATACATAAGTTGGAGATCTGCACGAGTGTGTGAGGATGTTGTAGCGACTGTCGGACAGTAAATGCAAACCTGGTTTACATACATGATTACACGGAGATCCCCAATTGTGACCTTTGAGGAGGAAAACAGGAAGAAGAATGACAGCCCAAACATCCAGTCTGTAACATTAATTGTTCAAGAAAACCAATCAACGATAATCGTGAATGACGCACATAGCATAAACTTCAGGACAAAAAGGACAAGACCGAGGCGATTCATGAGAAATGCCTTCAGCGGGTTCATCATGTGAAGCCCATTCCTTGTTGCAGCACATCTCCACTGCATTTCATTTTGAATGATGTTCACAATGAGGTCCGAGCAATGCAGCCCAAGTGTCAATGGTCCCTGGATAACCGCCTGGATGACAATGGCCACGATCCACGTCTGAACACTGACACCCCCCGAGGGCATGATAGTGTAGATGAAGGAATAACCAACTTTCCAGTCAGTGAATGACCACGATTTGGACGGAGTGGGGGTGTTCTGTTTGCACCTGACAAACACAGCCCATCCAGCACATGCCACGACGAGCACCCAAAGAGACAATACAACTTTTTGGATGCTACGGTGAGCATTCCACGCTGATGGCTGTACCTCTAATGGTTTTGCTGGACCTTCAACTATATCCAGGTCGACCACGCCACGCATGCACCGGGAAGACACTGGAGTCAACTGTGCGTGGTGTACTAGAGCAGTGATGAGGTCAAAAGGTGAGGAGCTCCACGTCAATATTTCGATGGATCGCATCCCTGCAAATGCGATCGCCACCTGCAGAAGAAGTGCGATTCCCAGAACGAGGCAGGCCATAGTGTCAATATGATATATCATTTTACTGTCATTGAAGTAAATCCGTGATATATCCCTGGAGTCGGCTTACCAAGGCAAATAGTTTAGATGCCATTACAAATGATATATCACCATGTACCCAATATGCACTGCCGCAATTTTGGCAATTTTGAAACTCAGCTTTTGTCATTCCAGGCATTTGGTCACCTCCTCATGTCAGGCCTTCTCACACTATTCCCACACTCCGCATTTTCGCATTTTTAGCCACCTTACTCCACAACACCCAAAACATGACCCAATATGGTACATCCCCACAATTTCAATTATTCCCACCCTCCCCCTACATCATTGCAGCTTCACCACCACACCACAATAGATCCCTGTGCATATATAAGTAGCAGTTTAGTATATATATGCACAGGGATCTATTGTGGTGTGGTGGTGAAGCTGCAATGATGTAGGGGGAGGGTGGGAATAATTGAAATTGTGGGGATGTACCATATTGGGTCATGTTTTGGGTGTTGTGGAGTAAGGTGGCTAAAAATGCGAAAATGCGGAGTGTGGGAATAGTGTGAGAAGGCCTGACATGAGGAGGTGACCAAATGCCTGGAATGACAAAAGCTGAGTTTCAAAATTGCCAAAATTGCGGCAGTGCATATTGGGTACATGGTGATATATCATTTGTAATGGCATCTAAACTATTTGCCTTGGTAAGCCGACTCCAGGGATATATCACGGATTTACTTCAATGACAGTAAATGATATATCATACTGCCAGGATATTGTGAACGAGGAGAGGGAACCCTATGATGCCCCCAAACTCTTACCAGGCGAGTGAGACTGAGGTGTAGGATATGATGAGGAGGACGGTCATGAGACCATTAAGAAGAGCACCGTTTGGGCTGAGCCATCTGCGAGCTGCGGTTATAAGGCGCAGATTCGTGCTGAAAATAAGCCGGGACTCTGAGGCTAGTGCAGAGCGCAACGAGATACCGTGCATTAAGCCTATAGACTCCGTGCATACAGTGACGATGAAATTTAGTGTCAGGCACAGCATCTGTAACTGCAGATTGCTGTCATCCTCCGACAGCAGATGAACCATACCCGAAAGTCCGCGAGTAGAAATAATAACAGTGCCTCCAACGATGCAACAGCAGCTGATGATAGCCGAGAATGCCACTCCAGCGAGGACATATGTGCGATTCGTCAGACCGGGGTTATAGAAATGGTTTCTAGTCACAGTAGTGGACTAGATATCATCGAGTCGGTGTCAGGGAGTGCGTCATCTGCAAGAAGACTAGATGTACTCACAGTCTTCCAATCTTTTTCCATTGGTAGGGAAGAAGCTGCCATAAGAGAGGTCATGGTGTAGAGGGTCAGCACATTATGGCCACACTGGGGCATCTTAAATACGATTTAACACACCTTTGACATACCTCGTTGTCACATCACCTCAATAAACAGTACTTCGAAACTGAATCACATCTCCACAGCTGAGTTCATTGGAATGAAGCAATTTCGGGGAGTGCCGCTAGTCAACATTCAACGTTCCAATATCAATGTACTAACTTGTCGAAACGTCCTGTTCCACCTAATCGCTTAGTACAAAGTTCGCGCTCCTGCTAGCTGTATTAGTCTCGATATGGGCTTATTAGGCCTCCAGGCCTCATGATTTGTGGTAATATATAAAAAAACGATATGTTCTGCACCTTCTTTACGTGTGGTTTGTAGGGTGCTGGCTACAGCACACCGCCATTGAGCGCCTCGAACTGGGTGATTTGGTGGAGGATGAATTTTAATTAAGTACTTACTAGTAGGCGTGACTGTAACAGGTATCGCGCTTGCTGTCAACTACGGTATCTTCGTCCATGGTGCCATCACACCCTGTCGTATTCACAACACAAACGCCCGATTGTGAGTCCTGTCTTTGGGTTGTGTGAAGCAGCCTAAATACTTCACAGAACGTCCCCGATTGCTACATCGACAGACCGCACCGTATCCGTATGGAGGATGGCTGGGGGATCTTAGGTTTGGCACCAATCCAATCGTCTGGAGTTGGGTCAAGTAGTCTTCGGTTTAGCGCCTTGACATCCAGACACAAAGGCGCGAGATCCGTCAGGCTCGAAGTCGCCTGCATTCTATGAGTTAAATCGCGAGCAATAATTTCGTATCACTCATCCCAAGTTGCGAGTCAAAACAGGAACTGAGTAGACCAGCATTAAATATGGTCGAGCTGGTTGCAAGTGTTGTTTGTTCATATTAGAATTCAAAGCCAATACGCGTCACTTAGTGCACCTTTACAGTTACACACTCTACTACTCAACTTGTCCGGCACTCTGCTCCTTCCTTGTGTACTTCAAAATCACAGTTACACTTCGGCGCTTCCAGCGCTTCCTTACATGAAGAGAATTCATGCGTATCACGAGGGTCAGCTTGTGTAACCGCCCGCGTTTTCTGTCGTCGCGCGTGTCGGTAGTGAGTGAATGTTCATTGACGCCTACAGTGTGCCATTAACTCCACGAGGCGTGATCGCTGTTATATGAAGCTCCGGCCTTCCTGAACCATTCACCCTCAGAGATCCTGTTGGCTGATAGGAAGCTACTCGGAAACTGTGGAAATGAATTTCAATTATGTACTGGTCCTACTGATCTGACGAAAGGTCGAATTGATAAGGGAGGACCGACACAAGCGTACTTCAATTCATTTGCGGACGCGATGGGGGATAGCGTAGATGGAAGGGCTGATGGGAACCTTCAGAAATGGAATTTGCGCGACCAAGCTAACCTGATCTGATCTAATCGGTTGTCAAAGGGATGTTCGCCTGGGTACTTAGGCCTATGATCATCTCGGATCCTGCTACTTAATGCAGTAAGTATAATCATAGGATCAGGTGTCCGTACCGTACTGCCCTAAAGTGATTCCTATCAATGTCTGTGCAACCGAACTCGCCGCGAACCTTTTCGTAAAGCCCCAGGCCCCAAGTCGCACGTCTACCAGGGAAGGATTTCTGCCCTTTTTTCCTTCCTGCTGTCTCGCCATGACGTACGTTGCGAATACTGTTCCCGCTGATCACCCGAACTCTATCCGCTCCGAACACAAGCAGCATGATGAGGAGCGGCTGGAGGACTTAGGTCCAAGTCTCAAAAATGTGCCAACGCTGACGCCAGAACAGGAGAGGAAACTGTGGAGAAAGATTGACTTACGGTTGATGCCTATCCTCAGTTTGATGTACCTGCTGTCTTTCCTTGACAGAGGTGCGTGGTTGTCGTAGTAGGTATATATAATGCGTTCCTTACTTCCAAACAGGTAACATCGGTAATGCGAAGTTGGACGGGCTCGTCACTCAGCTTGACCTCACAGGAAACAGATATAACATAGCACTGGTATGCAACATGTGTATTGTTCACCGAATTATCATCTTACGGCTGGACGCAGACGATGTTCTTCATAGTAAGTGTCGTTATGCTGACGAATTGTCGGTATATTCTGAAAGACCATGAAGCCATACGGCCTGTTTGAATGCCCCGCTAAGTTCGTATGGGGCCCGAGTTGTTGGTTGTCTACGCCCTGATTGCAGTCTTTAGCCTTGTTCTCAAAGTAGTCAGACCATCCAGGCGAGTGGTTATGTCAACCTTTGAATGCTGCGTGAATAATTCATTTTGTAGATGGCTTCCAGCAATCAGTGTAGGTCTTGTAGTATCATGTGTGCTGAATTCGTTTGACATACGATAGTTCATTTGGGGGATAGTCATGTGCGTCAATCAGTCATGACATAGTCTGAAAATTCTGAGGGATCTATCGCCAGGACGCTCATGAGTTTAGTGAAGACGTAAGATTACGCAAATTCTCGCCATATTTTTCACTTGATGTTGACCTTGCGTGTTAGATACCCTCAGCTTGTTGGAGTGCGAGCCTGTCTTGGCTTTGCTGAGGCAGGTTTGTTCCCTGGTGTGACTTATTAGTGCGTATAATTCAAGAATTACGTGCAGAATTCTGCTGATGTATCTGCAGTCTTACTTTGTGGTATCCAAGACACATGCTACAATATCGAAGTAAGCTATCCCACATCTACTTGTCTGTTTTGGCATGTTGAAGTGTTCTGCCAGTTGGCTTGTTTTTCGGCGCTGCAACAATTGCGGGTGCGTTGTCTCACTATGTTCATGGGACTTTAATAGCAAAAGAAAAATTTAGGTGCCTTCTCCGGTTTACTCGCCTTTGCGATTGGTCACATGGATGGCATGGCGGGACTCGAAGGGTGGTCTTGGATCTTCGTGAGTTCATTTATGATCAAAGACCGAAGTTATGCTCAAATTTTGCATGCAGTTGCTTGAAGGCCTTGCAACGATAGTCGTAGCCATCATTGCTCTTTTCGGTGAGTGCACCACGTATTCAATCACACAGAGGGCTGACGTATATGATCACTCAGTGTTGGTAGACTTTCCGGACACAGCTGAGTTCTTGACCCCGGAAGAACGTGCTTTTGTTGTCTGGAAGAAGAGTAAGTCCAGTGGCAGATCCTGAGCGTGCGGATGTGATTTAGGTTTCTTTTAAGAATACGACAATTCGTCAGTGGGCGAGGAAGAGAGGTTTGCGGTGAGGCACATCTGGGCCGCATTCGGGGACTGGCAGGTAAGATACGCATTATTACGAGTGTCATCGTGCAATGCGCCTCAATTAACTGATTAGGTCTGGCTTCATATCCTCGTTTTCTTCTCAATCATCGGACCTCGTAAGTGACACCTTTACAGCTTGGAGATCTCAAACGCTGATCTGACGCACTCTTAGTGTACGGTATAACCCTGTTTCTCCCGTAAGTCAGTTGCTAGATCTTTGAAGATGGTATTAAAGATGTTGGTGCCAGAACTATCATCCAGAGGTCTGTTACCCCAAGCTGATTGTCATACATGTGCTCAATCACATTCAGCTTCGGATACAGCACACCGATCAGCCAGTTGCTCACTGTGCCGCCATATGTCGCCGCAAGTCAGTTTTCTTACCCATCTGCAATCTAGCGCGTTAACCCGTTGCATTTAGCTATCACATTGCTCGTTTTCGCATATTACTCGGACAAGTTGAAGATGCGATCCCCCTTCATTCTTGCCGGCCTTGTAATGTGTCTCATCGGCTTTTCAATAAATATTTCCACCGCACCCGATGCTGTCAAGTACTTTGGGACTTTCTTTATTGTGATTGGTAGCTATGCAGCGACACCAGGCGTAATTTCCTGGTACGACATTGTCAGTCGCGTTATGACCAAGCTAACACATGGTAATGGAGGCTCGGGAACAATCTCTCCGGCCAGTACAAGAGAGGTGTCGGCATGGCCCTCCAAATCGGCATCGGAAACTTCAGTGGTGCGATCGCATCCAACATTTATCGATCGCAAGACTCGCCTCGGTTTATTCTCGGGCGTAAGTCTCAATCCTACTTCGTTGCCACTCGCGCCTGCTGACCCGCTGTTTTTCAGACGCACTGGAACTGATGTTAGTCGGGATTGGATTCGTAGTTTTACCAATTATCGTCTTCCGTTACAAGAGGATCAACGCACAGCGCGATGCTGCAGAGCGCCTAGTGATAGAACGGGGAGAGAGAGTGCAATATTCGGACGAGGAATTACGGGAGTTGGGAGATCGTGCGCCTGATTTTAGATACACGTTGTAAGTGATAACGACGGTATAACCTCATGACTTGGTATCGAGGATGCGACGTGTTTTACCAATCATATTTATTGTCTTCTTGGAACCAAGCCTACGCCAACTGAGCATGAGGTATCCTCGGGGTATCATGTAGTTAGTCCTGCAAATAAAGACCATCGAGAATGGTAGATACTGGCAGTAATACCACTACTACCAGACATGTCAAATGACGGCTGTGGGACTTAAGCAAGGGTGGCTTTGGCAGTTCCAGACATTGAGAGACTTCAAGTTGGCCACTTGTCGCCGGGGAACGGCTACTCTGTTATCGGGACGAAGATAGGAAGTGCCATCGGGATCTGCGGGGGCGCCCCAGAGGACGGCTGGCATCTCGAGTAGATGCGGAAGAGGAAGCTGGGGTATGTTGGGCATGTTGGGCATGATGCCTTGAGGCTGGAGCTGCGCAAGCGTTCGCTGGATCATACCGGCGAAAGACAGTGTCCGTTTCTCATCCGTTGCATTAGGGGGTATCTTGGTATCTGTATATTTGCTGCGCAGTTCTGGCGTCGGTTCCATATGAGATTCAGCGTGCATTTCTTCTGTGGTATCATGCGTGCGTCGACGGAAAGTACATGGCTTGGTCGCATGGGGAGAAGATGTTTGGTCTTGTTAGAAGTGGAAGCCCACGCTGAAGCGACCGAATAGCTATAGTGAGCTCAAAAATATGGTCCACAGTGCCCACAATATTACATATCTGTCGATTTATATTCAATCTCTGGAGAGTAGCATGCTAACGGTTGAACCGATGGTGCTCCTGTCTAGCTGTGCATTGGCCGATGTGGACTGAGCACTCACCACAGTCCCGTATTGTTCCCCTTTACTGGATATTAGCCAGCAGACGATTATGTAGGTGTTGTTGAAACTTGACATTAGAACCAAAGTAAGCGACAGACAGGAGCAAGGATTAAAGGTCCGCTGGTCCCGGAAAGCACCGGACCGTTCTTTTCATCACTATCCTGCTGCAGCCAGACGAGCACCCACTCGTCCTATTCCACCACCATACTCATCCATCGCTCCACATCTTAATTGTTTGGAATCCTAAGCCTTTTCACAACGTACAGCTTGCCTCCAATCAATCCAAAATTCGAATCTTTGTACGTGATCCCTCAAGATAAACATCGCCCATATGATTTTAACCACACCCTTGAACGCAGCTACATAGTACTTTTCTGAGTTGTTCCATTCTATCACACAATTTGTATCACTGTCCTGAATGAGTCAGGATCAATGTCAGTAACATCTCTCGTGCCTCTCTCTCTTTGACCACATGTAAACAGATCCTCGATCGTTTGAAGGAACCTGGGAGAGGCTGTCCCAGCTCGCCGTCAAGGGTGCCGAATTTGACTCCCGTGAACGCCAGCCCCATCCGAAATGTTTGAAAGGGACTCGGGTGAACCTTCTCAATCACATCCACACATTATTGGACGACCGAGAGAAGAGTCGACTTATTTGGCTCCATGGCACGGTGGGGGTCGGAAAGTCTGCCGTTGCATTCACTGTAGCTGAAAAGATGAGAGGTCTGAAAGTGACAGAGCAGACGAATGTCGAAAAGCGGCTTGCGGGAACATTCTTTTTCTCGCGCAAGCACACCGAACGTTGCACTACTGGATATTTCTTTGTGACGCTTGTCTACCAGCTTGCCAGCAATTTCCCCGGCATCAGGGAGGACGTGAAAAAAACCATTCATGACAATCCCGCTCTTCTAGATGCCAACAAATCTCTCTGCGACCAGATGGAGGCGCTTTTTCTCCAACCTCTCCGGAGGCTTCGACTCAGGCTACGTGGATGTTCGCCTTTGACGTTTGTCGTCGATGCTCTTGATGAGTGTACCTCCGAGCCCGAGCTTGCTGACCTCATTCTTTTCCTTGCACGGGCTCTTCGTGAGCCTGATCTGCCCGTGACGCACATTCTGCTCACGAGTCGCTCGGAATCGCATATATGTAAAGCCTTTCAGAACGACGAGGTACGCTCGCTGGTGTGCGAAATACCCGTGAAAATTTCTGGGGAGGGCATTGCTACGATCATTTCGTTAGACGGCGCCGATGTTGACAACGACATCTATGTGTTCTTGCGGCATTCCTTCGGAGAGCTGCAAAGTCGGCACCCCCCGATTTCCCGCAGCCATCAAAGGATCAACTTGAGCGGCTCGCGAGTCGAGCGGGCAGACGTTTCATCATGGCGTCTACGATGATGAAGTTTATTGATGATGAAGACAACGATCCTCACAGTCGGCTTCAGCTGATGCTCGAGCTAACGAGTGAGCTGCTACCAGGAACGGAGGTTTACAAGTTATACGACTGTATCCTCTCCACATGTGCTAACCCTAGGCGCGCATACCTACACTTGTCCATTGTTGGTGCCCTTGCGAACCCTCTGCCGATATCACAAATCTCGAAACTTCTTGGCTCTGGCCTGGGTAGGGATGTCGAGACAGCACTGATGCAGCTACGGTCTGTCATGGATATTCCTACCGACAGCAGTCTCCCCGTGAATATCTACCACTCCTCTATTCGTGACTATGTTTCAGACCCCTCAAACTGCAGCCTCCCCCAAGTATACGATATGCCATCGCCTCACTCCCTACTCGCATATTCCTCTTTCCGCTTGATGATGAAAGACATTCCAGAAAGGGCGATCCTCCTAGATGCGCTCTCAGAATTGAAGAGGCATAGCTATGCCATGCAACCACACGACCCCCAAAGATTAAAAGACTCATTAGCCTTCCTCGTTCGGCGACAAGAGCCGTTGTCAGTCCTTACCTGTATGCTATGGCTTAGGGGACATCGCAGTTCAGATTTGCGATCTTGGTTAGAGACGCTGGACGGACATGCCTGGCTGCAGACCCAAGGACGGGAAGACTGGCTGCAGACCCATGGCGGGCAAGATTGGCTACAGACGCAAGGCGGACACGACTGGCTGCAGACCCGGGGAGGACGAGATTGGCTGCAGACCCAGGGCGGGCATGACTGGCTGATGACCCAGGACGGGCATGACTGGCTGCAGACCATGGCCGGGGAAGACTGGCTGCAGACCCACCCCTTGGGCATGCTAGAGTCGCTGCAGATCCAGCACTGGAGCATGCGGGACTGGTTGCAGACCCCATGTGTGCAAGACTCGCGGCAGACCATGCGAGCGCATGCCTGGCTACAGACTCCGCGTGCACATGCCTGGCTGCGGACCCTGGACGGGCGACGGTGGCTACAGACCATGGATGGGCGACGGTGGCTGCTGACTCCAGCCGGGCGAAAGTGGCTGCAGACCCTGGATGGGCGAAAGTGGCTGCAGATCCAGGGAGGGCAGGCCTGGGCTGCCTGGCTGCAGACCCCAGATGGGCGAGAGTGGGTGCAGACCCCAGCCGGGAGAGAGTGGCTGCGGGCCCATGGTGGGCAAGCCTGGCCGCAAACTCCAGATGGGCAACAGTGGCTGCAGATCCCAGCCGGGCGAGAGTGGATGCAGGCCCAGGGAGGGCAGGCTTGGCTGCAGACCCTGGCAGGGCAAGACTGGCTACAGAATCAGGGTGGGCAAGATTGGCTGCAGACCCAGGGTGGGCGAGACTGGCTGCAGACCCAGGGCGGGCAAGATTGGTTACAGACACCCCATGGCTAAGCATGGCAGTCCACTCCTGCAGCATCTGTCTGGGTGATGATAGAAGAATTTTCGAGCACATTGGAAGCAATCAGTGAACAAATCATTGTCCCAGAGTTGCCCTTGTTGCCGGCCTTTCAAGTGGTCCAGCTGTTCAAGAACTTGCCAGATTTCTTGATGTTTCCGACATTTCTGGCATTAAGGCACCAGGATCATTTCACTTCTGCATCACTAGAAGGTCTTTCCCCACCACACAGGGGAATCATCCATGCTATGAATGCCTTCGTGACTTTTGCAAATGAAGCACGAGAACAAGGTCAATTAGCTTCCAATGCTCTCAAGTATGCATGTCAAAACTGGGCCATCCATCTTTCGCATGCCCCCAATCCATGGGATGCCACGCTCCACCATATATTCCAGGCTTTCTGGAATCGTCATCTCCTCTCCTGGCTCGAAATGCAGTGGTGTTTGAAGGGTCTGCGGCCTTGCCTCGTTATTTTATCTGAAGGGCTGAAACTCGCAAAGGTATGTATTTCTAACCATTCTTGTCATTCAGTAGCAAGATCCTAGAAACTGATATTGCCTTGTTCCTTGTCCTTAGCCTAGAACCGTCCACCTGCAGCCCAATCAAGTACCACCGGTCATTGATCCTCAACCCCAGAAGTCGACAATCCAAGCATTGGTACCCACTTCCACTTCCGAAATGTCGACGAGGGAACTGTCAAGTCCCATGCTTGCTGCTCCCACAGAACTTGTCGTGGCCGCACATGCGGGGGTTGCTTCTGGGTCTCGCCTCATCCAACTCACCTCGTGGCATCCCCCCTCTACTCCGTCTCCTACACTACCATTACCAGCTGTTATGGTCCCTTCCCCGAAGCTCCATACCGCTATGTCTCATACTGGCGCATCCAAAAAGCGCAGGTCAGATGAACTTCAGCTCGATAGTGGTGGCGCATGCGAATCTGCCGTCCCTACCCCCACAAAACGCCCGAAACGAATCAGGTAGAGCTTTCAGCCAAAGGCAGGCAGAAATGACAAGAGCGCCAGGGGGTAATACACTCTTTTCTCACGTCGGACCCTGACAGCATGATATAGTCCACGACTCGTCATTAAAATATTCTGTCAGCACCGATCTACAGTTTAATCTCGATAGTCATGGACCAATGAATTCAGGCAGGGTGTCGGCATTGTTCAAGGAACACAGGTACAAGTAGGAATACGTTATCTGAGCCGCTATCCTCAATAGCATTACTATACTCGATAAGCATACATACGCCATTGAACAGCAATCCTACATCAAGTAGTCATGCCGGGTTGGATAGTGTACAAAAGTGCTCCTCGACGATAACAATCATGTCAGATGCAATTTTTCAACTACGTAAGAGGGTGCGCATATGTCAACTCTAGGATATTCATGCACGGATTCCAGTCTTGAGAGAAAGCGTGGTCTTGAGAGCATGAAGAACAAAACGAACGCCGTGGTGGAGAGCCCACAGGAGAGAGACTGAAACGAAAAAAAGATCAATCATGTATCCCGATAGAAATCGAAATGCGGCGTACTGAGTAAAATAGGAAGCCAAAACAGGACGAGCATCCGGTCGCCTGAAAAGACGCATTAGTCTCGTCACCATTTAGAGTACAGAAACTATGCTTACGCCCATGCTGCGCTTTCTGCGCATCCTTCACAGGCCTATAGCCATACGCCTCCACTTCTTGAGCTGGCACACTGGCAGAAGCATAACCAACGCGCCTGCTCGGTCCTGCAAGACGTGCAGGTGCCTCCGCGTCCAAAGCGGAAGGTTCCTCAACACGCGACGTACTAGCCACAGGTTCCTCCGGTTGTTCGTCAGGCGTTACTCGTGGCGTATACATCGGAGGCGCTTCCTCAACAGGTGCCGGACGAAGCGTTGCGGTAGCAATAGCAAGGGCCATCCATTTCTCCCAAGTCGCCTTCAGCTCCTGTGCGGCTCGTGTAGCTGGATGAGCAGCATCCCTTCCTTCACCATCATCCTGCTGCTGCTCCCGCTTGTCGCCGAGGAACGGCCACCCTGTTATCGGGACGAAGATAGGGAATACCATCGGGATCTGCGGGAGGGCGCCCCAGAGGACAGCTGGCATCTCGGGTAGGTGTGGAAGAGGAAGCTGGGGTATATTGGGCATGATGCCTTGAGGCTGGAGCTGCGCAAGCGTTCGCTGGATCATGTCGACGAAAGACGCCGTCTGTTTCTCATCCGTTGCATTAGGAGGCATCTTGGTATCTGTATCTTTGCTGGGCAGTTCTGGGATTTGTTCCGTATGAGATTCCGGGTGTATTTCTTCCGTGGTATCTTGCGTGCGTCGACGGAAAGTCCGTGTCGGTCGGCGTTTGACGATGACAATTTCACCCTCGTCACTCTCTACGTCACCCCAGTGACTTTCACCATCATCATCTTGGCCTTCAGTTTCGACGCTGACAGAGCGTTGTCGGGGGATATCATCAAAGAAGCCCTCGGGTGCAATATCCTCTGGAGTCTTTCCAAGACCGTTCACGATCTCCAAGTCTGCTCCAGCCGCTACCAGCAACTGCAAACAAGGTTTGGATAGCGACAGCACAGCAAAATGAAGAGCCGTATAACCATTCCTATCGCGCGCGTCCAAGTCGATATCATGCGCAATCAGGAATTTCGTAAGCTCCGCAAAGCCCAAGAACGATGCAAGGTGCAAAAGCGTCTGCCCATTAGACGTGGCATGCGAAACGGCAGCGCTCACGGCGATAGTCGATTGGTTGTCGACAGACACGTCAATCATGGAAAGGAACTTGACGATGGTGCTTTCAAAGTTTTCTCCTTCGTCTGAGTGTACAAAGAGCAGTGGTCGTATTTCTCGCAAAGATGACGAAGCGACGACTTGCATCATGTCGTTGGCGTCTGAGGATCGTGGAGGGTCTTCGCTTCCTGCATTTCCGACGATACGAAGGGCCACGTTCTTTGCGTCTTCGATCTTGCCTGTCATCTTGAGTCCGACGACCTGTAGAGCGAGCTCCATTCTGGAAATGAAATAAGCGAGGAAAAGGTAAAAGGCTATCGGTGTGTACATACAGGGCCCTGTCTGACTCATCAGTGTATGTGAAGAGCGAAGGAACCGAGGGGTCGTTTGTCTTCTCGAATCCCGCGAACCAAACGGCGACAACACCCGGAGAGGATTGTGGGGGAAGGACGCAAACTAAGGTGTTGTCGCTCCAACGTTGGGTAGAGCTCGCGCGGACATCTCCAAAGACGCAGTTCAGTTGAAGGACAGGGTGGAAATTCTCGCCAAGGACAGTCACTTCAATACCGCCATGTGTAGGACCACACGCGGGTATAAGACGGTGAATTTTAGGCAGAGTAAGTGAAACAATGGGCGGCGGCGATCCAGGGTTGAAGAAAAGGAATGGTGTCGGTTGCGCAATGAGTTGTGGGATGGGTGGTGATACGGGAGAAATGATAGGCGATGAGATAGAGCTTGATACTGGCGAAATGACTGGATTTAAAACGAATGACGTAGCTTGTGCGTCTTCTGGGTTTTGAGGCCCATTAACACCAAATGGCACAGCTGCGGAAGGAACGGTGCCATTCTCAATCTGAGATAACGAACAAGACGGCATGGGAACCGGAAGGCGAGCGGGCGTAGGAGACCGGGAACTAGGCACTGTTGAAGGCTGAGAGGCCGAAATGCTGGCCTCTCTCACGAATTTCACCGAGTTATTCCTGCTAGTAGCATCGTATGGTTTGGCTCGCTTCTTTGGCTGACCTTTCACGTTCGCTGCCTTGCGCTTCGATGGCGCGCGCTTTTCCGCAAGTTCCACGCTTTGTGCAAGCTGGGACCAGTCAACTTCGGCTTCAGTAAGAGGGTTGAACACGGAATTTGACTTTGTTGTCGACTTGTGGTCATCCGTAATCATAATCGGAGGCGTCGTTCCCGATCCGACAGTACGTCCGGTGTGATCCATCATCGTAAAATGCACATGAAACCCGACCTTTTCACGGTGATGTCGGCAGTAGCATGTGACACGAACAGGAAGTACGACAGACCCCGTGGAGAAGTCAAGGACTTCAGGACAGTTGAACTGAATGATGCTAGTCGTGTCTTCCTTAGTGCCTCTTGGTCGGTCATTGCCATCCTCTGGGGTATCTGAGCCAGACCGATTGGGTCTGACACGAGCGGCGATTTTCCTGGCCACACGCTTTGCCTAAAGGGGGAATGGAGATAGCCTAGGTTAGGCTGGAACGTTGACGACACGGAAATACCGACCTCTCGGTTTCTACAGCTTCCGCAGCTTAGGACGCGATTGTGTGGTAATGTAGCACAGGTCACAGTCGCAGTTAGGTGCAGCATATCCAAGGGAGAAGGGTCTGGTCAATAGTGAGTTTGGGTAAAGGACAGAGAAGTATTGTCATTACCTATTTTCCCTTCCCGACGCGTGCGCTTCTTAGTGAAAGTGCCTGGTGGAAGTTTGAGCCATTTCCACGAACCTACCCTATCGTAAAGATACGGTTCTCCCGATGATGAGCTGGCATGTGCCAAGTCCACAATGACGCGCACTTGAGTCTCAACACGAGACTTTGTGCCATATTCAGGGATATTGGGAGTCAGGATAGGAAGGCTTCACGAATGAAAGATAAAAAAACTAGACACTAAAACAAAGAAATAAACGCACTTGAAGCAAGATTCCCGTGGAGGGAACACTACACGATGCGGAGCAGTAGAAGGATCCCTTTTGCGGGGGCGCGCAGCAGGGGGAGGGATTACAGGTGAGCAGTGCATCTGGGTATGGGAGGGAACAAGTAAAGGAGTTTGCGCAGCAGATCCAATGCTGTCGCCTGTTGGGTGGATTGCTTCCGGTTTCAGACAATCTGGAGTAACTTGAGGTAGAACAGGGGAAGATTCAGCCGCGGAGCAGGCCGAGCTAAAACCAGGGCATGGCACGTCAAGAAGGTGATCAGACAAGAGAAACGTGACAAGACATACTCTTCATAGGCATGCTCATCTATTAGGTCATCAAGTTGAAGCATGTTCTCGTTGTCAGGTTTGTTCGTGACACTGTGCAAAGACTCATTGTCCCAAACACCAATTTCGGATATGGTCTTCCTTGGACGAATTGAGTGATACCAAGCTGATAGTAGGTCATGGTCATGGTGTAGTACAACAGGATGAGTACCGTCAGAAGATTCAGGCGTTGCTGGCGATGAAGAACGAGAGTCCATGACCGTCGTCGACATCACTAACGCGTGTTAAGAAGAGAAACGCAGCAAGGTGGATAGAAAGGGATAAACGTATCTCAATTACTTTACCATGCTTGTCATGTCCACGACCCCGACAACTCCGACCATCTGTTGATTACATAATTTCACTTGAACTGTAAGGTCTTTCAAGAGTCTTTGGTCACTGGCAAGTCCGTTCGTCCTTTGTCTACCATGAAGAGAGGCGCAGAGAGACAAATTAGCAAGGACGACAATGACGACGACATAGAGGTATGTCCTTAATTTCGCTTGCTTTTTTGACTTGACGTTGACGCGAGCAGGAAGTGGACGACCCTGGTAAGGGTTTCCAAAAGGCAGATGAGTCTGTCCTCACAAAGCGGCAGTGAGTATGCAGTAACTGTAATGAGCTATGCTTATTCTGCGACACCCAGCATACGTGCTTTGCCAAAGCGAGCCATGGCTTCAAATAAATCCTTGTCTTTCGCCGGACTCTCCAATGCACCTCTTGCACCCGCAGATTCAGTGAGTACTTAGTCAACACATTGCAAATCTTTCAATAATGTCCGTTCAGGAACCCCCTGCTTCCCCGAAATTTGGTGGTTTCTCAGGGTTTGGCTCAGGAGCTACTTCAAGTCCATTCTCATTCACCCCTTCACCCACCGCATTCGCAGCCTCAAATGTTGCACCCTCCGCGTCTGCTGCTACCAAAGGCTTTGCCTCGGTTGTACAATCAGCTACTACTGCCAATGCATCCCCGAGTGCTCCAGATGAAGATTGCGATGCAGCACTGAAATACTACAAGTCTATTCGCGGTCTTAACGTCTCCTTCTTGTCAGCAGTCCAAACAGCTGTAGACCAGGATCCATTTGTTGACATCGCAGGGCTTCTTGAGAGCTATAAGAATCTGCGCACTACCGTCCAAACCGACCTTGACAGCTCATCCAAAGCCGCTAGTCAGAAAGCATTTGCTTCTGCCCCTCCTGCGCCCGAGAAGGCTGCACCTTCAGCAACTGGATTTCCCGTACCAAAAGGCTTCTCTGGATTTAATAGCTTTGCTTCCCCATCATTACCTACTCCATCCATGAATGGAAACACGGACAAGAGCTCGGCACCTAAAAGTGTCTTCCCCTTCTCCACATCATCTTCCAGCACGAACCCCTCGGCCGCAGCTTTCAATTTCGGTGCCAAACCGAGTGAAGATACTCCTGCACCCCCTTCTCCCTTTGGCACCTCAGAAGCTCCGAAGTCAGCTTTTGCATTCGGGACTAAACCCGATGAACCCAGTTCATCAAGTCCGAGTCCATTTTCCTTCGCCCCACCACCCGCGTCTGCAACTAGCAAAGACAAGGAAGATTCAAAATTCTCATCTTCCGCCTTTGGCTCCAGTTCAAGCATTCCCAATTTCTTCGCGTCGTCCAAGGCAGCATCATCCACTTTCTCCGACTTATCCTCAAAGCCCACATCAGCATTCGGTACCTCAACATCATTATTTGGTAACAGCGCCGACTCAAGCAAGCCCTCCCTCTTCACCCCAGGCTCCTCAGACCTATTCAACAAGGTATCCGCGAAAACCGACACAGGAAACGAAGAACCTAAAACCGGAAACACCACCGGTCTATTCGGAAACCCCTCTTTCACACCAACACCCAGCACATTCGCATCTGACAAACCCACCAGTGCTTTTGGTACGTTCGGCGGAGGTTCGCCACCGAAAGGAAACGGATTTACATTTGGGAAGGTGGGAGGGAGTATTGGTAATCCAGTGGGGTTCGGGTTCGGCGTTGCGAAGCCTGCGGATGGGGCTTCGATGGCTTCGTCGAGCGCACCTGTGGATTTCAGTTTTGGTGCTCCACCAACCAAATCGACTTCTCCACCAATGGAGGTCACCAGTCGATCAGGGTCGCAACCTTCTGCTGGCGAAGAGGCCGTTCAAGACGATGCGAAGCTACTGCCGACTAGCAATCATGATGAAGAAGGCGAAGGTGAGGAAGATGAAGACACGACGTATACTGTGAAGGCGAAAGTCTTCAAGCTTTCGAAGACTTCTGACAAGTCCGAGTGGAAGGAACTTGGTGTTGGTGAGTGTTTCTTTAGTTTGTTCCACGTTCATCCATCATCTTGCTGACTTTTCTTAGGCATGTTGCGTTTGAAGAAACATAAGGAGACGGGTGCACGACGCGTACTTATGCGAAACAGCGCTACCGGGAGGATCATCATTGTTAGTCGGCATCATTTGGTAGTCGATTCATTTCTAACCCATACTTGCCTACAGAACTTCAGATTGTTTGCTTCACTAACTCCGACATTGTTGAAGACCATGGTATCCTTTGTCGGACATGACGACGGTGCCCCAGCATCCTTCCGAATCCGTGTAAAAAACCCTGAACAAGCTCAGGAGCTCAAGGACGCATTGGAGCGCGAGACAACGGCTGTCAAGGAGTCGAATTGAGGGGTTTGTTGACTTCAGTGCCTCTAATGTCGTCCATGTCTAATTTTACATACTCCCTTCGCATACCTTCGCTTATACATTGCACATTTTCCGTTTTTCTTTGCTCACAGCATCATCTAGCATAGTTGCGTGCATTTCTGACAAGGGCTCATAGTGCTTCTCTTCGAGTGGTTGAAGACTCGAACAGCCCTCCCCCTTTCCCTTCGCATTATAGTTACTTCAGACCACATCTTACACGTACGCTGCACCGTTGGAGTATGGATAAGATAGCTATTTAGCATTAAAATGACTTTGAGCGTTGTGCCATATTGAGTTGAGCACGAAAGCTTCGCTGAGGAGCATCTCGATCTCGTGGTCTCCCCAGTCCTGCGTCGGGAGGGATTGCAGGAACATGATAATACCCTGACACGTATAAGAAATGCGATCCTGAAAAAGACGAAGGTATATGTACCTGGAAGTCCATTTGCCGGAGCTTTTCGCTCCACTTGACGAGGAATGCGGAGCACACGTAAAGGTGGAACTGAGAGAATGCATCTGCCCCTTCAGCCTGGCAGATTTTGATCAATAACCGACATCCTGCGAGGGGGTAACCGGCTCACCAGATACGTGTCCCACATGCGGATCGTGTTTTTCACACTGATTTCTCGCATCAGAAGGCAGTTCATCCAGCGGAAAGCAAATTGCATGAATTCAACATTTTGCGACTCGAGGTGTGCATACAGTGGAGCTGCTGGACCATCAGCAACCATTGCGTACAGACGGCAACACACTAACCATCAATACGTGCAACAAGCTCGGCCATGCGCTTGACACTTCGGTGAATGCCAGGTTGTGCTGAGATGTAATTGTCCTGAATGCCGTCCAACAAACGTGACAGGCACCAAAACGAATCTGCCTCGACAGCATTCAAGACAGCTGTCGGGAGCAGAGAGGTATCAAACTCTTCTGGGTCAGAATCTGCGAACAATCTTAATCTTACGTGTCCATTGTAAAAAAAATTGACATGCCAATGTAAGCAGAGAGAAAAACCTGGAAAAATGGGGTAACAAGGTCATTGATGCCTTGAACGTATCCACTTGCTGGGTGTCTTATTGCCCAGACATAAAGGATTCTTTCGAGACTCTACTTGAAAGTAAACATCGGCTTGAACAATATCGTGACTACGTACACGTTGAGCGGATGCCTGCATCCACAGACGTACACCGGGTCTCGTCCGTGGGACGTCGATCTCAATTTGATGCCATATTTGTTGGTCGAGACCTTGGCGATCCCTAGCGAATGCTAACTCGACCAATGACAGATATTCTCCCCTCTTTCGTGCAAGAGTGGGAGTTCGAAGATTTGATGGCAATGGAAGGTATCCCTGACCACCGGTGTCAGAAAGAACAAGACACAAGAGAGATGACTCACAAGAAGAATCGGCCAGACAACAGGTCTTAGATCGTTGGGAGTACCTGCCCAAGCTAATTTACGTAATTCGCCTGTTTATGAAACTTCAGGTGCGTGATCAGTGAAAGCCTACGAGAGCGCGCACTCATGTTAACATCATCTTTGCTAAGACAATCAATGAATTTAAGTCGTCGATTTGTGCGAATTGAACTCTCCCGCAAGAGTTTCTCAGCATCACTCGATCGTGGGGAATGACCCATCATCCTATGATGGGTTCTCGGTTCTGGCGATGGTCGAGGAGAACGGAGAAACCTGTGAAATGGATCTACATGTCTGTTAGATATGCAAAGCAACTCTGGATGTATGTCAGTACCGTTCACAAGCTCGATAGCGTCAAATTTGATGGAGCCCTGGTCTGGTTTAGCTTTGGTGCGAGTGCCAGTAGTCTGCTCCACTTCCGACTCGAAATCGCCTACGACTATATCGCTGTCGACATCTGCATCGCCATTTGGATCGATATCTTTTGATATCTTGCCACCTAAAGCGTCCTGTGAAGCGCTAGATTTTCTAACCATTGTCCATCCACCCTTTGCTGGTTGAACGGTATCTGCATTTGAAGGGCTGGGCGCATTGAGGTGAGTGTATGAAAATGATATATTGGAGGAAGATGAGTTGTTAGAGGCTCGAGGGACTGGTTTCGGCGCTGTTATCGGAGATGGCTGGCGTCTAAATGATGGGGAAGGAGAAGGTCGCCATGAATTTGAGATTGTGGACTGGCGAGGTGATTCTGAGTCTGATCCACTATCCCAAACATCGTCTTCTCCCCAGTCTGTGTTGGCTCTTGCATTGAAAGACGAGTGCAAGCCAATATGCGGTCGTGCTGGCGGGGGCTTCGCCGCCATTGTGAACGGCGCGCCAGGGATATCTAAACTATCACACCCATATACATGGTTAACTATACATTGGATTATGTAATCGACGCATGAATTTAATGCGACACGTTCATTGAATATTCCCTCTTGCTACTCATTTGCAGTGTCTACAATGTCTTCAGAAGATAAAGACTTCAAAGGACGGTGTATGTACTGCAACACTGACGTTGGTCGCGACAAGGTCAAGACATGTGGTCGCTGCCGGTAAGTAGAACTCGCGGAGGAGCCGCTCAACTTCCCCAGCGTTGCTTATAATATTAGCTAATTCTGGCTTTTGCAGACTGGTACGTTACTGCTCGAAGGAATGCCAGGTCGCGTCGTGGAAGACCCACAAGCTACGATGCAACCCAAATTTACGCGAGAGCCTTGCCAGTGACCCTGCTAGCAATGCTTTAAACACCGCTCTTTCCAAATGGATCAATAATTGGAGGGACGAACTGCACAACTGGGCTATGTGGGCAATGGATCTTCCAAACAGTCCACCAGATCGACTTGCGACCCACTGGTCAGTTGATCATATCCGACCCCAGGTCAGCAGCTAAATCCAGCTCATTCAGTTTTGTAATCGAAATTGAGCGTCGACCGAATCCCCCGAGCGCCTCCCAGTTCTTCCGAGTGAGTACTCCCAGTTGATATATTTAATACGTCTGAAATCCCACAGATGCACGGAGGAGGTGTCGAGACTCGAGCAAGTTTTATAGCCCGTTTGGAAGAAATCAACGAGGCCAACGAGGAGACCGTTGCATGTGTCAATGAACACCGAGGTACCGACACCGCTCAAATCATCATCCTCTGTGAAGATTTGATTCGATTTTTGTGGTTTTCTCTCCGCGACGGCGGTGCATCCTTGCGGAGCCGTGATCCTGCCGTGTCCAAGGCGCTTGCGGAGAACTGGCAAGAAGGCATGATTGGCGCAATCGAAACCGGTCGTCGTGAGTTTAAGAGCCTTGCCCCCGATTGTTTCTGATTGTGCCACAGCCGGGGATTCCAAGGATCATTTAAGGAGAGCCGCAATTAAGGTCATTGGACCACCTCCTGTATGAGTCATGTCACCAGTGACCATACGACAGACAGTTCATTTCGATTACCGCACTTCTATGGAATATTTTCATACATATATCGTGTATCATACTAGAATTCGCTATCCGCACCACAGGCAATAAGTAGTTTTGTAACAGACGATGACGCGCTCACATGACCTGCCAGAGAATTCAACTTGAGCCCAATGATGGACTCGGACGACAGCGACATAGTGTATATTTATTACCCAGATATCAGTTCTCTGACTTCGCCGGATCGTGCTAGTACTGATCGCTCTGTTATCAACTTCCTTTGCACACCTCATAATATTGCTTTGCTATGATCCTACAATGATCGAGTGCTATCGACTATGGTTACAAGTTACAACTAAATTACAAACGGTAAGTAAGCATCCCGGGGTGCCAGTAAGTAGTTGGAGCGAAACCGACCGCCCTTGTCCCACTTGCAAGACTATTATGACTGGGGTGCCAGTAGTAGCTGGAGCGCTCAGCCCCTTTGGTCCGGTGGGTTAAACTTCTTCTTGCGTTGACCGTCCGAATGAGTCGGTTCTCATCTCATCGAGTCTTGGAGGGGTGGCGAACACAAGACCCGATGTTAATGCATGATCTCTGTTTCTCTGTTCGTCGGCGGCTCTTACGTGTAGTATGACACGAGATGCGAAAATAGAATAACAAATCCGGGTAGGCCTTGTAGAGCGAGAATTGAATTTTATGTCGTGTAGAATGAGACGGAGCATACATTGAAAAAACACTTGAGATAACCGCCTGGTGCGTATAAGCATGTATGGCAGCAATGGGGTTTTTGAGTGGATGCTCACTGGTAGTGGAAAGGCGACTACTCCATCGAAGACAAGGAGAGCTGCGCAGTCCATTTACTCGACGTGACGTCGGCATGTTGATGAAAATTCTTACCGAACATCATGATATAGGACACAACGCCTACTAGAGTTGAGATCTCACCTCACCGTGCGACGATGCGCGATCGAACTCACCATCTTGTAACATGACTTTTGACAAAAATGGGAAGCCGTGTTCGTCTCTAGCTGGAATACTTGGTAATCAGTATGTGTTAAAGATGAATAATTGGATCGTGTTACCCATGCGGTAGGCTTTCAGCAGTATCAATACAAGATATACTGATAGAACCATGTTAAGTCAGAAATTAAGAAAATAACCACCACGCACTGGTCTCTGTAAACAGAAGCAGACCAGAATTGATGTAAAGCATCTTGCTTGAAGTCAAAACAAAACAGCCCCCTAAAGTATAGCCCTGATAATCCACATATTAGAATATATTACTCGGCGTATAAGCTTGTGGACATTTCAATCTCGCCGACTCACACGTCAAAGAGTTGGCAAAACTACCTGTGCCGTACAGCGATACAATAGATGTAAGAGCTGCCTCGACAAACAGAGCAAGCCCGAGGGTTTTGTTTCTTTCCCAAAGTGCCCACGTCCGAATCATCAATATGGCTGGTTAGGCGAAATAAAATTCAACGACATCTTCGTAGCATTGCTGACACAACATCACCTACTCTGAGATATGGTCATTCCGATGTTATACATCCCTGCGACGTGTATATAAGCAACTTGTGGTGGTGGAAACTGGGTCGTAGTCCAGTCACTCACAACATTGCGTTGCTAGAGCGGTGCGACATGATTCAATGCTCGGATCCACCAAGAAAAAATCTGAATTGCGACAGTACTTCAGCTTAAATCAGAACATGGGATGGAAATTCGAAGCTCACGGTACAGCAACATGATTGTTGTATCGGCGAAGGGCATGTACCGCGAGGACAAGTACATCCATTCCATTACACCCCAACGGCGAGACCACACATGAGTCAATTCAGAGTCGATGTTCAAAAGCCAATCATAGATCTGGCTTGGGCGATCAACGAGTGTGTCCCATCATCTTCCATGACATACCAAGATAATTGGCCCTATCACTTTGACGTGATAATTGATGTCAGTACTGGTGAACGGCGAGTGCTGATGCAAAGAATGGCTTACTAAAAAGATACTGATGATCACGGAGATCATTCATCACTGATCAGCAATCACGAGCTTGTGAAAGTTTGTTCCACGTACTTTGAAACGCTGTTGGTCGTCGATTGCAGTTGCTAATACAGAAGCTGGTAAAGTGGAAATTGATGTAGCCATTGCAGTACGGTAGAATCTCTCGAAGGTGGAGCGTCGCATAGATGCATGGTAAGGCAGCCCAGCTATGTAGGTTCTTGAGACGAATAAGTTCTAAGTTAGGAGCGACCTGCAATTTGGGTCAGTGCTGACGGCACAACCGGCGAAACTGGTGACAGAATGACCGATTGGTTCTGTTGATACACTTTTAGGTTCATGCAGAAGCATCCGTGAACTTTAAATTCTGGAAATACAAATGGCAAGGCCTCATTTTAGCCCATTCCATCCATCGATGCAATGGGCTGGACGATGAACTTCGGATAAGCACTCGGCATTAAGATAAGTTGGGGGAGAAACACTTTTGACCGGTCGAGCACACGTTACCTTACCCGAGGTTAACCTTGACCTCTAAGCTCAATACTAAGGAACACCTATCTTTAATTCCTTCGATTGGTCTGGCTAGGGGAGACTAATATCCAAATTCTCTTTCGATCGAGAGCATCTGAACCACTCGGCAAGATTTAACTGCAACGCCGAAAAGCTGAGACTGGGAGCAAGCTGCCGTGAGTGAAGTTCATATCGGTAGCGCGGATGATCGATGATGGTGTCCCTCCTCTTTGCCCATCTAGACAAGATGCGCCGCGCGTCGGAAGAAGTGGCCAAGCAGCGCGAGAACTTGTACAGCTCGGGGTAGCTGGTGATGGAGAGACGACGATGATCGATGATCGACATAGAGGCGCTTACGAAGGAGCTTTGGGGTGGATTGTGTGGTCTTGCTTCCGAAGAGGTAAATGTAATTAGTACGTATATGCCACTATTGCTCATCCAGAGCCACGAACCTTCAAGTAGAAATAAGATTTGACAGAAGAACATTTCCCTCCCTGATTCGATAACATGTGCTCTCGCAACGCACCAGTCCTTAGCTAGCAGCTTTCCGATGTTGAAGGAAATACGGTAATCATAACACCGGGTTTTCCCTATCTGTATGAGAATGTCAAGAAGATTGAAGCATATAAAACACTCAGAGATCAGGTAAGTGCTTAGTGTATGGATCATTAGAGTTTTGGGACGACCCCCGTGACCAGTATGTGCCTGTAAGTCGTTATATGACGCGTTAGAAAATATCGAAGTGTCCCTCATTCCGTGGCAAGGTGTGCGATGCAAAGACTATAGATTGTTCGACAATTCCCAAGGTCAAAGCGTGATACGCCCAAGCCTACGTACGAAATTGAATCCCCCGGACAAAACCCACTACTGAGGTAGTCAAGTGCATGAGCTACAACAAAGATCACAAGGACGAACCGTACGCACCAAAACTCCGCAGAATTGCAAGACGATCGAAAGCCAGCTACTTCGCAGCAGCTGCTCGCTTCAAGAAATCTTCCTCCTCCCATCCATAGTAATCTTTCAACTTCTTACCGAATTCCTTTAACATCATGAGATATAGAGTGGGATCAGAATGAGCTGTAGAGACGAAGATCAGAAAGGGGATTGAGCTAGCGAGATTATACATACACTTGTGGAATGCGATAGACTGTAGGAAGCTCAGCATTACGGTAGTTCCTAATATACTAAAACGTAGACACAAATCACCTTGAGGAAGTTCTCCCACTTCATCGCTCCCCGTTTCTCGTCATTACCAGCGCGAAGCAGCTGATGCATGTATCCAGTCGTCTTCTTACCCAACTTCGAGAACCAGGTATGCTTCTTGTTCGCGGTATCCTTCTCTACCTCTTTGTCCCTGGTCAAAAACCCGCGGTTGAAGATGCTTGCATGGTCAGGACGAGGTTTGATCTTCTCGTTCTGAAAAACCTCCTGTCGGTAAGAGTGACTAGAATGAGCCGTAGTCTGTTCTGGCAGCGGTAGTCGACATATTGAGAAGGGTTGTGCGGTACGAACTGTTCAGCCTTCTTGGCGAGGTTTGCCTTTAAAGCAGCGGGGGAGACGCGACGCGCGGTGCAAAGATAAAAAAAAGATTGATATTCATCGCGAGCTGAATTCAAATTCCACTAATCCGTATATTTGATTTTATATGTGACCATTGCCATCGATAATCGTTTGATCAAAGTACTACCAGATGATGCTGCCCTTTACGCGTACGACTCTTACACGATGTCGGCTCGAAACTATTAACGCCATGGGTAAAGAGATGAAAGGTTATTTCGTGGGCCCGATGCCAGTCGGGGAATTTCTCGAGGAGTTCCTCCCGACTTCTCAAATACCCGATTATGACCCTTCGTCCTTCAATTCAGCCCTCGCTGCTGGCGCATTCAGCGATGTTCTCTCTGTTAAAAATGAGGAGTGTGCTTACACACCCTTTGTGAGTATACCCCCCGTACATACGATAGTGAGATTATTGACAGCCTAACTCCAGATTGACGCCATCAAACCTTTCGCTCCTCAATTGTCGTTTGCCGACACTCATAATCACGCGGACACGCAGAACTGCTCGAAAATAAATTCGGCAGTATTCAACATCAAGCCAGACATCTGCGTGTATCCCGATGGATATGAACCTTCATCGCACAACTGCGATATTTCCGCAACAGAAATCATTATTGAATTCAAATGGTCATACTCCCACGACGCATTCTGCGAACCTTCTGGAGCTGATAGTGTTATATCCCAGACAGAGAAGGGTATGGACACATTGGGACAACTAACGAGCTATACTGCAGCTCAGCTTGGCACCCAATTCCGTACTCATGCATTCTCTGTCCTGATTGTGCGTGATCGCGCTCGCATCATCAGATGGGATAGGGAGGGAGCTATTGTCACCAGTGCCATCAATTACAATAATGAGCCAGGCTTGGCTGACTTCTTTCATCGTTATGCACGGACATCACCTGAAATGCGTGGTGTCGATACTTCTGTAACGCTTGCTAGTGACAAGCAGGCTGACCTCGCAAGGTCACAGCTCAATATTCCCAGTACCACTCGCATGTTCAAAGTCGAAGTCCCTAATGTCGAGGGCTCTGGCTCGCTCACATTGATCATTCCCCAACCCATTACCAAACCTCATTTGCCTGTTGGCCGCTGGACACGCACGTGTCCTGCATTTGACCTTGTCAACAAGAAGCTCGTAATGTTCAAGGACTCTTGGCGGGTATCATTACCCGATGTCTTACCAGAAGGCGAGACTTACAAATTATTGAAGTCGCATAAGGTTTCTAATATCGCAAACTGCATTGCATATCATGATGTACCCCCCTCTATCCCTCAGCAATCCACTCAAACTGCTAAGTTCGGACATGCTGAATGGGCAAGTCCCCACTTACCTCTCACTCCACACACTCTTCACCGTCTGGTTCTCGATATTGTGGGCAAACAATTGACTGACTTTGAGAGTTCTCGTCAATTTATTCTATCCGTGCGTGATGCACTGATCGGTACATATTTTTTCAACTTCACGTGACATATCTTATTCATGATCTACCAATGCAGCTCACAAGGACGCATTTGAACTTGCAAATGTGTTACATCAAGACCTTAGTGTTGGAAATGTCGTCATCTACAAAGGGAAGGGCTACCTTATTGATTGGGACCTAGCAAAGCTAGTCAACATTCAGGGTCCCCAACAAACAACATGCACGGTATATTCATTCCATGCGCAAACTTTATATCTTGTACTAATTTTGTTGTTACCAAGGGTACTTGGCAATTTATGTCTGCCTACCTCGTCGAGCATAGCTATGCCATACACACGGTCAAGGATGACCTCGAGTCCAGTTTTTATGTCATTCTGTGGACAGCTCTTATGTACAAGGAGACCTACATAGACATTGTCCACCGGACAAAACTCATAACACAGGTCTTCGAAACCGATCCTGGATCATCCTCAAAAGCGCATTGGCTCATCGGGAGAACCAACCTTCCGCATGTGTTGTTTGTCGACTGCAAACCACTCGACAATCTCATCCACACACTTGCCGAGTTTTTCTCGCATCGGTACACGCAGATCTCCGACCATCAGCAGGTGGTATTTAACAACTTCCAGCTTGCATTTGAGCAACCGATGACAGAAGGCTCTGTCGTAACAGAGCAAATGTTGAAGGCTGCACATGCATTCATGGCGGACTCCCCTGTTTATAAGAAGGAGATGGGTATGAAGGTCCTGCACTCGCACGATGCTGTCATAGGCATTTTCAACAGGCACCTTGATTTATCCGGTTGGCCTGTCCAAGACACTGCCGTGCTGCGAAAAACCCTGCAGGAGGAGAAGTACGGGCCAGCCCTATTGGTCACGAAGTCTCAGTCGCTATTCGCCTCAGGGGTAGAAGTCACCTCTTTCCCACAACGATTTAACGATTAGCCCTCCCACACTGACGTGCGATGCAAAAGACAATATAGCTCCTCGACAATACATTATTTCGTAGTACCAGTACATGTGACCGTCGCGATATGAAGTTCCAAGAACCAAGTGAGATCGTTCCCAACTGTGATGTGTCAAGTGCATGAGCTACAACAAGGGTACCAAGGACTGTCTGTACATACTAAAAATCCGACGGATGGTCTGAGCAAGACGATCAAAAACCGACTACTCTACAGCAGCAGCTCGCTTCAGGAAATCTTCCTCTTCCCATCCATAGTAATCTTTCAACTTCTTACCGAACTCCTTTAGCATCACGGGATATAGAGTGGGATCTGGATGAGCTGTAGAAACGAAGATCAGAAAGGGGTCCGAGCTAGCGAGATCGTACATACGTTTGTGGAATGTAATGGACTGTGTAGGAAGCTCATCATTATGGTCCTCGAGTTCCTAATATACTGAAGACATACCCTGTCTCCCGTGTTAGGCGGATCGAATCGCACTGATGACCCAGCGGTACTGGGATCATATTCGAAGCCCATGTCGCGCATAACCTGTGAACAAGAATTAATATTCCCCCAGTCAAGACTAGCGTAGACGCAAAGCACCTTGAGGAAATTCTCCCACTTCATCGCTCCTCGTTTCTCATCGTCACCAGCGCGAAGCAGCTGATGCATGTATCCAGTCGTCTTCTTACCCAACTTCGAGAACCAGGTGTGCTTCTTGTTCACAGTATCATTATCTTCCTCTTTATCCTTGGATTTTTCTTTGCCCTTGGTCAAAAATCCGCGGTTGAAGATGCTTGCGTGATCAGGACGAGATTTGATCTTCTCTTTCTGAGAAATCTCTTGCAGGAAAGAGTGACCAGAATGAGCCGTAGTCTGTTCCGTCAGCGGCAAGGAAGCAGACGACATGTTGAGGGTTGTTGCCGAGCTGTTCAAGCTAGCCTTCCTGGCAGGGCTTGCCTTTGAAGGGCTAGTAGGGGGAGACGTGATACGCGCTGGAGACATCACAGGAGATGCGGGGGCATCTTCAGGAAGGACAGGGAGATCCGTGTCGGTCTTCTTCTTTTTGGGCTTCTTCTTCTTTTTCTTCTTACCAGCAGAGGTAGCGTCAACATCGACGTCATCCTCATCGTCGACTTCTTCAACTGTCGTGCGAGTATCTTTAGGTTGTGAAGAAGAAGCTCCTGCGTAGATTCACAGGAAGAAATCAGGTTCAAATAAACAGCGCAGTATGGACGAACACAAACCAGCAGCTTGTGGCGCCTTGCCCCCGAGCACCCTAGGCACACGTTTTTTCCGAGGAGCTGGAAGGGGTTTAAGAGGAGGTAGCTCGTCATCTGGAATACCGGACAAATCGATCTTGAGAGCTGGAGCTGGCTTTGGCTTGGCGGCGGGCTTGGCTGTGAAAAGGCCCTTGCGGGGTTCAGCGCGCGTCGCGGAACTCAGCTTCGCGCTAGACGAAAACATGCGACCTGTATTCCGAGGCCACTGTAAGCGAACGATCTGCCATAGGAACTAGGAACTCAACCTCTTAACGAGCCAAGGAGCTTTAAGAAGGGATTGCCCTTCCTCTCCTCAGCCATTGCCTCGAACTCCGGCACTTCCGTCTTCGCATCGAAAAATTCGGGGATCGCCATTGCCGTGTCCATAGCCTCTCGCAACATGTTGCGATATTGCTCATCTTCATCAGAGTCATACTCAGATTCCGTCTCGTATTCATCACTATCATCATCTTCATCCCCGAAGTTCTGGTCAGAGTCGAGCATATCGTCGTCGCTTTCATCAGAGGAGTCGGAGACAGACTGGAGCTCGGGCATGGAGCCATCACTGTCATCGTCTTCACGACCATCGGTAATGGCGAGCATCTTCTTCGATGGTCGCTTTGGTCCTTTCTTTCCGCCTTTGCTCTTCACTGGTATCATACCCAAAGAATCCCCTTCTGAATCGGAATCGTGACCTGCAAGGTGAGGGACATAGAATGCACTCCACTGCGGTGTACGGCGGAGGGCTTCATCAAGTTGCCAAAGAGTATCTATGGACATGTTAGAAACGTTCTTGTAATTCTAGAATTTATGTCAGGGTGGAAGAACTAATGAAAAATTACTGCAGAACGAACCACATCGACATGTTTCCACATGTCTTTGAGGACTGTCCCGTCTTCAGTGCGGTGAAGCGGGAAGACAAGGTCCTTGAAGTTGGCGTAGTTATTGGATGCTTGCTGGGAATATATCTGCGCATCAAGCCATTGCTCATACTGCTCGGGCATCTTGCGAGGTGTTCGCTTCATCTTCTCACCCTGCGATCCTAATAAAGGACTATCAAGAAACTCCTGAAGTTCTAACACGACCTAAGGATGCCGATGATCAGCTAAGGAGACCCCATGGAAAACTTGTAGCTCTACGACATACAGATAATTCGCCGACGGAATCCCACATAGTCTGGGGGAAACGTTTTGCCTCTCTCGGGGACTCATCAACTGCATCGTGCAGGATGTGGTACAAAATCCTCTTCGGATAGGGCTGCTTGGGGAAGCATAGCTCAATGATGATGGAGTCTAAGAAAGACTTGCATGCATCCTTGAGACCAGCCCAATCAAAGGCCATCTCGGGTTCACCCGGATCGGTGCTCTCAACTGCCTTGAAGTAACGGGCATAGTGGGCTGTCCTATAATTAGACCGGGTGATGCACAAACTTGACAAGATGTTGCCGTACGCGTAGTAGTGGCAAGCACGGAGAATTTCTTTTGACCGAGATCAACTAGGTTAGAGACCAAATCACAAACGATAAGATAACGAGATAATAAACCCTGATCCTTTTGCAGCTGGATGTGAGCCGTTGCATCATCGAGGCCAGACTTCTCAAGCGCTCGCAAAGAGTCAAGGACAATCTTCCATGCTGAAGCAACCATGTACGTATTATGAATCCTAGCCGATATAAGATAATCGCCTGTTGAAATTTGGAAATAGAACAGCATACCTGATTGCGATGATGGACGCCACATAGGAGGGATCTGATCGTACCTCCCTCCCGTTCTTGGTCGTTCCATATGGTGTACGAGCATTGAGTTCCTCGGTAATCTTACGGTGAAAAGTTTCTGGGTCCTGCAAATTGGTGATATCGTCCAAATACGCTAGAAGACATGAGACGAGCGTATAACTTGGGCATGTGATTATATACCATTGAACTGAGAATCTGCGATCTTGATGCACTTTGAAAGTTTCAGAGGCGACATCACGGCTGTGCGTGCGCGCTCATTGACAAGGTCCTCTGTCATTTTACCACGAATGAGCCGATCATGTGGTCAATCGACAAGATGAAGAACTGACCTGCGAGTAGATCAAGTTTCTCCCTGCCGCTCATTTTGCTTGAAAGCATAACCTCCCCAGTGCCCCGTGCTCCAAATTTACCATTTCGCAAAACTATGGCTCGAGATGTGGTAGGTTTGAGACCATTTTCATCCCGTTTACCACCATGTTTTGAGACTTGAACATGGCGCGGACCTACAGGCACGAGATCTCTCGAGGTGGAAAGAACAGGTGGCGCTTTCGCAGGTTTTTTCTTGGACGCCATGGAAGATAGATGCTAAGGGCGTCCTTACTGAATCCGTGAGAATATCGGCTTTGCCTTTGTTGACAGCACTGGAATTTCTCCACTCGGAGTCGTACAACTGTCGCCGACATACTTACTTCAATACCTCCTGACCATCTTCGGAGACGACATCCTCTTCCTCACGGCGTAGGTTCCTGGCTTGCAGGGAATTTAATTTGAGAAGCGCTGAAACGGCTTCGTCGCGAAGAGCTAACTGTAACAAGTTTGATCGGCATAATGCCATGTCCAATCAACGTCCAATAGGACTTTGTTTATATCATTGTTCTGGGTTTTCAGGTACTTACCTGCGGCACCTGCCAATTACAATCACTAAAGATAGTTTCACCCACCTTTAGTAAACGCTGATGCTGACTCCACGGTGCAGGCAGCAATTGTTTACGAATGATGGGTACATCTTCACCACTCTCATTCACCCTGTACAACCGCCGTCGATTTAGTCGCACATACCTCCTGTATCATCTTCGGGGACGATATCCTCTTCCTCAGTGACGGCCCGGGTGCCTTGCTCGCAGAGAATATCGCTCAAGAAGCGCTGTTCGTCGCGAAGAGATCGCAACAAGTGATGGGTAACGTGTCCAATAGGACTTTGTTTATTGCATTACTATGGGCGTCGTCCCGTGACAACTAAGGGACTCTGCTCGATTGGCAGTTTCAGGTAAGTGCTTACCTGTCACCAAACATAGATTGGTTCTTCGTAAACGCTGATACTGCCTCTGGCAGATCAACACGGCTGCCCGGAAGTGGCGGTACTGCACGTTACTTATCTGACATTCGGCAGTGTCTGGCTGCGTTGCATGCGGCGAGGGGAAGAACATTAATAGTGCAGTGCATGAGGTTGCAGACGGCCGCCTGCATTTCAATCACTTTGAGAACTCTCTGGTGTCCCGGGATATCCACCAATATCCCACCGCCTTTGACAGTTTTCCCATACAATATATCCTTCCGCTTCATACCTAGAGACCCTTGCGACTTGCAGCTCTTTTGCAATGACGCTGTCCTTACGCTTCAATGCACTTTATGAATTCACGTAATTCGCTTAATTAGTACAATGAGCTCGTCTGAAGAAATGTCGAGTTCCCGATCGCTTCCCGGACCGTTTATGTAATACTCGAACAATGCACTCCCGATTTGTAAAAATAGAAGTCAGAGATTACCTTAGTGACACCAGGTGACACCATGCAGTGAGGTAGCAGTGTCAAGCGCGTCGTGCCCATTTCCCACTTGCCTCCCAAGTGTATCGTATTCTATAAAGTCACCATCCATCTGTATCGCTAGCCTATTGTTTCTCTCCCAACTTTCTTTTCTTTCGTTAAGGTTGAGCTGGTCTCTTCCTTGTGCTCTATTTGCACGTTTACATTCGCTTTCTTTCGACAAACCCTCTTTGTTTTTTTGAGACGACTCTGAGCAGCGCTCGATTCCACTCGTTCCACCCCCTTTCTCGACCGCCGACATTCTTACCTCTTCAACCAATGGGAAAGCTCATCTGGCATGAACTAAGTCGCTACATCTCCCTCACAGCGAGTGTCTGTACGTTGCATCCTTTTATTTACGCAAACCATCTTACCTGACTATCACCATGTTGATAGATGCAGTATGGGCTAGCTTCTGGGGGTTTTTCTTTCGCAAGTTCTTTTGGGACTTCATTGGTGGCACCCTACGCGCTCCCGGTGGTCTGCAGTGAGTGTCGGACGACTTTGTGCGCTGACTTATATTTATGTTCTGCTGCATAGACCATCTCCCAAGGTTGCTATATTTATCACGGTTATTGTTAAACATCCTATTGTGCAGATAGCCACAATGGCCCTCGGATTTATCATGATCACCCTGGAATATCCCCTACCCGTCCTGAAGGGAACTGCCATACACAGGAGCATCATTCTTAGAGTGGTGTTACTGACAATACAAGCATCCGGAACGGTGCTTTTCTACCAAGTAAGATTTATATGTCTTTCACTGACAGACTGCTCATGAAACACAAAAGGGGACAAATGCGGCATTGTGGTCATTGATTGCCGTAATGTTTTATATCCGTGCATTAATGTTGAGAGAGAAAATGGAGGAAGGAAAAAGAAATACAGGCCCAGTGGAGCAGGCATAACTTGTGCGTTTACACACGCGATCCCCAAGTTTTGAACGATAGACTGTCGGTCTGCGACTGCAGTGTACTTGTTTCCCTTTTCAATATCTTTTGCTCCTTGTTGTACATGTACAGTACTTACCAGTGTATCAAGATATCAAGAACGTTGGGTTTCGAACAAGAAATGATTACACTGTAAACCTATGTGAGCACAATCAAATACTGACCGTGGTGCAACCGTGATGTACATGTAATGCTAATTGTCAATAGCCAATGCATGTTCAAAGTGGATGAAACGAAAACACTATTTCAGTTCGGATAGTATCGGGCAGACAGCAGATCGATAATAGTTGATGCGTGCCAGCTCAGTCATGAACAGCTGTTGGCATTGACTGGGCTGACCGCAAAAGTCAGCCATATTAGTATTACTCGAAGCCTGGAAGCCTAGTGACCTAGTCCATAAGGGCATACCTCATCGGAATGGTCACGAATCCGGGGCCTAGGGGGACGTGGCTAGTAATACTCAACCGTTCAGTCTGAGGCCTTGGAACTCTGAGTCTGACGTGCGGGGCACATCCTGGAAAATGCAGAGTCCGCGCTCAATGCTCGCAGTTACACTCCTGACCATTCCGCCTATGAGTTTGACATAGAGGTTGCATGATCACAAGTCTAGCTCGCAGTGCTAGCATCGCAGTAAAACACATCTCTAAAAGTCTAAAGAAGAGTAGCGTGAACGATGAACGATTTCAAATCCACGTGCGTGGCTCTTAGGTAAGCTACCGCCTCGAAGTTCTGAGTCAGCAGTGGTCACTGGTCACAGCACAATTTGCTTTGTAGAAACGCCGTACTGAGATTTGACGAGGTGAAGAGAGTGCAAAATACTGTGGAATGAGTGAGTTAGTGTGACGCGACAGATTTTGCACAGGGTGGGATTAATTGAGATATTTCGTGGTGGTGGGGAGGGTCTGGCTCAGCCAGACTGCGCTTGTGTGCATGGGCCTGGCACTATGGAAGTGCGGGAAACGTCAAGGTCACGTGGGGCTCTACAAAACCCTAAATCAACGCGGTGTGCTCGCGAGCTCGCATACGCGTTGATCGTCCAACTTAGTACTGTTGTCGTGCTCATATAACTCAGGCAACTGATCAAGATGCGCGTAGTTGGCGGTCACGAGTGGCAGCAAGTACAACTATGCTTACTTGACGAGCTGCCGAAAGTACAGCTCTTGGAGTCTCGACCGACATTCTGTTTTCCTTGTTACAGCAGCAGGCAGGCCCAGGCTAGCGCACTGTGCCGCTAACTCGTTCACTGGATTAAAATTTAAAGGCTGTATCATCGGAAGCGTGATGAATACCCAGAAAACCGTATTGGTTGAGCTGCACTTCCGGCTCTCGCCGAAGCACCCTTTGAGATGAAAGAATGAGGTCCTGAAGCTGGAGAAGGTGGAATGACGGAGGTGCAGCAGGTGAATCCCGACAGAGGGGTAGAAACAAGAGTATCTACCTCGCGAATCCGGAAGCAGCATCGTGGCGCAATTATCGAGCGGTGAGTCACATATTAAAGAGGGTTTTCTAAGTTTCATGCGCGTCGAGCGGCGCAAAGTACGTGGGGGGCGGATGGTCAGTGGTGGAGTGGGCCTTTTGGGTTGATATGTTCTGTGCAGGTCGGAGGTTGGACATCAAATGAGTGCCGCTGCAGTGCGTATTCTCCGTAACGACGCAGAAGAGTTATAATGCCTATCTATAGCGTCCTGCGAAAATGAAACAACGTGCATGTCGCGTTGCTGTCGGCCTCTGAATGGGCTATAATGGGTGGATATATGGTATGAGCTCCATATCATGCCATTTTATACATGCGCTTATTATAGCACGCCATAGCAGGCAGAATCTGTCCAGAATGCTTAAGAGTTCTTATCTTTTTGCCTTTTTAGGAAGCCACTGCTTTTATTTATCTTTGATGGCGTTAATTGGCAATATCGCCCAGGGATAGGGGCCGTAGCAACATCTCACCCGATCCGTTGCTTTAGATAGCACGAAGCAAACCCCTGCTCGCTGGCAGCCGCATAGTATGCATTCAAGACATAATAGGTAGACCTTCGTGAGTATTCAAACGTGCAATGGCCAGGGTGATGGAGCGATTTGGCCTATGTCGAGTGAGGTGAGCCGACGGCGCATGTGAGTCGAGTGTTACACTGGATGACTTTCCGCAGCATTTAGAACGCGTGCCACCGTCAAACGTCAGTGTTTTGCAAGTCCGCACGTCAAAAACACCCAGTTTTAGATGGATATCTGGGAGGGGAGTAGCCCCCGCCCCCCTTCTAGATTCAAATCGCGTTGTAAACAGGCTCAACACCCCTTCTAACTTCCGCGATAATGCTATACCCAACACTTGCCTGCCATTTTGATAGCTCATAAATTGACATTAGAATCTATACACAATTGGTCTGCGGTTTAGCAAACGTTTCTAAACCGTGACGAAGTGCGAGCCGACACACCGACTGTTAAGGTTTGGATCAAGATCTAGGATTCTAAACGCTGCGGAAAGTCAATCCCTTTATAACCTCTCATAATTCTAATGCTTATCATCAGTCGGCTGCGTGCCACTTACCTACAAAGTCCGGAATCAACGTCATAGGCGAGCCTCCGAGCTCATACAACTTCGATCGTTCAATTTTCTCTGAATCGACTCTGAGCAACGCTCGATTCCACACGCTTCTTCTGCTATCCTCCCCCTTCTTCTCGACCGCAGACATTATTCAGCAAATGGGAAAGCTCATTTGGCATGATTTAAGTCGCAACATCTCCCTTACAGCAAGCCTTTGTATGTGGCATATTTTTTGCTGGCGGTAACTCACTCCGTTACTCAGATGCAGTATGGGCTGGTCTCTGGGGGATTTTCTTCCGCAAGTTCTTCTGGGATTTCATCGGTGGCATCCTGCGTACTCCTGGCGGCCTGCAGTAAGTGATGGAAGACGTCGTGTCCTGAGCGATACTCACATTCTGCCGTGCTAGACCATCACCTAAGGCCGCAATCTTCATCACAGTTATCGTCAGATTCCCTATCCTGCAGATAATCACAATGATCCTTGGATTTATCATGGTCGCGCTGGAGTATCCTGTGCCCATCCTCAAGGGAACTGCTCTCCATAGGAGCTTCGGTCTCAGAGTAGTGTTACTGACAATGCAAGCATCCGTTACGGTGTTTTTCTACCAAGTGAGTTTCTGCATATCTTACACTAGTGGACCTCTCATGAAATACGATAGGGTACAAATGCCACCTTGTGGTCATTGATCGCTGCCGTGTTTTATATCCGTGCACTGGCATTGGGAGAGACTATGGAGGGGACCGACAGAAATACAAGCTGAGATGGACACTTACACATGCGATCCCTGATTTGTACTTGCAACGACGGACTACTTCTCCCCCTTACGAAGTTTCTCACCTACGATTCTATTCATTCAACCAGTTGCCAGTCCGTGACTGCAACTTTGACCTCTTCTCTTTTACGATGTTTATGTAGTAATTCCTTTTGTACAACTGGATCGTGTCATATGGCATCCAAATGGCGATATGGATACAATTGAATGCTAGGTTATGACGCATGATCGGTTGGACTGTCGTGATGGACTAACAGAGACTGATAGATACTAATAGTTGCAGATAGTTGCATATTGGTTACATGATAGGATGGAAAATTGGAAATGAGAGGCAACCAAGATTGACGCGAATGTGTACGCTCGATTTGGACTCGAGCGGCCCACATACAATGACCAAATATTGACGTGTAGCTCACAGTCATGAAGGCCTCTGATATCATATCTGCTGTCCCCGGTCGTTTCGAAGCTGCGAAATCTTCAGAGGATTTATTTTTCTTCCCATCGGAAGTGAGCAAGTACGAGGAGATCGGGGTAGAGGTATGTTTCGATGATCCGCTTTGATCATTCAAGTGGTTCGCACGAATGATCAATCTCTTCACAGTGGGAGATTCGCCTATGTACCGCGCTTCAAAAGAAACCGCTCGCGCCCGTACCTGCTGGAGAAGCAGAAGTTGCACAATCTGATGTGCCAGGCGAGGCTTCCAAGAAATCTGATCCCTTTACACCTCCATATGTCCCCAACCTTTACGTCGGTGATTTACGTGACGTATCATCCGGGACGGACTATGCGATCCTGGTATGCTCGACTATATTTTCCTCAGTCTGTGCATACAGCTTAAGTGCATCCAGCTGAACAAGTTCTCGGCTGTTCCCCATCATTTCCTTCTTGTGACCAAAGGTTCTCTATCAACTACCTAAACTCCATGATCACGCGCTGACCATATGATGGACAGAATTTCTACCGCAAACCTCACCGCTGCTGCCGCATGATCTGGTCCAAACTTATCTGCTGCTTCTTGCGGCCCGAAAAGCGCGTAAAAATTATTTCGCTTTCTACAATTGTGAGGATCTCTCATGACATGGCGATCTGATGGCAATCTTGTATTGAGCATTCATCAAAGGCGGGTCGAATAGTGGAGCAAGTCAACATCACAAACATATCCAGTTCATTGAAGCTGAGGATGACGGACCTCCAATCGAAAGATTAGCCAGAGCAGCAAACCTTGAAGTCTCAGGTACTTGGGCAACACATGTTACTTACCTTATTCGAAGCAAGCTCACCCTAATTCTCAGGCAAACCCTTTTCGCTGACATCCATGCCATACGCGAACCACGTATATCGGCTTCCGAATCTGTCGAATGGTGCGTCACCTGAGCAGCTCGAACAAGTATTATTCCTTCCCTTCCTATCCCTCCTGGATCTTGTGATTTCGACCGTGCGACATGCTCCGGATTATCCGTCTGGTACCCCATCCTATAATGTGATTCTTACCTTGGAACACATGCACTTAATCCCGCGACGCTGGAATACCTATACCCTGGGAGATACGGGGGCGATATTGGGCGTGAACTCACTTGGGTTTGCTGGAATGCTAATGGTGAAGAGCCAGTCCGAACGCGAGGCATTAGAACAAGAGAAGATCGGAAAGGTACTTAGAGGCGTCGGGGTGGAAAGCGTCCATGAATTGCAAGTTGCTGGTACATCGATGGAGGCAATGGATGAGACAGGCACTTGATAGTGACATCCGTGATTTTAGAAGATATACACACAAACGTGTCGCAAATTTTGTACTCAAGACGATAGCAAGAAATGTAGCGTTCGAGTTGTGGCTGTCACGCATTCAAGACATCACTGACCAAGAAAACCCTTCACTCTCCACAAGGTGTCCAAGGATGCAAGCTGGGAGATCCGATTAGCAACAGCGCCATCTGATTTTCCGGTTTCTTCGTTTGATCATTTCGAGAACACTCACCAGTTGGGCAAAACCTTCTTCTCTGATGACTCGTGCTACGACGGATTCTAGCTCCGCATGGGATAAATTGTAAAGGGCTGGACTGTCGTGCAGTGATGCAACAAGCTGGGCCCGAGTTGAATCAGGAACTTCTGACAGTCGATTTTCCGGTTTGCGAGATCGCGTGACGCTCGAAGGCAGCGGAGGAGGGGGCATCGTGTTCAAACTACTGCGAGTAGACGAGGATGGTTGAGATGAGTCAGGTAAAGAACCCTTGGTAGAGCTGATGGAGCCAGACGGTGCTTGACATTGGATAGTCTTCGAGGCGGTTATCCGAGGGGTTTCTGGAGGTGTAGCGAAAGTACTGTCATGAGAAGACGCAACCCCGGGAGTGGGTTTCGCGGAACTGGTGCTCAGAGCCACAGGTGTAAACCTAACCGGCGTCGATGGCGCAAAAGTTGACAAATTGGACTCAGATGTTGGATTTTCTGAAGGAAGAGCAGTCGGTGCGGGTCTGAAGGGAATTCCGCTCGTTGATGGCTGAGTCTGTGGGACATTCGGGACTATAGTACCGCGACAGGAAAGGTCGTCGGGAAGGCCTGTCGTAGCTATAGTGGGAGTGCGAGTGACCAAAGCCGGCTGTGGATTTAATCTACAAGGACAAACAGGTCGGACGGCATCGATGAACTGAGCTGCGCTTGTTGCAGTAGTGAATGTGATCTGAAAACGCCGATAAACCTGAACCAAGATTTAGCAGAGTATTTAGAGTCAACGACGCATATATACTGGTTGACAGGTCGAGTCCGCTGTTCTAGGGTGCAGATACCGGATACCAACGACAGCATCCCGATAGACAGCTTTTAGAGGAAGACCATGGTCTGGTTGTCCAGAATTCGTCTTCGAGTTTGAGAGCGACGAGAAGGAGAGTAAATCAAGATCCTCCTGTAGGGTTGTGCTTTCAGTGTGGTCCGTTATTCCTTAGTAAGAGCATACGAGGGTGATATCTCTCTGATCGACGTCCGTGCTATTAGTGCTGCTGTCAAAATTCCACACAATTCGAAGGCGGACAGATACAAGATTTCCTGCGGAAGATTTCTTCGCGTCCAAGTAGAGGTTGATGACGGGGTGGATGAAATGTTGCCATTCTGCGTCTGTAGCAGGGTTCTGAGAAGATAATGAGTTCGTAGGATATGAACGCGAATATTTTGCCAGTGGATAGGCTACAGTGGTTGTCGTGAATTGAGCCATTGTTGGGTGCCTCACTGAAGTTGCTATGATTCTGTGGACGTCGTTGATCGACGATGAGAAAGAGACGCAAAATCCGTCAGGTCAAGGATAAGCAGGCTTGTTCAAACTTCGGTCGGTTGTTGCAAGACTGGATAAAGCAGGCTGGCCGAGCAATCTGACTGTTTTTGCGTTACTCCAGGTTTCCGGTTTGAATCAAGGAGATGAGTTCAGGCTGCTCGGCAGTTTGCGGGCGTTGAACCGACTCCAGCTCGTGAATCAAGCACACCTTACGCTCGACTTCCATCCTGTGGAGAGCACAGTGACGTATCAAAACACAAGATCTGTCCTGCAGCTGAGTGAAAATCAGGCGGAGAAGAGACATGCAGTGGAAGGGATTCTCTGGCACTGTAGCGGAAGCTCGAGCAGAGAGCGAGTCCTCCGAAGCTGCTTCGCTTAATGGGTACGTACCCGTTGACATATAGTCAAACGTCCAGCTCAACGTCATATTCAGACACAAGGCTTTGACACCAATAATTACAGGCAGCATATGCGGAGGTGTACTGGCCATCGCATGGATTGTTGGCCTCGTCTTCTGTTTGCTTAAACGTCGGAAATCAAAGGGCCGGGACCCTCCCAATGAGACCGATGAGACGGAACGATACATTATACCCCCAGATCCAGCCATATTGCAGGGATACAGGAAACCCGACGAGCAAGGCGCACACGTATCCGTCTAACGTTGCACGTCGATGTCAGCTCCACGAATCATACCGCATACCCAGTCTAGGCGAATGTCATCTAACGGCGCACTGAATCATAAAAAGGTGAAGTTAGTTATATTGCTAGTGCACCGCAAATTCTGAATTTTTGAATTACACCATGTGCAGCCAGTGCAGACATTTATAGACACGACCTGCGTCAGGGGAGTGCTGGTGCATGTGCTTTGTACTTCTCCCTTCAGAATCTATGGCGGGACAGTAAACATGAACTCGGTGAACTTTCCTTTTTACAGTTATGCCTTCAGCGTATGTTGATTCCTCGGCGGTTGATTATACTTTGTGTACTGGCAGACCTGATGAAGTTCCTCCTTTGATATTAAATAGGTTGAATTCAGTGTTACATGGGTGCCACGTACGAAGTAGTGAGCGGACACTTGGATCTCAATGGACTCCTGAACGGATGGTGTTGTGCTTTAAAAAACGTTGTAAGCTCGACCTGAGCTCGACTGCCCTAGAAGTATTGAGCTAGTTTCAAACTCACAGGTCCTCCATCTTTTCCCAGACGAACGCTTGATGCGGACGAGGTACTGTGGAAATTCTATCAAGTCTTGTGTTGTTATACTGTGGCGCGAACTAAGGGAGGTCTAACCCTATTCAATTGATCAGAATTCTACAGGCCCTTTCATTAGAGTAAGATGCAATCTGCCCCTATAGGGATAGAATCTAGCTTCCGATCATTGTTGGTATTTCAAAGATATCGGGCTGATAGCTCACTGCCGTTATCTCTTCACAGCCCTTACACCTCAGAGTCAACAGGGAGGTCGTAAACCATGTTAAATCTTTGACTTTTGTATTCACCATCAACACATCGATTTTACGCAGAATATTTATTGTGGTGCTAGTAGCGACCACGTTGTTCAGTTGTTTCAATACCCTCTCGAACGCCGTCGCAAGAAACTTCTCAGTCACAGTAGGCTCCCTCGCTGGCAGGCTATAAAGCATGGTAAGTAAGCGAGCTCGGACCATGAAAATAAACTACTTACAGCAACATCACGGGCGTACCGGAACAAGATCCCTCTCCTCTCCTTGAGGGCACTCTTACCCGAGACTTCCCATACCTTTCTTCGGCGTGCTTTCTCTTCCTCGTTGACTTGCCAGTCAATGGTCCTACTTTTTGAATCGATGACAATTGGGTCGCCGTCTTCCACGAGAGCAATGGGACCACCGAGGGTCGCCTCAGGGACAACGTGACCTGGTGTGTCGCGTAGAGATAAGCCTTAGAGTCTTCAAAGTAAAAATGCTTAAACAAATGCACCGATAATGAAACCTCTGGATGCTCCAGAGAAACGACCATCCGTGATCAGTGCAGTTGAGTTGCCCAACCCAGCACCCATCAGAGCAGCGGTGGGACCTGTACGTAAAGGAATTAGGGGGACTGTAGCGCTCGTTCAAAACGCGACTGTACCCAGCATCTGCAGTAAAATATGAACATGGAAGAAATAATGCCACAGATAAAAATCCCACCTCTGGCATTCCTGGCCCGCCCTTGGGCCCTTGGTATCTGAAGATCAAGACCATACCAGGTTTGATGTCTCCACGCTCAAGCGCAGGATAAAAGTCGTGCACACTTGAAGATAAAGTATGAGAAAAGGTATGCAATAAGGCTTCAAATTACGCCGTACCTTTCGAAACATTTGGCGACACCCTGAACCGCCGCCGTGTGAGTCAGCTATAACATCGAATAAATTCGCAAACTATGAATCACCTCAAAGCGCAAACCCTCCTTCCCTGTAAGCTTGGCGACAGCAGTTCCAGGAGCCAAGCTACCCTTGAGAATAGTCAAATGACCAGTAGGCTTGATGGGGTCTTCCAGCTTCTTAATGATGTCCTGGCTATCAAAGTCGAGCTCCGGAACATCCACAAGGTTTTCAGCAAGGGTCTTTCCGGTAACGGTCATCTGGCTACCATCGATGAGATTGGTGTTCTTAAGAAGATATTTGATGATCGCGGGTATGCCACCAATCTTGTGGACGTCTTCCATGTAGTACTTCCCAGATGGTCTGGCAATATGGTGAGAACGAGCCCAAACATTCTGTATGCGAACCTACTTCAGATCAGCAAGGTACGGAGTCCTGTCCGAAATCATCTGGAAGTCGTCAATAGTCAAAGGAACATCAGCCGAACGGGCTATGGCCAGCAAGTGAAGAACGGCGTTCGTTGAGCCACCGAGGACATTGACGATAGTGATTGCATTCAGGAAAGATTGGCGGGTGAGGATGTCTCGAGGCTTCAAATCCAGCTCCAGAAGACGTTTCATGTACTTGGCGACTTTGAAGCATTCCTGTGCCTTCTCTAAGACACAAATTCAATATGTTACATCCAACAGAAGTGTTTTCTAACTGACCAGGGTACATTGCAGGTGTGCTCGAGGAGTAGGGAAGAGACATGCCCAGGACTTCAAGGGCAGAGCTCATAGTGTTGGCGCTAGGACATATGAGGAGGTTTCTGCGTCAAATCGAGGGAACACGTACGTGTACATACCACCACAGGCACCAGCGCCAGGGCATGAATGCCTGACGACATCAAATCGCTCCTCGTCGTTGATAAGGCCGACAGCATAGGCACCTGACTCCTGTTCATGGCTTGAGAGTATGTTGAAACGGATAATCACCTACCATAAGACTCGAAGGCATCTGAGATGTTGACAGTTCCGCCTTTCTCGTGCCCCATGGAAGGGCAGTCGACATGGCGTGTCCCAACCTGAATTGTGCCACCGTATACGATAATGGTCGGCCTGTTATGTCTAACGGCAGCCATCAAGACACCAGGCATGTTCTTGTCGCAACCTGGTATCGAGATATTGCCATCGTAGTGTTGCGCCTTACAGAAATCAAGGAATTTGAGCACACAGTGACTACCAAATGACGTAACCTCCTACAAGCGTGACCTAAAAATAAACGAATTAGCGTGAAATTAAAGCCTCAACAAGGACATTTACAGCTTCAATAGAGTCCGCAATGAGATCACGACTTGGGAGGCTGCGGTGCCGTATTAACAATATAGCATTCTAGTTACAATGATACGCACGAGTATCGCATTCCTGGGCAGATGGAATCAGATGTACCAAAGGGAAAATATCAAAGACACCTTACCATCCGTTCCCATTGTAATAGCGTCACTACCTAGCTTCAGCATGTATCCGTTGAGAGGAGAACCTAACACACCTAACACCAATAGTATTGAAGGTTAGGCCAACCAGACCCTCCTCCATGCAGCCCTCCTTAACCTTCTTGGACAAATCGAGCTACACAGTGTATTAGTTTGCCGGACACTCGCAAACAGGAGTAAAACACACGAGATGAGAGTTACATGGGTTGCCTGCAAGACGCACTTCAGTATGCACATTTGCAAGTAAGGCTATTATTTACCTTCCCACCAGATGGGTGAAATACCAATCTAGTAAATAGTTAAACCAATGCAAAATCTCCTAGTCGTCGCGAAGGTACCTGAGGCTTATTCATGTCTTCCTCTGTCATACCAACAGCATATACTATGATGCACATCAATCGCACGATGACTGAGATTCAGGGCGAGGACTTACACATAGCCTGGGCACCTCCCCGAGCCTTTAAGCACAGAGAACGTCAGTAAAAGAAAGCGAGAAATATAAGCAGTCAATACTTTGTCCTGTGTCAATTGACAGGAGATCTTGTTGAGCTTTCCCTGGGTGGGTGCCCCAGTGGGACGCGGGACGGAGTGACTGGACGCCGTCGCAAGTGAGATTCGTACCTATACTCTGGTGCATGGTCAACTTACATTTCTACTCCAGACATAATTGATGTTAAACTTGAATGATGGTGGATGATATGTTGCTAGAGCCGCATAATATGCATCTCTTATAATGAACGAACGCATCATGGTCGGGCCGACCTCAGCTTCGACGTCAAGGTCCCATGACCATGGATGACCTCAAAATGTCTACCATCTACACCCACGACGGCCCGAAACTGAAAACTAGAGGTCTGGTGCACGATAATAAACTCATGACCAGCACTTCTCACTACGTCCTTGAGAGAAGAAGGGTTCTAATGTAGTGCGTCACTCGACTTTTCCCGTGAATAGATATTGCCTCTATTAATAATTAAGTAGCTGCCGATTGTGGGAAAGTTCTTGAAGGTCTAACAATAATATTATTATTACGCTACCGCGCAACCACCGCATTTAAACTCAGTCGTGCACTGAAAGGATGCATGGGCTCATCTGGAGGCCATTCAGACGATGTTTCAGTACTCAGTACTCAGTTTTGACTGTCAAGAAACGGTGTAATACAACAATACTAATCACGTCAAACATGATTGTAACCCGTGTCAGTCGACTCGGTTCAGACAGCCCACCAGGTGTGTGAGGCAGTTGTGAATAGAGCAGATAAAAGGCAGTCAAAGAGGGGCCATTTTATGTTGCTCGCAATCGAAGTCGTGACCAGAAAGGAAAAAACGAAGCGGAAAGCCGAAGGAACCTGGGGATTACCGTACAACAGCGCAGTGCAGGACTAAAAATTGGTGCCGCAGGTAGGCGGGTTCGTTAGAGGCGGGCTATGATTGGTTTCCGCGTCGTAAACCTTGTCCAGTAAACAGCTCTGAGGTGCACCAAATTCAAAGGTGGTCTGATATTATGAAATGGCAGTCTTGAACCGGTCCAGTCGGAAAAGACACAGGGAGCATGCATAGCGCAAGTTAACGTTAACAATTAAGTGCAATATATTGCCAGAGTCCTCGAAGCAGCGGCACTCAGACATTAGTTCAGTGTTCACTTTCAGCCCCGTCAAGAAACGGTATTTATTTCAATACAACAATACTTGTCAAACGGTTGGTATGTTTACATACACGGCAAGGCATGATCAAGAAAATAGTTATGCATGCGCTTGTGCATGGTACTTAGTTCTTGGATTCGCCACCGCAGGTGCAGCTACCAGAGGCGCAGTTGCAACTTTTGACAATGTTGAGAAACCAGTCATTGAAACGTAGTGCAAAGCAAGACTTACGTGCAGGCAGCGCCGCAGCATTTAGTGTCAGACATGATGATGATAATGATGAATGCGATTAAACTGTAAGACTGCATCAGTCGCGTGATGTGGGCTCGGTTCAGACAACTTACCAATTGTGAATAGAGCAGATGCTGGAGGAAAAGGCAGCCAAAGAGGGGCCATTTTATATTGCTCACTATTGGAGCCGACCAGAATAGATCTACAGATCGAAGCGGAAGGTTGGAACCACGTCAGACCCCACAACAGCTACGGCACGGGGATGTCTTTATTGAATCTAGGGATGTTAATGACAGGCCACAGCCACGGAGTGAAGTAACTAAAAAAGGTCAGCTTCTGATCCAAGCCTGATAGGATGAAAGTGCATCAGGTGGATATGCCGCCGCATCATGATCAGAAGTTCAGAAGGCCATGGAAGACATACGATATCGACTGAGTCCATCTAAGGCCCCGCCTTCAAAATTCAGGCTACTAGGCCGAACTGTTGGTATCGGAATCTTCCTGTGTTCAAGGCACGGCACGGCCCGTGCTTCAAGTTTCTCTTGACTGCGCTCCCAGCCCACGCTTGACGTACGTGCTAACCAGAAGGGCTCGAAAGTGATTGCGACAAGAGTGATATCTGTCAGAGCGCCACTCAGCGAGAAAACTACTGAGCTCACGGACACACGATGGTCATCGACAGTGATCTCAGATGGCAAGGACCAAACAAATTATTACGGTCTATTCATGGGGTCTATTGGATAAGACTGTACTCCACTTGGCCATATTGCTAGAAATCAAACCCTTGCTGCCGAAAGAGATCTAAGTTTGACCGGCTCTCAGGCTTAGCCAACTCAGCAAGATCATTGCGGTCCTGGGATAATACGGCTTAGCACAGCATTTAGACGAAAGAACCGAACGTAACCACCATTGCGATAAAGGCACGCCTCAGGGTAAACCACAGCTGATCACTAGTTTGACCGCCACCTGTGCTCTCCTGCATGCTGAGTGCACTCAAGAAGTGTTCGGCCGCCTCTTTGTGCGCTCCTATGTTAAGACCTACATAGGTGAGATATTAGCTTAAAATATTCAGATAGTCGAGAAAAACGTACACGCGACCCCAACGTTGTAAATAACACGGGTGTAAGTAGGGCGCAAATTCAAAGCTTCCCTGTACGCCCCAAGGGCTTCCTCGGGTTTATTTCCGTTGGAAAGAGAGGAGCCCAGACGGTTCCAGAGTAGGTAATCCTGATCATCATTATCAGTGACAAGAATGTGATGGCAACCGGAACTTCGCATACCCTGGGGCGCTGTGATAAGGCGCTCTCGAAACAATCTTTTGCCCGTTCGTAGTCCATTGTCGTATAAAATAATACGCCAAGTGCAATCTGGGTTTCCGGATCAACGATCCCTTGGTTATACTGCTGTCGTGCCAGGGTAAGGAAGGTCTCCGTAAGCTTCTCATGAGAGTCCCATGTTGAGTGCAACGACACAGCCTTTTGGGTCTCATCTGGTATCGGGAAATCCGGATATCGGACTCGCAGCCATCGCAGTAGCATGTTATAAGAAGCCCGGTCGTAAGACTCATTGGTGTACGAGATTGCCAAGGACTGCAGATAATGCGCCATGAGACGGGGTTGGAGCAATTTCCAGATTTGGAATACGTACTAGCATGCCTGCTCCGTTGGCATTGGCGGTTTCTGATCGGCGAACTCCTTCAGTTAATGCACGCAAGCCAAGGTCTTCACGTTCGTCCATGTTTCTGGTTTCACCAAGAAGTATCCATGCTTCATATCCGCCCTCGCCAAGTTCTCCTTGCTGGATAGCAGCCTCGAGTAGAAGGGCAGCTTCAGATAGCGAACCACCCTGCTCCAGAAAAGCCTTTGCCTCACTCAGTGGTGACCGACCAGACGAAGATTTGTCGAGATATTTGTTGTTTGGCTCTGTATGATTTAACAAACGAGGGCATGAATTGTCGGATGGGACTCACCGAACACATATTCGGTCAGGATAGGTATCCCATCATCGTTATACTTGGATTCGAGGGGCTGAGCACTCCCATCATAATTTCCCAGTCCATCATTCCATGCTTCTTCCATAGCCGTGGAGTAGTCTTGGTCGAGCTCCTCGCGATCACGACCCATGAGTTGATTGAACTGTGCTTCCCATTTGCCGATATCTTCTGCGGGAGGAGGTATCTCTGAGTTTTGCAGGTGATCCCAGACGCTACAAAACATTAGGTGGGCAGCTTATCGATAATCAAATGACATACTCCTTGAATTCCGCGTTCGTCAATTCAGAATCTCCAAGCTTGATGTTCTCCATGGCCTGCTCCAAGCTAGCCGCAGTATCATCCAGTTCGACAATCCTAGAGGAGGATTCTTGTTGATTTTGCAAAGATGCAGCCGCTTGAGCAAAAGCAGCTTCATAATCGGCTTCGCGAGCTTTGCCCTTTCCTTTACTCGCGTCTACATTCAGGGGAGTAGCATTGTATCCCTGAAAGAACGATTGTCCCATATTCCCATACAAGCCCATAGGTGATCCATACATCCCATGTGAACCAATAAACTGCTGTCTCTGAGCTGCATGCCTGATGTTAGCTCACGATTCAGAAGCCTATATCATACGCAGGGCAACTCACTTTCAGGCATCTGAGCAATTGAATGTTGCATGGAGGGACCACCGATGGGCTGCTGCTGAGCGCCGCCGAATTCATTTGCCCATGAGCTTTGGGTCACATTATTCTGCATTAGAGGCTGATGAGATCTTTCCATGGTCCATGCTTCATTGAATTCAGGAAGTCTATTCATTTCCGCTATGCGAGCAAGTTCTGCGGAGTGAAGATACGGGGGCGCAACAAGGGCGGGACCACCTGGTCTTTGCTGTCCTTCAAAAAACTGACGTGCCATTGCGACATCTTGCTCTGCGGCTTGAGCTGGAGTTGACCCAGGAAGGTGCTGGAGCTGATGGATGGAATGAGTACGTTAGACAGCGAAATGTGGTAAAAGCTGACTCGGGAGGATGAAGAGCCAGCTACACGATCCTGTTTGCAAGTGCTGTCAGATGAATTGCGGGTTTCCGCACTGTTAACAGACCTGCTGCAAGCTTCTGTCTCCTTCTGTGTGCTTAAGAACTTGGGAGAGCGGGTTCAGCGGTACGGCACATTCAGATCCAGAAATCAAACCCTGGAGAGACATGAATCCTCAGGTGTCGAGTAAAAATGATGTTTGGTGGAAATATGGGAGATTGATGCTTGTGCTATGTAGAGAGCAACCGTGACGCTAGCCGCTAGCGCTCACGGCAACTCGGGACGCCGGATTCACATGAGCTCGACGTATACGTACGACTACTTATAAGTAGAATTTTTAAGCCACGAGCTCTTCGTTCAACTCTCCACATAGCCCTCGAGGCTGACAGGACTTAGCTATGGCTGCTAAAAATTATTCGTAAAAGAACATGATGCGCGTATACGTACTATCACTCGGAGCCGTCGTAGCACAAGGCTGCAAGTAAGTCGTCCTTTCAAAAAAAACAATTTCAAAAGTCCGCAAGCTTTCAGCTTGTCTCGGACGTCTTTGTCTACCCACTCCGTCGCTTGAAGGTGTGTAGGTGTCTTCTATCTAACTGCTTCGTATATCGACTTCCTCAGTCCTCAGTCGATACGGTGACATGTCGCAAATCCCAATGAAATACACTACTCAACAACAATCTCGGTTTGCACATGAATGCGCTATAGGCGATGTATTCGGTCGTGCTCCAATTTACGACCTTATCTTCTCTTGCGTCTCGCCTCGCACGCTTGTGCGCACTGGCCGCAGTTGTCGCGCTGCGTACCATGCCTCCAAGGATTTTTCTCACCGCGCTTACAACATACACCGGCATCTTTCTCACTTTCTTTCCAAACCCCTCGCCTTTCGCAATTTACAGGCGCGTACCGGGACGCTTATAGCGGGCTCGAATGCGCTTCAGTTTCTGGACAGGACGTTCTATCCCGAAGCTGATATGGATATTTACGTGCATCCAGGGCACGTGAGGGAAGTGTTGGACTATCTTGTTGAAAGAGAAGGATATAAGTTTAAGCCAGACAAGACCCAACCTGAGGATTACCGTGAAATCGTCTCTGATGAATGGGACGGCACTCGAATCCGTGCCCTGGCGCCTGACGATGACGAGTTCTTACAGTACTACCAAATCAAAGGAGTCCAAAATGTACTTTCAGTCGAGAAACGCGGGCTGAGAGGTACTCTGAAGATCCAACTTATAGCATGCGAGACGAGCCCATTCGAGACCATCGTTAATTTCCATTCCAGTGAGTCCACTGGCTTGATTATACCGTTGTTCTGATGGTTTTCTGACTATGACGGACTTGCATGCCTACAGCCTGTGTTATGAATTTCATAGCCTTCGACGCAGCCTATTCTTTGTATCCAGTGGCCACTTTCGAAGACAAGGATACTCTCTCAATTTGGAGGGCAAGGCCACTACACGACCTTACTGTCGTGATCAAGTACGGCGAACGTGGCTTCAGATGGCTTCCCACACTACCAAGCACTTCCACACAAACTTCCCCCTTCCACCCTTTCACAGACCGTACCGTCGGAGATCAATATACATGGAGGATGTCTCTGGATACTGAGGGAGTCGATCTGCATCCACAAATGAACTCCTCTTCGTCCCTAATACAGTGCGACCCTGTTATCTACAATGGCTGGTCTCTGGAGCACATACACGACGGAATGGGCACCATCTACAAGACAATCAAATCGACGGTTTTCCGATACAGCTACACTACCACCAACCGCAAGCTGCACTTCAAGCTGTGCTTGTTTGCATTCGAACAGGGCTTTCTGAGTCGCATACTCCTGCAAAATAATTTGCTGGAGAAAGAGAACTGGCCGTGGTACGTCAGCACTATTGTCGTTTACCCGTATAGAGATTTACTTGGGGTTCGTCTATGAAGGTTCGACGCTGAACTTGCCACCTTCTGGGAAAATTTTGAACATGATTTTGTGTCCCTCATTCCACGGGACTCTACTCAATACTTAATACAAGGTTTTTGCGCCCAGTAGTTCTGGCATTACGATATGGTGTTGTTGAAGCTGAGCAGCCCATCTTTTCCTATTGCGCAACGTTCTATTCCTGTAGCTGTTCAAATCCTGTAGACTGTTCAACTCCTGTAAGACCTCATTGTGTATCACATAGTACGCCGTTTAAATTTTTTTCTTCTCAGAGGGCTGAAATTTTCCTCGTTGTGACTCTAGAGTACAGAATGAGAGAGACTGTCGTCATTCGCGATGGCGATGTGGCAATCTTGTAGTTGTGCCAGTCGATTGATCGTCTGATTCTCCTGCTTCCACACCATCGTTCATTATATACGAGCTCTCCGGCACGGTTGAACCTGTGGGCGCAATTCAAACTCGAACACTAAGATATTTCTAGACTTGCTCGCGACTTTTATTACCAGTTGAAACTTTTCACAGCGACGAAATACGGGTGCGGGAGGTTGACTGGGTAAGCATCACATGCATGAGCACTTGGTACGATACAAAAGCCATTGCATGTTCGACGGCAGGTTCAAGCTCAGTTTCGGAGGGCTCATCGGTCTCGAAGGCCGAAGATCAAGGAGTTTTTCTTTTTCAACGCCGGTGTCAAAAATATCTGATACAGTCATGGTGCAGGACGGGTCGCGCGCCAAGGTCGCGCACAACGATTCTAGTCAAAATGTCATGGCACGTGTTTACCTAGTGGCTTGGGCAACTCTCAACAAAAAAAATTCTTCTGCCAGATCCCTGCGCCGAATTTGAAGCTTTGAAGCACTACACTGGATCTCTTTGTCGAGGTATTCACGTATCAGGGTAACCTCCGGCAATTCGTCCTACGTCGACCTTCAAATTAACCAGGATGAGCCGCTCATTAGCTTCTTAACAAATCTCTACCCCGCGAGCCTCTAACTGGCAAACTTCCGCGTTACAATGACGAATGTAGTGCTCACGACCTCTCTATCGATTCCGATTCGCTTACCATTTCCTTCGAGCGCACCATCCGTGTTCCCGAAACCAGCAAGCCAAACAATCTTTCCCCGGGACTGGGGAGTTTCCCACTGTACAATTCTCTCACGTCTTGCCGCAAGACATGGTGGAGAAGGGTGGGGTATTCCTCGCCATGTACCGTACGTTCGGTCAACTCCGGCCCGGTGTATCCGTACTGATATTGTTGCTGCGCGCTGTAGAGCGGGAAGTAATGTGGTTGAATTTCACAAGCCGGAAATGGTTCGCTATCCGGATATTCGTCGGTGGCGGTATCACTGGCGAACCCATGGTTCCGGACATGGTAAACGGCAAAATGGGGTCAATTCGGAACGAAAGCAGGACTTCACCGTTGTACCTGAACAGCCATGGTTAGACGGTATTGCAACTGGTTCGGGTATGGTGAAGCAGTTTGTCACTGTCCCTCATGGATCGGGTTATTCGATCGAACACCAGGTAGATATTTTTGTTTAAAGAGTTAGTGATGTCTAACGGGGTGAAACAGATTACAGGATCAGAGACGACAGGCGGGATTCGGCTCGAGGTAATACCAACAGAATTCGAGGGAAGAGATATCTATTGTACTCCTTGCGAACGTGGACTTTCCTTCGGCTCTGAAATCACGATGATCAACCTGAACGTGCCTCCGCCTAGGGACCCTTTTGGGAACATGGAGATTTTATTCGCTAACGGGCGTATGAAGATTTTTATCCAAATCCCGGCGGGGGAGACAATAGTTGTCTGGGCAGCAAGTTCCGACACTATCGAAGATATCAAATCCCAGATTCATGACAAGGAATGTACTCCGCCACACCTGCAGTGCCTAATCTTCCGCGGAACACGGCTTGAAGACGACGAGATACTTTTTGACTGCAACAGGGATCAACCCTCCAATTATTCTTGGAACGGTTAGGAGGCGGGTTTGCACCCACACCAGAAATGAGTTTCGGCGCTGGCGGGAAGATCAAGCAGACAATTTACGAAGACCGCAACAACCCGCGTATCTGGGACATCGGGAGGGCAAATATATTCAACGTACAGGTGCTGAACACAGCCTACTTCAAAGACATCACCAAGATGATGGCGCCCCCTACCCCGGTTGACATCAAAGCATATACTGCAGCGGGACTTCCCTTTTTTGATATATTCGACGAAGTGCCGACTAACGTCCATGGATCTGACGCCTTCAAGAAGGTCAAGACTGTTTCCGAGATGGATCGGATGTTAGATTTGGGGTCGAGCACCACTTACGAGCCCAGCGCGTGCGTCCCTTTGCAGAAATGCAAGTGCCAAAACAATATGGCGGGCTGCATGTACGTCCTGCGACAGTCATGTGTGAGGAAGTCGATGGCTTACTGGTTTACTTTGTAGTATCCGACCTTGTGACCATGCCGTTTGCTCGGAGTGTGCAGCCCACGGTTCCTGTACTCAGTGCCTGATCTGCAAGAAGGCGGTGACAAGAATTGTGGGTATCACTGCCCCGATGGGCGCCCCTGGCATGGAGTCGGTTCAGAAGCTCCCTGTAGTATTCTTGGAGATGGAGAAAGTGAATGATGAGAGGAAGGAATTTGTCAGTATCGTCCGTGTTGGGGTGAAACAATGATAGGGTATGTTAAACTGTCTACTTGTCACATCGGCTTCTGATTGCGGCAACCCTGTCCACTACGTACACGTCCACCACTGCCCCTACGTTAAGTGATTGCTGCTGCACGGCTCGTGGATTCTGATTCTAGTAACAATTCTTCATACCCCACGTTTGATCGATGCAGTGACAACAACTTGTCACATCGCAGACGGATGCGTGAAAACATATCGCGTATGTACGGAAGCAACGTGACGTTGCCTCCTCCACATTGGGCGGTATTCCCATCCAGCCCAAAGACCGCTCTTTGTCGCTTCAATGATGTCTTTCCCGAAGAGAGCCTTTCCAGAATATAAACGTACTCGCGAGGGGTAGCATACACCTCTGCAGAGGCTGTTAGTGGTGAAGGAGAACTAGACTTCGAGCGTGGGTGGATGTTGTCCGAGGTTTCGAGTCATTCCCACGCATTATGTATATCAACAATCCCGTCCAGAAATGTGCAGTGTTTGAAAGCGCTGCTATTTAGTAAACTACATTTGGAATATCAAGGTGTGCACTGTACACAAGTATCATATCTGCAATGACCGGTCGAAGTCATGAGAGCTACCTAATAAGGATTGGCCCATGGGGTTCCTGCTATACCAGGGTGCACTTGCCTAGCAAGATTGTCGTACTGAGTCGCTCTGGTATTTGTATCGTCGAGGTGGTGGCTCTGTCCCCCGATGGGAGAACCACACTCCGGACAAACACTGCGTTGCATGGCTCCTCCGCACTGTGGATCTGAATCAGTATTGCAATGAACCTAATACACAAACGGTATCACCTCGCCAATCACAAATGTGTGACCATTTGCGCAGTTGTAGAAGTGTCCAGTAGTGCCTGTCATACTCTGAATAATGATCTCGGCTTCGACAACAACAAGCTTACCAAAGTTGAAGGCTCGCACTATTTCCATCTGCTCTTTCAACGAGACTTCCTGATAAAAAAATCCACGAATGGCCATCTTGACGGCCTTCCACTCGCTCACAATTGTATGTGCAGCACGAGAAAAGTTATTCTCCAGCCATGAAGTCTCCTCCTCTGGTGATGGAGTGAGCTTACTTGTAAGATGTGTTGCGACCACGTCATTCATCAGTTGCTGCGCCTCGCAACCGCACTGTTCTGCAGCCTCTACCATCTCCTCTCGACAATCTTTGATGGTTCCAAGTTTGTTGGACATGTAGAAGTTAAATCGGAAGTCCTCCAGGTCAATGCGCATGCGAAGGAGAGAAGTCTTGGTGACCTGTCGGTGAGATCCAGAGCCCCTTGCGAGCTCAAGAGCCTTGTCCACATCACGAGAACAACTCCACAGTATGAACTTGATGTAGCTCGCCCATTGCTGGACATGGTACAGCGGGTAGTCGGTTTCGCGTTTGCTCACCTCCTCTAGCCACAAGCGACCCAAAGTAATCAGAGTCAAGCGGATGTGCAGCGTGCACCAGAAGGCTTCCACGACGAACCGCCTGTCAGCTAGAGGACGCGACTGGCCAACTTGCAGTCTCGCGAGCCTCATCGCATTTTCCTCGGGCCGACTAGGCATATGAGTCGGATTTTCGATGTTGCCAATGAAAGTGCTCATTTCGCGGCGGTACAGGAACGAAAATGCGGACTCCCAAGCATGCAGGTGGGCACAACGCGTCTCAGCCACTGCAGTCGCCTCCTTGTAGGCATTGAATAGCTTGTGAGTGATCCTACTCCAAACTCGGGCCACCGCTGAATCGATGGTATGCAGGGTGGTATTCGCGGAATTGAGGGCACGCTCTGAGACAGGAACTTCCTTCTTTGTCATTAGCTCTTCAGAACGAGCCCTTGCCTGCAAATTGGATTTCTTGGCCTTTGACGTGCGGATTTTGATGGTGGCTGCCTCGCGGATAACTGCGGCCTTCATATCGTCTTCAGATATCTGGAGAATGGCAGTTTGAACCTGGTCAAGCGCTCGAGACATGCGGGCGGCAACATTGTGCTCCAAGATATCCAAGTCAGCTCGCTTGAAAATGCGACCATATCTGGGAGCTGTGATCGGCGAGCGACATGTTGGACATGTGGGGGGTTTTTTGAACCCGATGGGAGAGAGCATACGAACCCACGGTCCGCCGGGTTCTTTCTGGAAATAGAAATCACTCATGCTGCAGTGACCATCCAGAGTTTCTATGGTGAACGTGTGCTTGCACGAGGGAATGGTGATCAACATCTCGTCCAGAGTTTCCGACTCAGGTGCAACTTCGGATAGTGTGCGCTGCATAATGAAATCAACGACATGGTGTTTCTTATCATTGGGAGCACACTGCGGGCAAATTTGGATGTCACAGTCCTCTCCGCATACTTTGCATAACGTGAGCACAAAATTCTGAGGAAAACATTTGCTTACTCACCGGAAGGACACCTGTGCCCACAATGCAAGGTTTTGTTGCAAGGTACGTCGCAAGGCAACCTTGCACATACCTAAAAATGGAGGATCAGGAAAGCACGAACAACCGAAGTGAACAGCACACTGACAGAGCCGCACGGTACAGGACAGGAATAGTGGGGGCAACTCCTACACATGTTAATCAGCGAAAATCACAGAAATCATTTTCGAAGAGTTCCAGTTACCATGTGCATGGCTCTTGACACGGCGCACAAGGCACCGAACACGGCAATTGACACCGGGCATGAGAGCAGGCTTGTCTACACGGCTTCCTGCAGGCGACGGTGTGCTTGTGGTCATCGCAACAAGCCTCCTGACACAAATGCTCGCAGAAAAGTGGTTTCTCGCAAGGGTGAGGAAGATGCTGTGCCCTCCATGTACGTTGTCCTTCGGAAGTTGGGTTTTTCTGTTGGCATTCGTAGCACTTGGCTTTACACGTCCTTCCGCAGCAACTCATAATTCCGCCACATGGAGCCTTGCAGTGATAAGTGGATGGATCAGTCGAACATGTCAAGCGAGCTGTGTGCTCGCAAGAAGGTAGTTCCTTGTCAACGACGAAATCACAGAAAACATTTTCCAATGTGCTGATCTCGTGGCTAGAAATCAATCAATTAACACCCAGTGTTCGACTGGAGGTGGCCAAGACACACCATGGAACAGACGCCTTCGAGTGTCCGCACGGAAGTTCGACATTGGCTTCCGGGAAGAAACAGTTGCCACAAGGGGAAGCGCATTGCTTGGTGCATGGATGGCCTCTCGTGCAAAGCCTCGTGCATGCATGCATGCAGGTCACAGAAGCATGTTTCTGATCATCGCTGTGACACTAGAAGGGATGATCATCACGCACGCCAGTCTGAATGCGAGAAACGTTACCTTGAATGGGCACATGTGACCACAGTTCAAACGGAAGTCGCACGGTCGCATGCATCCTCCTGGGAGCGTGATTCAGTGCGCTGCTCGAGTTTAAGAAGCAGTCATACACACCATCAGGCGCAATTTGAGGTAGTTGGCCTGGCTTGGAGACGTACTCGAGAGTATCCTGGTGTCGATGACAAGCGATAGGAAGTGCTGGACCAAGAGCTTCGTCCCTTTCCAGTTCTTCGATGATGTGCTGCCACATTCGACTCCTGGAGGACAGGTTGGCAGCGTTTCCAAAAATGAAGAGACCTTCGCGTGCACGAGACAACGCAACTAGAGCACGATGATCAATGTACCACACCTAATACCGATAAACAGCTTACCATTGGTGCGGTTCTCAGACTGTCCGTAAAATAAGGATTTAGCGCCTCAAAGTTGTATCCCTCTTTACTCACCTTGAGGAAACCGATGCTAGGTCTAGTTCCATGCGTGAACCCAAGCGCGGCCATTTCATCGTCCAATTCACCGGAATTTCGAACCAGTGACAAGATCACGATCTAGGAGAAAACATTCAGAAGATGAAGTAACACCAATGCAGACACCTACCCTGCCTTCTTCTCCTTGGTAGTTGTCGACGGTTCGCAATCGAACCTAGAAGTTGATTGAACACACAAACGAACTACCTCACAAAAACAACGCATACCCTTCTCGTGACCTTTACATGTTCAATCGTGATCCCAAAACTCAAGTCGTTTTCATCATCTCCCTCATGGTCGGCAAGAGCAGCTTGGTCGCGCTCATCAATCACAATCGCCACCTCATCAGCGAGGGCATCTCGCAATTTGGCCAGCTGGCCAAGATAGGCACAAAGAACCACAATATCACCTTCGTCGGAGTAGCACCCTTGCCTGAATAAAGAGGTTAATCCTCAAGCGATGAAAAGCTTTGTATGGTCAGACCTTAGAAGATACAGTACTAGTTCGCGAATCATTGCCACCTGTTATGAGTCAGCAAGTAACTATGTCCTCAAGGTAATAAAGGCCCTTACTTCGTATAGATTGTACTTGCCCGCGGAGTCCTCTGCACCTTCATTTTCCCTATGGTTGTGATTGACAAAGAATACATTCTTCGCGATGCCGCGGACAGAGGGATATTGGCGGACGAGTTCGTGATCTTCAAGGCCGGGGTAGAGGGTGTTCCTGATAAAGAATAAGCACACGCCTGGCATGGAAGAAGAGACGCACCTGATCAAACTCGAGATCGCAGGCCGCATTCGGCGTTGTACATCAATCCGAGACATCGCAAGTCCAGAGCTCGAGAGGCGTTCCATTAGGGACATGTCGAATCTATAGAGATCTCGCCCTCTTTGGCTATCCATGGACAATGCTGGTTGGGTGTCAGAAGACGTAGTGTCATTCGCCGTCAAGCACTCACAGAAATTGTTGATCGTCGGCCTAAGTTGCAACGGGTCACCAATCAAAATGAGGTGCTCGATCGAGGGCACCAAACTCCCGAGCACATGAGCCTCCAGGACCTGTCCAGCTTCCTCGACGAGCAATACTCGAGGATTTAGACCCTGCAAGAGTTTAGATGAGACAGACACGACATTGATCTCACTCGGTTACCTTCAAGAGCGTGGCCAACTTTGCCGCACCTAGTAAGGACCAGATTTTAGGTGGAGATGCTTGGCTAAATACAAAACATGCACATACCAGTCGTGGTACAACCAATGATATCGATGTTGCGCAGTAAATTTCGACGGACCTAGAAAAACAATCGAACCTGTTGACAACTAAAGTGAAATAGTCACACACCTCTTCTTTTCCTTCGGTACATTCCCGCAGTATGTTCTCGTGAACTTCGCGAAGTCGCTCAAACTCGCCCTTCTGAGCCTCAGCCAACTCTATGCGCATATTATGAACCCAGAAGTTATGGAGGTCAAGCCGCTCTGCCCTGCTCATGGTCCAAACGTCGCCAACGTCCTCGAGGAGTTCATTCAGGGGACGACTGGATGTAGGAATGACAGGCCATTGCGAACATCCGAGGGCTGCGAGAAATCCTTCAGGGTCCTTGAAGTCGGCCTGTGTCAGGCCAGCGTCGTTACTAGGTTCAGGCTCGGGAGACGGTTGTGTTTGGGTGCGTGCAACAGGAGCTTCTTTAGGAAGACTATCAGGCTCCGGAGATGGCGGCGTGATCTTGACTTTCATCCAAGCGTCCTGAACCGGCAGGTCTTCAGAGAGCGAATCGTCATCCTCGGGCTCCTCGCTTGTCGCGTATTCATCATCTGATTCGAGCGAAGACTGCTGTTCTAAAACACCAAACCTGTTGCTTGTCGTTTCGTTAGGCGGAGTTGTAGTTTTCCAAGGTGCATATGAGCCATCAGTCAACGCTCCGATGAATCCCAAGTCAGATCCGTCCCTCCAGAATGCGTAGAATGACATATCCTTGGCAAAAGTTTTGCCTCGTCGGCCCTGTTGCTGCCATTCACCTGCATCGTCATCTTCATCGCTGAAAAGCGACTTGATGTTCCGGATCCAAGTTGGTGGGGCATTTAGATTTCCGCAATGCTCCGGATGAAAGGATGCGATATACTTGATGATTTCGGTGGAGTCAGATTCAAAGTCGTCCTTCAGGACGTTGACCATCAGGTTCTTGATGCTTTCTTGGATATTCTTGAGTTCCCTGCGCTTGCTGGAGAACGTTCTGTTCAAACGAGACTCTTCGTTCACCATTTCAAGTGTCTCGATCGAGTATTGCGAAATCCTCTCGTCCCCCGAGCGAGAACCTAGGCGGATGATCTTCTTTGTGATGTCAGCATCCAGCACAGATGCAAGCATGTGGTCCAGCGCGTGTTTCGTGAATGCAATCATCAAGATAGGGCCGACATCATTGGCTCGTAATACACGGAGCAACTCGACACCGGTGTAACTCTAGGATGTGTGAGTTAGTAGCGATCCAACAATTTGTGTAAGATTTGTGACCTTTCCTGTCCCTGGAGGACTGAACGTGCCATCAGGTCATCATTCATACCCACTGGACGTGACGAACTCACCCCTGAATCAAGGCCACCTCTCTTGTCAGTGCATCAACGACTGCATCCGCCTGGCTCGGGTCAAGACGGCTACTCCCCCGTAGCTCAGCACGAGCATTCTCAATAGATTGACGATCTGTCACAGAGAGCGTCAAGTCCTCCACGTCGGTCTTGTCAGGGAAAAGACATGAAAGATTGAACGCGAAACCAGGCATCGTGGCGTATCGTGGAGGGTCCACTTTGCAAGTATTTAAAACGCCCTGAGGTCGGTGAACTAGATAGCGTGAGAACGGGACTTCCTCGGGCTCGACTTTCAGAGCTTCGAGGAATGGTCGTATGGTTCCAAACATGACGGGGGATTCTACCAACAACTTGAGGTTCTGACCGGACGGCTGAGGGTTCCTGAGCTCCTGTAAAATACGCAGCTCCAATTTTGTGTCGAAGAAGACGATGCGAAGCTTGACGCGATCTGGATCGCGCTTCACGTGCTCAGTGAGATCTTTAAGGGAATTGGCGATCACCCCAAGATGCACAGCGACATCGTTGCCAGTGTGCCACATCAGGGCGATCAAGCCGCCCTGGAAAAGGCGTTTGCCACTCATGCCCTCCCAGAATGAAGTCCGCGCACGAGAATTTTCGGACCGCGCACGGCCCGGGGGCGCGTCAATGACGACGCTGGCAGAGATACCTCTCCAGTCAGGAACGAGGGAGACGAAATCAACGCCAGTGTAGACGTTAAACATGAGACTGTCTTGCGTATCCGCCAGGCCACGGTACTTCCCTCCCTTGTTCTTCAGAAGCTCTGCGAGTTTGGTCTTCTTGCGCGGCTGCGTTTTGAGGTCATCATGGACGAGCTGAACCGCTTTACGCAAAGGAGCGCTGCACAAAGTCTAGTCAGCGCCTAACCAAGATTTTCAGATGACGACATACGTCAGCTCCTCTCGCAAAAGCCTGAACTGGATGTCGAGCAAGCGCTGCATGCTCTCCATAGGTGCTGGATGAGGAGCACCAAAGAAGTTCACGGGCAGAAATGGCGGAGTACGGCTCATGAGTTCCTCCTGAGTGGGAGCAATACGAATCTCGCAGATGTCCTCAAAGTCGTTGTCGTGGCGAGGCCCACCTTCACGGACAGCACCCGGACCTTGATAACCGCTATGGAGTGCGGCAATGATGCTCTCATTTGAGGCAGTGTGGGAGGTAGGTTGTTTTTTACGATCAGAGCGCTGTTCTTTTCCTTGTTCCCGTTCCACAATGGAAACCAGCTTGTTAATCTTCTCGCGGAGAATTTGAACGAGTAGGTCTCGTACGGTAGGCTGAAGGAGTTTTAAGAAATTATCGAACGAAGGCGGATTAGCAGAGATGCCAGTCATCCACTCTCCAAACCATTTCTGTAAATTCATGACCAAGGGTGCCAGACGAGGATATGTCGCGACAGCGTTTTTGAAGCGAACAAGAAACCTGATGCGGATTAGAGCAAAAATAACGAAGGCAGTGATAGTTTCTTACTCGTGCAAGACACCGGCGATGGATACGAATGCCTGGGCGTCGATAGGGGCCTTTCCAACGGCCCCGGGGTCACTGAAGGAGCGGGAAGCGATAATGCTGTCCATAGACTTCTCGACAGCATCTGCAAAATTTGGGAGGTTCTGTAATACCGTCATGTACAGTTGACTAGCAGCAGCTCAGTGCGTTGCGTCATGACGAATCGAAGATGCATACTTTACTTGAGTTCTTAAAGTGCTCTGAACAACGAAATCGGAAGACATATACTGCGACAAGGTTAGCACTGGCACGGGCACTTAATAAGTCCACGTACTCTAAGCAAGGGGATAAGCCCTCTCTGAAAAGAAAGAGTTTCCCGGCTTACGACTGCCTTTGGGGAAACCTGCTGCCAAGTCACTATCTCCGCGACCCGAAGTCGACCAGTGTTCTGTGGATTTCAGTTAGGTATACATCAAAACATTCTTGATGAACGTACCGAAGTCAGGGCTTCGAGTAGTAACTAGGATACATGCCGTCAAAACAGAGATGAGTTTGGGTAGTAGCAGCATACCTGTCCTTCTTCTTGAGTCTGGATCTAACAGTTAACCAAGACGAGTTGCATGAAATATTTGAAACCTACCCATGAGGCGTTTTGAAGATTGGCACTCGACAGTGATACGAGAAAGCCGTAGATCTCAGGGGCAGTCTTGAATCTGAAGTCATCTCGGAGAAATCTTCTCAAACGACTATGAGCCTCTGATGGAGTCAGAGACGTTGAAGCATCCTGAGGGAAATAACCGTCGGTTCCACCTCCCACGAGTTTCGTGAGACCTTTCTCTGTGAGGAAGGGAGCGATGAATTCTTGCGCAGCCTGTGTTGGGATTGCGAAAGGCTGCAGAGACCGTGTGCCGTGCTGACCCTGCCTGAGGGTATGTGCATAACGGCAGTCGAACTCTCGAAAACATCGCCCTGTCTCCCAAAAGAAGCGGCACACTCCTCCAGGAGGTGGACTTGATGGAGATATCGGGCGTTGAGGGCGTTGAGCATCGCGTCGTGAAGGAGATCCATCAGAAGACACGCTCGGTGACGACGGTCGTCCGCCTCCTCGACGCTCTGCATTTCGATTGTGTTCAAAAGTACAAGACGTGCCACGACGGCAGCCGCCTGGCGAGTTATAGAAGTTACAATGTGGGCGAGATATGAGAGGTGGACTTGATGGAGATATCGGGCGTTGAGCATCGCGTCGTGAAGGAGATCCATCAGAAGACACACTCGGTGACGACGGTCGTCCGACTCCTCGACGCTCTGCGTTTCGATTGTGTTCAAAAGTACAAGATGTGCCACGACGGCAGCCGCCTGGCGAGTTATGGAATTTACAATATGGGCGAGACATGACGAGGCTACTATGGAGTAGTACCAGTGCACGTCAGTTTCTAGCTGTGTAGCTTTTAAGTGAGATGATCATGAGGTGCCTGGGGGACCTACAGATGAACGCGATAAGCAATGAACCAAATGAGGAGTATAGTTCTCCCAACACGAGGCTTCACAGGATGTGTTCAATTGGTCTGATCCCAGCTGATACGCACCCTTTGAAGCCGGCGTCTTGCGGGATCTGTCTCTGATATAAACAAAGATGAGGCTGTTAAACCTGAACTTTCTACCTGATGTTTTAAAACGATCATGAATCACAGAAGGTGATCAAATTGTCGTTAAAGCACGCACGTTAGTTGTTCGAATGATGGTACTGGCTTCAGTAAGTACTAGTTCAATGGTGAGTCCAGACTCCAGTGACAACAGCGGGACGACGTCAAGATTCGGAGTTGTAAATTTTAATTACCCTATTCAGCGGTGCACTGGTGCATCAATGTTTGGACCCGTCGAAAAACTATCGTTTTACGATCCCTGACATTCCCTGTTTGGTATAGTCTCAGGTGAACTGAATTGATTTCTAACACTTAAACTGAGCGAAATTTCAGCCGCTTTTGCTGATGTGGTGACCTCAACCACGGCAAGTCACTAGCCTCGTTGTTCGACAAATGGATCATCGCTGATCATTGCCTCACTTCTAGATCGAAAGGTTTGAGCACATTATTGTATTGCGCATCCCCGCAGTACTAAGCACGTTGCCTGAGGCAGCCTGCCTGTATCTCCGCTCTCGGAGAAGCTCTTATCACAGAACTACTAGCCTTCTCGTGCGTCGCCTTTGGCTCTCAAATTGGCGTATAGTCAGACTGGTTATGGGATAGAGTCACAGCAGGTCTGGATGCATTTGACATACCTTGACGCAATATCGCGCAGCACTACCTTTACTCGTCCCATTCACACTGGCAGTGGTAACGCCATCTCCGCAGTTCACGCATTCCATCAAGTTCTTCACTGTCCGCATTTGCGGCTGCGGAGTAGGAGATGCAGCGGACATTGAAGTCAAACCTTGATCCTATCGAGGCTTCCAGAATGATGCACTCACAGAACCGTCATTTAAGCACATCTCTGACGAAATCTGATCGATTGGGTGCAAGTTGCTGACCACGTTGTCTTGGGGCCCCGGGGGCAATTCATTGAAAGATGCCCGGACTCCCAATCCACATGTATCCTTGCAGATAGGCTACAACTCAAGCCTCAAGGTGCAGTGGCTTCTGAAGCCTAAATACATGACATTGGGCAATTCAGCACTTCGCTGGCATAAAGGTGTTAGAGATAGTCGAGAAGCTGAAGCAAAGATTAAGTTGAGGTGTCACTTGAGGCCTAGTAATACATATATGTAGTTGGGACCCTTAGATATTGTGTTGAGGCGCGGACACAACGAAATCTATCTAAGTATCATACGAAACGAGCAAGGGCCCTGGATCTCTGTCAACGTTGTTGGCGCTCGCAACCATTGCTCGACGAAAATCTTCCCTGTAGTACTAGTTTGTTGCTCGAGCAACCTTCTTCGAGTTCCACTATGAATAGGCTTGCTCCTGATCCGAGTTTAGAATACTGTCCAGACTTTGCCTTTGACATCAAGCTAGTCGCGCCCGACTTCTGAATCAGAACACCAACGACATCGAAGTTTTGCAAAAAATATGGGTAGTTACCGATAACACCCGCAGGGTACATTGGCAGCGGCTACTCGAGGAAGACCAAGGTCTCGAGGAAGCTGCTGTTCTAGAGGAAGAACGGAAGAAGAACCCACTCAAATACATTCCCATTCCAAACCGTCCTCGCCCCTCGCACGGTACAGACAGCGTCCTCATTTTCGATTCTGCCTTAAGAAAGGTCATTGAAGATCAGTATGTCGAGCTTTACTACTGGACTAATAGCGATCTCGACGTGGCAGATGCATGATTTCATTCTAACACAGCAAGTGTTCGTGCTGCAGCTATGGTCATTCCTGACCATAGTCTCACCGCTTTCGACTTCGCTCAAGCTGTTCCTTGCGCAGTCGCGTCGTCCAAACAGTGCAGTTGGGCAGCCCAGCGTGTCGAGATGCTTGCAGGTTTCTGGCGCGCCATAATGCTTCATCGTTACTGGAATTCCGTCGACTCTCTTTATTAGTATGCGTTGCTCGCCTGCCGGGATGAGCAATGGCGGGGATGGCACCAAGCCATTCCTCTCCCCGACGGGGCATGGGACATCTCTATTCTAGATGACGCAGAGATTGCGAAGACTCTGGATCAAATCTATCGGAAAGACCTGCGTCGTCGTGATGACGAATGGGACCAGGTGCGTTTTATCCCTTGCCTCGATCATCCATTCGCTAACAGCTTTTCCTTTTTTCGACTTTCCTTTGTGACCGCCTTGCGCGCTTGCGTCGTGCCGCCCCCTTCGTCTATGTGTGCATAATACCTGCAGCGCGTTCAATCCTCCCACCCAAGAGGTGCACAGGATAATCATTCATCCACCCGTCGTACCCGGCGCTCGAGACGTTTATCTGCATGTCCTCACCCAACAGGGTTGTCCTCATCCGGAGGTCGTCGACGCTCGGCCTCTCCTCTCATATGCAGTAACCCAGTCTCCTACCGTAACTAGCCGTCCGGCTCCTAATGTTTTGGGGATCATGTTCATGCACGCCCTTTCTTTCTTAGATCGCAAAGTCGTATTTAAGTCTGGAAAGCCAACGGGTTTTGCACAAATTCGCATTACTCTCACTCGGTGTCAATTAATTTATGTATCTTGCGAAGGCAGTCCTTTGCAAAATCCATCCACTCATCCACAAGGAGGACCTGGTAGGACATATGTTGTTGGCGCCGATAGTTGCGCGTGGGCAGATGATGTGGTTAAGGAAGAAGAACTGGTGATTGGATAACGAAAGAAATATGTATTGCAAGCCCAGTGGATTGCATGGAACAAGGAGTCCGGCACCACAATGGCGTAGAATTGGCAAAAAGAAACGCAGCCTCAGCGACATTAAAAGTCTCTCTGGCGGGGAATCGAACCCCGCTCTCCCGCGGTCGAGTTTCCATGACAGGCGGGTGTACTATCCGATATACTACCAGAGACATGTCACAGGCCCAGCCCTCGAGTATAAAGGTGGTACAGAATTTGCATGTAATTGTTGCAAACTGTGATGCATACAGACGATTATTATTGTGAATGAGATTCTTGCTCTGAGTCTATGCATTGGAGAGAGACAATGAAACAGTAGTTAATGTAGGATGAATTGAACGTGAAGAAGTGTAGTCGTGTACTTCTCCATGCAATATTGGTGTCCTTGACAGGGGTGGAGAGTACTACATATTGCGAGAAAACGACGCGCGGCACTGTACCAGCCAGTCCGACTTTCTAATCTCGCAGGTCATGACGTTCTATCACCCGACTACTCAGTTCAGTACAAAGGGCAAAGTCCTCATCGTTGTGCGTATGTCGATATCTGCATCAATGCAGGAGGGCAACTAAGACAAACTCTCCAAGGCAGCCAGTTGTTTCTGTCGCAAACGTCGCCCAGCTTGCAGCCGATCTCCTAATCACTTCACTATCCCTGTACCGCGTAGGCATATTTGACCCTACAAATTTAGTTCCTGTCGTTGGCGCTCGCGAAGATGATCTTCCTGGCGTTACAACGCCGCTTGAGCGTATGTCTTCATGCATGATTTGCCCGAGGCTTCAGCTAATCACTCAAGATGCTAGTATTTGGCCGTGACGACGTTAATGTTGCAGTCATACAGCAACGCTCTCCCGCATTAAAGGTAATGAAGCACTCAGACGTGACTTTTACCATACTGATCCCGCATCCCACCAGTTCTCGAAGCAGGATTTTGTTGACTCCCTGTTGGAATTCATCCGGACTTCAGGAACTTCAGCTGTCCTCATTATTGGGGGAGTGGATATGTCCAACAGGACTGATCGTCAGATGCTGTTGAGTTGCAATGATTCGGCATCTGAGCTGCGAACTGATGTTTTTCCGCTGCCTATGATAGGACACCTACCTGTCAGATCGTTCCCCCTGGGACACCTGATTTGACTTCTGGTCCGTTGGCTGCCCTCAAAGCCTTGCCAATACCCGTCTACAGTTCACCCGTCTCCCAGTTCCTACACAACGATGCAGAAAGGACAGCCATACCTTTCATACCCGGCGGAGGCCTATCTCGCCGAATTCTTTCCTCGCTTTCCTCGACATGGCAAATCCCGACTGTATGTTTGTTGCAATATGTCATGGAGGGAGACAACAGAGCGGACGCCCAGCTCATGGCAGCTGTAGTATCCAAGGCGTTGCAAATAGAGGTTCCTAACTGGAAGCAGCCTAGCAGTTGGGGTCATGGGCTTTTCGGTACCCCTCACGATCAAACATTGTACGGTTGACGAATGTATTCTACAGTCTGGTGCAGTTGTTGGTAACAAAAATCAAGCAATGATCCAAAAACAAATCTACACGCTCTTTTTGATAGTCTGCGCTGAACATCAATGTTTTCCAGCAATGCCGGTACGGTTTCGGCCTTTTTTCTTGGAGGCTTGAGCCAACGACAGGTAAGCATACGGATCCACACCGCCTTTCTTGACGTCACCACCCGCTTTCTGTGATAGAGCATAAGACCCGACTAACACAAACGCCAGTGGACCACCCACCTTTGCCTTAAACTCGTGGCCTAATTTTGGCTCGTTTCGCCTCTTGTTCTTCTTTGAAGCACCAGCGGCAGCACCATCAGCCATCTCAACATCTCCATCTTCGTCCTCATTCTCGCGGCGCCTCTTTTTAGTATCTTTGTTGAACTTGATACGTCCATTGGGTCCGCGGGTAAAGCCATCCACTGAGGTCATACTCTCCCGATATGCACTGCCAGCAACGTCCTTGGCAGCTTTCCGAGCGCTAATTTCAATGTCAGACTCCTCGTCCTCATTGATAACCATCTTTCCGGTGTCAGTATCAGTTTTAAAGCGACCTGCATCTTGACCCGGTTTGCGGCGTCGGTTTGCTTGGGCACCTGTAAAAAGGTAAACAATGTTGGTTGCGAGCATATGATGAGAACACCCACTGGTTAATCGCGACGCAGCACCCTGCAAGAGGTCCATTGGTTCGTCATCATCCACCCGCAAACGAACGCCCTGTTCAACCCCCTTCCGTTTCGGTGCTGCCGTGGCTCGAGGTGCCTGCTCGTCTTCGTCGCTATCGTCCAACTCGCTTTCGCTGCCATACAACACGTCCTCAAAGGCATCGCCAGTGGGAACCTTCCCTTTTGTCGCCTGAATGTTTTTATGAGCGACAGGAAATGGTAGATGCTCAAGAAGACCAACCTCCCCCTCTTCTTCGTCATCTTCCTCTCGAGCTTTCTTCCTTTTAGCTCTCTCCTTCCGTTTCTTGATGTTCACCAACACCTTCGCGGCCTGATCCTCACCCGCCGCTTGATACACATCATTCCACCCGAACCTTCTGATCATCCGCTCGAAGATGTGGCGGACCTTTGCCTTGAAGTGGTTCTTGTGATCGTGCGACCAGGCGAGTAGTGCAGGGACGAGTTCCTTCAGATGCGGCCGTAGCATTTCAATGGGCAATGTATGAATCGCAAGCTTGATATACCCGAGCGTAGATTTGATGATTTCACGGTTGGCAGAGGAGAGGAAAACGAGAAGAGTCGTGAAGACCTCTGTCTGCATTTGTGTATTGATGGATTCTGCCAAAATCGTCAGATGGTTACAGTCACGACTTCATCATACATACCTCTGAACTCGAAAACGAGACGGGAGACAGCTGTGACGGTAGCACTGATCATGTGCGGCGAAGCGCCCGCCAGCCCTCCTGCAACCATGGTCATGTACTCATTAATGCTCGCTTGCGCTGAAAAAAAGATGTCAATAGCTGAGACTAGCAGTGCAACCATAATTTACCTTCGTCACCATCCTCATCCATTCCGTCGACCATGCTCCTCTTCACTACACCGCCCTGGCTCATTTTTTGACCCATTGCAACGATGAGCTCGAAAGCCGCTGACCGTGCCTTCTCTGATGGCTCCTTTGTACCCAATACAGCTTCCGGGATAAGCGAAGGGATGATATGCAGAGACTCGCTAGGTACCCGAAGTATCAGCAGAGAAAGCAAGATGAATCGGTCTTTCTTTGCAGCAGGTGCAAGGCCATCAGAAAGCTCGTCCAGACGTTGGAAAGTCTGTAGCGCATCTCCCTCTGCCTTGCCGTTCTCCAGAAGCTTCGCTAGAATCTTGTAACCACGCTTTTGTACGCCGTTATCTTTGTGACACAGCACCTCCTGCGCGAGGCACGTCGAGAACAGAGTGGCAACGTCTTGCGCTTCAAGGAAGGGAAGGAGAAGGATCAGAAGGTCTTGGGTCATCGCAGTGGTGTGTCCATTGTCCGATTGCTGGAGGCTTTGGCGGAAAAGATCGGCGACCTTCCGATAGGCTTTTGCAATGTCTTGCTTCTCCGCGAGTCCAGCCCAAACACCGATGACATCGCCCACCATGCCACGATTATCCCTGTCCACGCTACCGAAGACGTTGAAGAAGACGGCGAACCAACTCTCTACTTGCGTCTTGAGGAAAGCAAGGTTCTCAGAAGCTTGTTCGGGAGTAATTGCGTTGTCAGATCTCGATGGCTCGCTGATTTCTGCGTCGATCTGGGATGCAATACTCTTGTTAGACTCTATCAAGGCTTTCAGGCCCCTTAGTACAGCTGGCCGAAGATCGGGCTGGCTGTAAAGTAGCTGAGAAAGAAGTTGCGAGAATGCCGGCGTGAGGGCCTAAAATGATAGACATCAATATCAGAGTTTCTATATGAGCGCCGCACGTACTGTTTTGATATCAGGAGGTGCATGGCAATAGCCCGCAAATCCAGTCCATATCTGAGCGACAAGCACACTCCACACTTTCGCTTCTGATTGCCTTCCTTCGCTGTCGGCCTTTTGCTGCAGATTGAACATCCGCTCGCTCATGGGCACGAAGTATGAGACAAAATGCCCAAGAAGCGATGGGTGTGGTTGATTGAGCATAGGCAGAATGAACGCGCGTGGTTCTTTGCCTGCTTGACTAAAATATATATTCAGCTTCAGTCTCTTCCCCATTTCAAAGTGACTTACCGATCCGACGGCTCTAAATTCAGAGGAATGGCTGCAAGAAGCACAGCAGGACCCACTACTCGCATAGCTGTCGAGAGCACAGCATCCGCAGCCTCCTTGTGCTCAAAGCCTTTTTGGACCCGCAGATCGGCGATCTTCGACAACAGAGGCATGAGTAAAGCCTCTGCAGCAGTGGTAGACTTTGCGGGTTCTACACGAATGCCCAGATTTGAGACCAGAGCTGAAATAACCGAAAGCAGCTCCTGCATCGCGGATGCAAAGGCCAGGGAGTCGAGGGCTTTCGTTATTTGTGAGATGATGCTTCGCAGAGGGGATTTGCCAGCCTCGCCGTCGGCAAGAGAAGTTTGCACTGCAGAAGATGTGATACACCGTGTCAGTAAAGCCAAAGACTCCGCAACAGCCTTCCGGGTTGGTGGATGGTTCGTCTCGAAGTACGACCACACCGTTTTCCACACTTTATTAAACTCAGCGACACAAGCCGATGCATCGGCAACATGATAGGCAAACATAGCGTCTCCGAGAACACGAATCCAAGATGGAGAGATGGAATTATCGGATTTTGCTGGCGGGGATTCCAGGACAGCATTTAAAACAGCCGGAATTTGTTCTATTGCACTGGCAGTGCCGGTCGTAGTAGATGCGGTAAAAAGATCAGAAAGAATCGAGTATGCAGCTTGGGAGAGGTACGGGTTTCCTAATCGTGGAAGGGTCAAGAGTGTAGTGGTAATCGGTGGAATGGCCTTTGCGATTATTTGGGTTAGCATACGGAGAGCAAAGGGTATTAGACATACATCAATGGGAAGATTTGGAAGTACAGGGCGCAAGAATGCAAGGAGATGGATAGCTGTTTCTGCAGCTGACGTATCGGACCCTTTCCCAGATGATTTTGATTTCGGTAGGGCGCCGGAGCTTGCTTGCTGAAGCGCAATATGAGCCCACTCAGCAACCCGCTGAGCATACGGATGCCGCACTAATGGACTCGGTGGGAAGGAAAGAACATCTTTCACGATGTCAGCTGCTTTCTTGCGCACTTTTGGTCGCGGATCCAGACATAATTGCAGTATAGATGCAAATGATTGGCGGACTGTAGAAACATCCAGTTGCGATTTGTCAAGGGCTCTGAATACGGCATTGTACAAAGTGAGCTGTGACCTCAGTGGAGGTGCATGTGCCATCAAGGCAGGAAAAAGTGGTGCGGTCAGGGAGAGAAGTGTATTGAGGTTGGTCTGGATAACTGGTGGGGGGACGAAAGGAGCCACTAGAGCAAGGAGATAAAGTTCTGCGGGTAGAACATCTCCATCTCCAAGTGAAGTCTCCTTCTTTTGAATGCTTCCATCGAGAGTTGTGATCAATGCAGCAAAATAAGCCGTAGGTGTCCTGTCCGCATGCTTTTCCTGAAACGTGGATTCTAAAGCCTGAAGTAAGTTTGCTGGCGCTTTCTGGTGGGCAAGATTTGAGGTCGTATGAGGCCGTATTTTGGCCAATGCCTCCTCCATGACGATCGCCTGAAGATCACTTGCAACTGACCCGATCGTGCTAAAGCTTGACATGCGGCATTGATCAAAATTTTGATTATATAATACCCAAGACTATGTCAAAAGTACATACTTACTAAGTTATTCAACCCTTTCTTTTCTCAATCCTCCCGATCCGCATAACCCACGGCTTATGTACACGACTATCACGACGAGACTCGTATAAATATGCCCAAGGGTTCTACTACGTCCTGGTCTTACATCTTCGTTCGGTGAGGGCAGCGACCTACCAAGGCCAACACAATTTAATTGGAATGACGTCAGGTTGCTCTTCCAGTTTGTGCTCAAGATATTCTATGGAACCATTGTTGTCGAGAATGCTGATCTTATACCGAAGACTGGGCAACCATGGTCCGTTCTCTGTCTGTTTGTCCCCCATTGACCGACTAATTGGTTTTGCGACACTAGCATTGTCTGCGCCAACCATTCCAATTCCCTGACGGATGCACTGTGAGACCACACCTGCCTTCGGGCGAGCGCGTCAACTCACACTCCGTATATCTTAGCCTTTTGGTGACCTCCATGCCGTCTAGAGTAAGCAACCACGACCTTCACCCCGGCATGTTACTAAAATACCACTTGACTCATTGCCATGTAGACGCGTAATATGCTACGGCTCACGGCAAAATCCACTCAGTTCGGCCATCGGACATTTACCAGTTGGCTGATTGAATCCGCAGGCACTGTGCCCATTAAGCGGCGCAAAGATTTTAATAACAATGAAGTTGATAACACTCAAGTGATGGATAAATTAATGGATGTAAGATGCATCCTATACACAGGAGTCCTGAAAGTTGAATTCAATCTAACAGGCACTGGAACTTGGAGACGCAGTTTGCTTATTTCCGGAGGGGGCAAGTCGCTATCACCCCACTATAGCCCCCTTGAAGACAGGAGGTTTGTCGACTTATCAGTATCTGCTAATGTTTGCTTCACCTATCTTATATGTAGTGGCTCGCATTGTTTCGGACGTCCTGAGCCGTAATCGTGATGATCCAGACTTTTCCGTGTCCATTCTGACGTGCTCAGTCACTTACATGTAAACAGTTAGTCTGATCGTTCTACATAGTTGCTGATCGCGCGAAATTGTAGGCATCGACAATATTTCAGGTCAGATGTTCTAGTAACATTCAATCCCCCAATGACAGTTCACTCCCAAGGTGCGGGCAAAATTATATTTCTATAAAGCATTTCATTCAATTCCTGTGCTTCAGGACAATCCAGAACTCCTCGTACCCGTACAGTATGACGAAATTCGGGCTTTGACTGCACGGATGCAACAACAAATTAGTTCCCGGACAATTGACTCGCCATCTTGGGAATTTGTGAGGTCTGCAAAGATGGCGACACGCATCTACGCACCTCTAGGGACCCGTATGAGCCTGGGAGATTATGTACGAATCACAAGAACGTTTGTTGAGGCCTTCAAGGCTTCCGACGAGACGCAAAAGAGCATGCGTAGCGCTGAAGATCATTCTATTGACTTCACCAGGGAGGACGCTGAGCTCAACCAACTGCGTCATGATCTCAAGGTAATAGAGCTTTTTAACGGGTGTACCACTTTTCTGACCCACCATCAGACGTATCAAGACCGGCTTGTTCACTGGGGTATCAAGGACGATCGCATCACACACCCCCTCTCGTTGCGAACGATTATAATGCGGATGGTTATTCGACTGACGTGGTTCATATGTCTCTTTACCATCTCTCTCCCAGGGCTGGTTCTCTGGACGCCCGTCTTCATCACCACATTCATCGCCGTCCGTAATTTCAAGAGAACCGGGCCGGTCTGGGACACCTGGGACGAAATTGCACAATATAAGCTTGTCTACGGGCTTTTCTCAGGTCTATCCGTTTGGGCTGCTTGCATTCTGTTTACGCTTCCTTCTGCCGCAATCACAACATTCATCGTCCCTGCTATGATGTGGATGACCCTGAGATGGATGGAAGACGCGGTATCGGCATTCCGCGCCTTTATGGCATTGGCAAGGCTACTATGTGTTGGGAAGGAGACGCTGGACGAGATACGACTGACACGGCGCGACCTGCATGCGCGATTGATGGATCTTGCTGTGGGGACTTTGGGGTTGCCGAATGATCCCGAGAAGTTTTTCGTTAAGAGTGGGGGTAAGCAGAAGGGTCGCGTAAGAAGCACCTGGGACAGCGGAGCGAAGTACTTCTCTGTTAGGAGGCGGCGGAAGAGGGACTGGAATGAGACGCTGAGGCTATATGACCAGGTAGATTATCCAGAAGAGGGGCTGTGAGACGTCGTATCTGATGATCCATATATAATTTGCACACATCTCGCAAACAACCATGTCTTGACGAATACGTGTGAGGTGAATATTTGAATGTCCACAAAGTTGAAAAAACCGCGCATACAGTAAGTGTAAGGGTATCTAAGATATGGTACAAGCAGGATTGAAACGGAGCCCTGTCATATTCCAAGCGTGACTCGCGGAGAGAAAATGAATTTTGTATCTACACTATATTTCAGCAACCTTCAATGGGTCGGTATGCTCTGTTGCCAGCAGCCCACTTATGGCCGCGGTCTGCAGCTACACCAGTTACAATGACGCCAGCCCCCACGGCAAAACCAGACACCCAAGAAACGGCGTTTAAGACGTAGCCAACACCTTTGAAATATGATCAGAAACAGCCAACAACACAAGAAAGCGGAGCAAGAACTGACCGGGTCTGGCGTGTTCAAAGGCTGGGAAACGCTCCTTGCGGTATAGCTCGGTGACAAGGATAAACGTTACAAGTTGAAACACAGCTGCGGAATGCGATGATGCCTTGTGGTGACGTATGTTTTGAGACTAGACTTACCATGTAGTATAACTAGTCCAGCCACAGCTCTCCAAACCCTTCTCCTCCTGGAGTGCGTGCTTACGCCAATGAGCAACGCCACCAGACCCATCGCTGCAAAACCGATGCCAAGCTCGGTGAAGTATTGAGCTGAGGTCCACAGAGCACAGAACATGCGGTTTTCGCCATCACATTTATCCTTCACGCTAAGCGGAAACGGACGGCATTCATAGTCGGTGTACTCCAGATGTCCACCTTTGTTGGGGCCAGGGATGCTGATGACAGGAACGCTCGCATCGTTCCATCAACCCATAGCGAACAGTGACTTGGACGTTCATGATGTCATATTTAGCAATAAGCCTTCAAATGCAATATGTTAGGCTGGCATTTGGTGGTTAAAACGTTCTCTGGCGAACCAGTCCGGGAGACGGGCAGACAATATGTTCTGGGAAACCCCTGGATGAGTTGCCTTGGATATAGTGACTTGATGAACGAACTTACGATGACAAGGAATAATAATAACAGCTACGAAGGTCGCCGCGTACGACGTCTTCCTCATTGCAGCAGAGCGTTTGAAAGTGGAACGTTGTCAATGCTGAGTGGGCAAGTTAATAAATATTCCTGACGCTCCACTTTTCTGCCAAATTTCTATTATGTAAATGATTCTAATATTAATTACGGTATCTGATGACATCGATGAAGGCATCTGCATATCATGATATCAATATATGCGAATCGATATCTTCAACCATTCGCGCAAATGTCTCAACAAGCCTCTAGCGAGAGAAGGCCATGGAAGGCAATGCCAACCCTGCCCATTGTCCAACTGCGCAATTTCCTAGCCATTTTGCCACGTCAATAAGTGTCTGGATATCGATACGCCACTTCCTCGAGATCCGTTCCTCTTGTCACTAGTCTTGACCGAATTCATTGAATGATTGATGGCAAATTCCAACTGCTGCCTAGCGTCCTTGTCGATTAGTGGTTAAATCATCGCATTGTGGCTGAACCAATCTGCGAAGCCGGAAGTTCGAATCCTCCCTGGGACATGTGTTTTTTCTTGCTCAAAGTCTTGTAGTGATGGTCCTGCCGTTCTCATTTTTACTTCTTTTCATATGACTCTGCCGATGTGCAGCAAGTATATTCCATGGTATTCCTCAGTTTCGCCGCGCAAAAACAATACGTACATGCTGTTCTCACCCCACGTCATACCCCACGGATGACATCGATGACAGCTTCAAGTTGTTATGTGGCAGCCGACATGTACAGTTGCGAGGTGCCTTGTCCGTGGATTATGCAGTATCCACGAGCATCCCTGGTTCGGTGTTACGGTGGGTTGAACTTGAAATGTACTTCAATGCGACGAGTGGAACACCGACCCTGGCCTCAAGTGAGTAGCACTAATCTCAATTTTCAAAGTGACACTCGCGCAATTTCAAAACACTCATTGTGTCATACTCACATCCACCTGCCGACCTCGCGGTACGATACATCCCATTCATAGGGTTGGCCATTGCACATCACTTTCTCGGCCTTTGGTGAAGTTGGCAATAAGAGGGGAACTCCGACTCGGATGAAGCGGGAGCCGGAGCCGGATTCGATAATAATTTTTCTGTAGCCATCTATGCTGGTGGCCTTGATGTTCCACTGCAGTGACGATGAGAACTGAATGGTGGTGCGATGCGCCACCTTTTCAAGAACCTACCTCGATGTGTGGATCAGGTGTATCCTCGTGGCGGCCGATGACGATGATATCATGGTAACAAATGTCCTATCTTTTGGTTCGGGTAGCCGACGTTCTGGATTCGATATAATCCGTATAGATCTACTTTAGCTCTTGTGATGATAGTAGTTTGAAAGAGTGAAGGGCTTTCAAAGAAAATGGGGATGGCACCCTGCAGCGATGAGCTGAGACCTCTTATACTGCACTTTGCTCATGTTCCGGCTGAAGTGCAGACGGGTTAGGTGCCGTACATTCCTGAAGGAATATCAGATGATCTGACAGCTTGCATGGAACAGAGGACACATTGCACAAGTTGAGCGAATAGTGAATATGCATGGCCGTGTACGATGGTACCTGTGCTTCTATTACACTTCCTTGCGTAAGTGCGCTTATGCAGTGTGCACCGATCAGTGATCAGATCGTAGCAACTAAAAACTAATTTCAGAACGCTGGTGACAGTTTATGCGGAACATGGCTGACGTGCAACGCGGGCCTGATCATACCTACCTGTTGACCGAATTGGGGTAAGTAATAATCACATAAATCAGTAAAACCAACTTTCCGGGTCTGATGAGTCCAATGGCTGCAAGGCGCAGCTAACGATCTCCCCTGGGTACACGTGTTTGACACATTAGCCCATTGCCCGCACGTCAAGTTCGCCATTGTTATGGTCACAACAAGTTTACGCCGTGAAGGAATGTTCATGACTTTTATGTTTACCACCACTCCTTTCATCTCAGACCAGTGACTGACACAGCCGTATGACACATCTGTAGTTCGATTCACTGTAACCGTGGTCAACTTCCTATCTGCCAGGCTCTGGCCTTCATGCTCATACTTGAGGCTTTCCCTGTACAAGAACATGTTTTCACGTCGACATACGATATCCAGACAAAGGCGCACCAAGGGGATCAGACCCTCGGTACCCCTTGAACTACACGAGGATAGGTACGAGCAATAAGCTGCAAGCTGGTCAGGCAAAGATGTGCGACAACATTGAAGCTCTCACGCCAAATAAATCAGGTGCGCGCGTAGCTAATACTTGCGGATCTTCTCCGAGACCCACGAAGCTGGTTTGCGAGAGAATCAGCCAGCGACCACATACATTAGGTTTGCACATACATAGTAGACACACCAGCCTCAATGGCAGTTGACATTGTCAATGCTACAAATAATCATGTAGGATTATGGAGGAAACCAAAAAGAAGTACGCACAACATTGCAATCCAATGATGAACGAAAAAAAGACAACCGGTGCTGTGTACTGCCCATCGGAATTGTAGGCAGGGTGTGTCACTGTGGAAGAGTTTCAATGTTACAGAATCGTCAAACGCGATATTTCGGTGCGTACGGCGCAGGTATAGATACCCAAAAAGTGAGCAAAGAAGCGCAACGATATAGGCGCCCCACGTCAAAGCTGCCGAACATCATTAGAAGGCGTCAGTATCCACAACCAGTGACCCACTCATCCCGACCAAAGAATCGTTGACGAGCGCATCGATGCCTAGAATATTGAGAGAGCTTACGGGACGTAACTCAATGGCGGAGCATACCACGATCCTTGAACATGGCCCAAGTGTCTTTTGCTGCTTTAATATAGGGCTTTCCATAGAGCGCTGATAAAATCGAGTTACTGGTATAACTGGATGAACTGAGGTAGCTTACCGATCTCAATGTAGGCATATCTGTTAAAGTACTTTACTAATCCTTCGATACATCCAACGAAGAACTGTGCGCAGCATGCAAGACACGCCTCTACGACTGGTCAAAGGTCGTCGTCTGGTGTTGATATAGGGGAAGATCCAGATTAATACTCACAACTTCCTTGCGCATTTGCATTGTTCCTTGCAGCATTCAGTATAAGGCGAATTACATCCAGAACAGTGACAATAAGGGATCCAAATGCTATCGACCCAAGAGAGAGTGTTGAAGCACGTCCAAAAGCGCTGAGGGTTGGATGCTTCGGCTACAATCAATGTGTAAGCATAACCGAGGACGCATGGAGCAGAACACTACCATCTGTCCTTGATCTCGAGGTCCGAAGTAATACCAACCTGTAGTATGCATATTAGATAATGAAATTAATTGAGTCGTCCGACTCAGCTCACTTCCGTACGCTCCGCCAGCGAGAGTAGCTAAGGCGATGTTACCAATGACTCGAGATGTCCAGAGGTATGAGAATACTGCATAGGATATCAAGCCTGCCACGGTGCTTCCAGAACAAGACGTCCCATTGCCGCAACCTGCGTTATTGTTCGAACTGTATTAGATTTACTGGTAGAATGCTAACTTACTTGGATTTCCAGGTGTCCATTTCGTATATCTATAAATGAGTTAGAGAAGCTGGAGGTTTCTCAGCAAACTGAAGCACTTGCATCGCAATCACCGCGTAGGAGAACCACCTACAATAGTATATAAATAAATAAATTCTTCGAGGGATATGACCGCAACGTACACACTTAAAGCAGCTTGGAAAGTCAAGGCAATGAAGGAAACAACATAGACGCTCTTGTGATGCTTGGAGACATCCATCACTACTTGCAGGAGAAGGGATGCCAGTGGAACGCGGGACCTGAAACCGAAATAGGCAAATATCGAGAATAGAGCAATGATAGTGAAGATGATGGCACCGGCTGGTCTCGTGGTTAATAAAGGAGTAGACAACGTTCATATCACTCACAATAGTAGCCAGTAGTCCAATAATAGATGCAAATGCCACTAGATTGACGATCAGCACAACACTGGATTTGAGCCGTTGGGCTTACATGTTGAGTATTATAGACAAAATGAGAGTGATGTGCATCAAGGCTCGTGTGAAAAGGCGTGCGAGCATGAGGTAGGCCACAGACAGAACAAGACCTGCTGCAGTGACAAACAGCAGAAGATAGGCGGTATGTCTGACGCAGTCAACATCAGTTGTATATACCAATGGATGACTGTAACCAACACACCGATTGAGAGTCACCGATGAGCCAACCTGAGAGCCATTGCCTACGCCACCTCCAAGCCCGTTATCAGACACGTATTCTGGGAGGGCAATCCCTGAAATAACGACCAACCCCACGAACTACCACGGCGTTAGAAGGAGGGCGCCACGAAAATAACGTGGACTGACCTGTAGAATGAAAAATATCAGAAAGAAAATATCGTTGACCCGCTTCTTCGGCTGAAACCGACCGTCCTCGAACGGTGATTTTTGGTTTCCAAATGCTTGTAGATCGTACTGTGGCTGAGTGATTGGTTGTGCGTATGGTTGAGAGTGTCCTGGCTTCGGCTCTCCGCCATTTACATAGAACGGCGGATACCCCTGTCCCTGTTGGACTCCCCATTGATCCTTGTTCCAATCGGCCATGTTCTAAAATAACGAGAAAGTGAGTAAGTTCCAGGAGTGAATTCCTCGTAAGTCCGCGCGAACCCCTCGAGGCCAAAGGAGGAGCCGAATTTGAAAACGGACTGCGTCGATCATATCTCCAGATTTGGAATCCGACTATTCTTCGTGTGGATGCACACTTGTCGTGGGCTAACAACTTCATACGCAGGACTATGGAGAGCCCGACTGCCTTCTAGGATCTTCCAGTGGACTACAAGGGAGATGGGTTTGGCGTTGTTACCGAGCACCCGCAGCAGAGCAGACACAAAGCTAAAAGCAACTAAAAGCCGAGTCTGTTGAAAGCATCCCCTTTATGACATGCACGAAGCACACCCCAGTAGGGTAATCGAGCAAAGGCACATAAGTGAGATTCAACTCTCTTCGCGCGAGAATACTCAACTCGGGGCCCAGGAAAAGCGATAACTACTGGGCTTCTGCTCCAATATTGGCAAGATATGAATCGATACCCTCTCCGCATTGCGCACGGGACTCTATCGATGATGTGATTTTTCCTGGATCGACCGTGATATAACGCAACACATGTGACCAGTCTATACACCATAATCACAAAGCTCCGAAGCTATCTGAGTACCACCTAAGTGGTTGATAACCACAAAGACATGAGCGAATTAGGATTCCAAGGCCACACGGGATGCGGCCCCGGGGTGTACCACTACAGAGGTAACAGAGTTCATGGGAAGTTTCTTGACGTTGGTGCGTTCTTTCCTTCCCAGAAGTAGCATGGAATGCATAAATAGCATTGTCTCATCGATATCATCCGACATACCTCATAAAATGAGAGTAAGAAGCGACATGGATTTGGTCATGAGCTACAAACATACCACACAGCCGGACGCTGGATGATCATCAATGGCAATACGAGGGTGATAGAGGTTGTAGTTATTATGTACTAAACAAATGTGATGTGTCCATCGATAATGCCTGCAGGATGAATGACTCGGGGCATGTCAGACGAAGTGGAGTCTGGACATACTTAGACCCTGGAAATTAATTTACTTCGCGTAGAAATGATGTTGTATGACACGTTGTCGAGCTCGTGGTCGGCAGCATGTTCCGTCAAATATGTAAAACCAAGGTAAAGAAAACGCCTCAATTTCCATCGTCCGATGGATAACGTAGATCGATGAAAAAAAAAAAAGAGTAGAGACCGGTACCGGGAGTGCTAAACAGTTCGCTATTCTAAAACGCAATATTATATAGTCAAATTGTCAAGGAAACCATTAGGAAAAACCATATAGGATCTTGTCAAGCTCTGCCAATAGGCTGTGGTCAGAATCAAGATTAGTAGCCAATTTAGTTTTGTTGTGAAAATGTGGCAATGATTTACGTACTGAATTTCCGCGTTTCGATTGCGGGCGCTGTTCTTCTTCCTAAACTCTCAACGTTCTTCAACGTGATCATCGTTGGCGACGTTCTCCGTTTGAAAACGACGGCGAGTTCGTCGTTGTCGGCGTTGAGCTCCCTTACTAAACTCCATTTTTACAGTTATAACTCAATTTGACTGCGGGGACGGCCTTGTCCCCTTGCAACAGTGTCGGCGATTAATCACACCCACTCCACTCGCAATATTGTGCCCAAGCTCGTACAGTCATCAAGAACATCGCCCATCTTGCTAATGGGCCTATCTTTTGGCGGGCTTGGTTTGATTTCCCTATGGACCCCCTTGTATTTCTGGGATGACTCTGCGCGTGTTCGCAGCGAATTCAGGTCCTTCCTCTTTGCCCTTGTATTTGTTGCTGTACTGCTCATCCTTGGTGAGTACTATGATCCAAGCTCTTAGACCACAGATACTGACCATTCCTTCTCGCTTGTCTCACTCTTGCACGCCATCATCATTTTCGATCTGCCCATCTGCTGCATCCTGATTGGACCTACGAACCATTAGCATATCTCACGAATCCCTCAGAGACATCCTTTCGTGCTTATTTAACCGAGCAATCCTTCCGTCAGCACCTCAGCCATCTTGATGACACCACAGACGAATCTTCTGATACTGATGCTCAATACAACTCCCGTCTCGTGGACCGCAATACGCTAACCGACCGCACCCCCCTTCCTTTTCACTTTGCTAACCGCGCTTCAGTATCTCTACGCACCCCAAAGCATGTATTCCACAGTTTTGGCATCTGCACGATCGCCACTACTCGCGGAGCTGCTGGAGTTCATGGTCGTAGCTCAAGCATGGCTAGTGCGCATGGTAACGGGAACTTGGCTGGTGTTGATCACGATGGATCCGTAGTTTCAGATTCTTGGTTTATTGGCGCGTTCGGTCACTGGTGGCGCGGCGGTCTTGTTGATTCCTGGTATCATGATGCCATGATCCGATCAAAGGATGCCGAAGGCTGGAGCTCTGGTATACTCGGCTTTAAGGCTCTCGACAAGCTCAACGAATTCAACGGTGTGTTCTTTCGATCTTGTATTGATCCTTCTGTCTCAATACAAAAAAGAAGGTCTGCCGTTTGCAAAGTCGGTTCCCTGTCCCAGGCTTCCGGCACGTGGCACCCCACCTAGGTTGCGTAATCGTGAGCGTTTTGCGCCGCGTCTTGGAGCAATTCCTCGACGTAATTCAACACCTCCGCCACTTCCCAAGTCAGCGTCACTTCCCTTGCACACAGATCATCGAACACACGAGCACAATCCTCCAGTATCTCAACCGGTTCTTGACCAAACCTGTCTTGGCATCTATGCGCCGCCTGTTGCTCAAACTATCTCATGTGGCCCTTCGAGATCTGCATCTGTTGACGACTCGCCGATCATCGCCGAAGTCTTGAGGCAAATCACTGCCCAGCAAGCTTTTGTCGCAGAGCTCGACAACCAACTTTGCGAGGCTCAGACCGCAGTCATTGCGTCCCATGATGCGTTGGAGGCGGAGTTGGTAGAGCTGCGCATACGCAAGCGCGATGAAGATCAACGCAAAACCGAAGGGAAAGCTCGTGCCAAGATGCTCGAGGATGCTCGACGTTCCGCTGAAGCAGGGAGAAGAGATGCCGAGAAGAAGCTCAAGGCTGCCCGTGGTGTGAAAGAGGGTGCTGTAAGGCGCATTGAGGAACTGGAGAATGAAATTGGCAGGTTAAGGGATCAAACCAAGGCAGACCGAGCGACTTTGCTTGAAGAAGCCGAGATCGAGGACGCCAGCTTAACCCAGGAACTGGAGCAGGAGCTTGAGGGGAAGAAGAAGGAGGTTCGGGTCGCCGAGGATGTCGTCACCGCCCTTAGCACCCGCGCGAAGGAGCTCGAGGTCAAAATAACAGAGGGTCGCGAGCGACTGAGGGCAGCTAGGGAACGGACGGAGGTTTTGAAGCATGAGCCAATCTTCGTTCCTATGCAGGCTATGAGCAGCAGCCATACCTCCACCCAAGAGCAATACGGTCACATTAACGGTCACGGCAACGCAAATGACTATGACGTCGGTCAAGCAGATGCAATATCCTGGTCTTCAACTTTCAGTCCCTTTGATGATCCGTCAGACGTCCTCTCTTCACCCGGGACTTCGGAACACGCACAGAGCAGTTTTAATTCCAGAGATCTTTCTCGCTCGCCCAGACCTCCGCGGCTTTCGTTGGGATCACTATCAAATTTCAGCCCCAATGCAAGTGAAATAGGTGCTGTTTCGCATCGTTCCAATGGGTATACCACCTTTGATGACACCCTCGCGCACCCGTCACATTCTGGTCAAACTGCTCACGGTTACTTCTCCCCTCAAACGACTTCATTTTCTCCCTTTGATGTTCAAACACCGTCTTCAGCATTCATTCCGAGCAGCCTCATTAGCGTGCTGGACTCCCCTTCTGGAGACTGGCGAGGCATTGGAAGAACCGGAGGTGCGCTCAGTGGGTCACCTGTATCCCTCACTGGTCCTTCACCTGCACATGAAATAAACGTCGATTATGATCCTTTCGAAGTTCGCCTCCATACTCAGGCCATGTATGATAAAATGGGCATGCCTCACCGCACGAACTCTGATCCCTCCGCCATACATGTGCTGGATAATGATGCCGCTACCGCAGGGTTGGATTCTCCACGCAGGTGGTTCTCGACGTCTGCCAAGGACAAGCAGCGCAAAGGCCTCAATCCTGATGCCAAGGTTTTCCGACTTCCGCGACGAAAAGCTCCGGCTATGTCTGAACCCACCAGCGCCCCTCCTACAGCTTGCTATGACGCGCTGAACCCCAATGGACTCATGACTAACCATACTTCCTCGACACCATCTGCCCTCCTTCGCGCATTTGCTCCCTCCCGAGCGGAACGTGAAGCACTCCAGCGCGCGCTTGGTGGTTCGACTAATACGAGCCTTGAGCGTCTGCCGAGCCTCAGCGACGTCGGAAGTATCCCATCTTCTCCAGTGCACACTGAGGCACACCCGGCGCCGGCATTCGGGGAGAAGGAGCGTGTTTTACCTGCGTGGTTGCAGTCGCTGCCGTTGATTCGAAAGCCCAACTTCAGCCCGTGGGATGACGAAGAACCTGTCTCTGTGAGTACAGGTGGAGAAGTCAAGAGGAAGTAGACGGTATGGAGCAAGCGTGGTGAGGAAACCTGTACAAACCACGTGCTGAGTCGTCCTGGATGGCGGAGCAGGTGTTCATGATAGAGAAAAAGTGGTGGGTGAGGTGGCTGTATCTTTTCAAGTAACTGCTTGTTTGATATATATATCGCAATGCACGAATATGTTGAACCGTACTTGGCAGATAACCAGATAACTGGTAAAGGCGGATCAGGAGAGCTCTCAAGCCTCATCAACCCGACGGATCATCAACCGCGTTTGTGCAGCTGTGCATTTCTCAGGGCCAAATCAACGCCTCAGGGGATTGCAGGGGTTTGTTGCCTAACCAAGAGTCCTATTTCTGGGGCTGTTTTACAAAGCAGGCGCAGTTGTATGTATTTTGAAATCCGACACACCGGCCCACCTGATGGCAGATCTGATGCGTCTCCCTTACATAGTCCCAACGGAATTCGGCCTAGACATCGGAGAAATAACGGAAACGTTCCGTTAGTCGAGACTGAAATGAAACATAACTTATCTGCCAGCTACTTAGGCTCTGCAATGAAGGCAAATTACGAAAGGAAGACAGTCGTACAACGTGAAGTGTTTGGTACACGGTCAGAATCGTTCATAGTTCCGCGGTGCGGTGCAAGCACCACATCTGAACCCACATCTCGGGAGGCAAATCATATAGCTACCTATCGGTGATATCGATGAACAATACATGTACGCTATGACCTCGACTGTGACTCTCGTCCTCCAGAATCGATAAACTTTTGTAGGCTGTTCGAAACAGTGTATCCACACTGCTTCAACTCGTCCAGTGCTAGCGTGTACCGCGAGTCACCAGCAGCAACGCAAGTACGAATAATGGCATCGTAAACGCTCCGTGGCGGTACAAACTTCTGCGCTTTCATTTCTTCGAGATAGAAGAACGCATCCTCATATGTGACCTGCGTGAGACAAAGGATGATGATCCGCTCGTAGGTCGTTGCATCTGGTTTGATGCCCAATTCCTTCAGTTCCAGGAGCAGTCTGTCCCCGAGTTCACGGTGACTGGCAACGATACAGCCGGAAAGGAGGGAATTGAAAGTGTCGATGTCAGGAACACATTTGTAATCGGGGAAAGCCTTGTAGGCGCCCACGGCGCGCTGCAGATCTGAGAGTGATATGGCAGCGCGGATGATGGCATTGATTGCGGTCCTGTCAATCGTCTTCCCTTCACTTCGCAGCTTGTCAAGCAGTTCCCAAGCGCTGTCCACCTTGTTAATATCCTGTTTCAGGACGTCGTATATCGGCTGAGTCGTTGTCACAGTAGGGAATATGTTGCTACTTCGCATCAAGTCGAGTGTGCCGAACGCATCTTTTAGCTTGCCGGCGTTGCAAAGTGCCTCCACGAGGGGTGCGAAGTGGTGTTCTTGCCAGTCAGCGCCCAGGTTTCTGAGGACACGAATGACATCTGTCGCGAGGTCAGAGAGTCCGTGACGTCCAGCAGTGTGGAGGACATCGAGACAGAGTCCTTCGTCTGGAGTGATATTGAGGTCTACGACCTTTTGCCAGCATCGTTGAACACCCTCGGTCTTCCAATGTAATGTCAGTGGGAAACGGTACGGAGTAGAAAATACCACACACGTAGAGAGCTTCAGCGGAGGATGCTAGACATCTCATCCATGTTTCCGGGCTTAATCTCCGGACGGAGGTTGCCTCAAAATTCTCTGCCAGGTTGAGTGCGAGTCGGGGAAAGCCTAGTTCTGCTGCCAATCTTATCACATCTTGAGCGATCGTGAGCTCAAGGACAAGCCCCCGCGTCCCCATCTCATAGATACACTGCAGTGCAAATTCGAGATTTTCTCCCGCTGTGAAGCGTTGAATCATCAGCTGGTAAGTTTGTTCGTTCGGAGGGATATTTTCTGCGTTCATCTTTTCGATAATATCCCACATAGCTGATGATTGCAGTCGACGTGATGCCTGATTTCAATAGTGGAATGATAAGGTAAGGTAAGTGATCGAAGAAGCATGAACGCACATGTATAAGATGATGGAAAGTGTGTCGGTCGGGTGCAATACCCATAGAAGCCATGTCTTCGACAGTAGCCCAAGCCTCTAGCACCTGACAGTCTTCCGCGAGACATGCCAGCAAGTTATTATAAATGATGATGTCCGGTTTTACGCCTTCTTCCTTCATTTCTCTGCACATTCTTATAGCATCTACGGTTTTCTTGTGATTGGCAAGCCCCGTAGACCTGAACTGGTAGCGCGCTATAGCACTATGACGTGCAGTTCCCTGAAAAGTTTGATCTGGGACGAAGGACCATGGTTTGTTCCGAATTGCAGACGAGCCCGAACGTGGAGCAGACTTTGTTGCAACCTGCTGTTGAGTGCTCTGACATCCTGCATGAGGTTAAAAACCGAGTTTGCCAACGAGTGGTCCAATCGACTCACGGAAAAAGGACACAGGCAGCACTACAGAGCACTCGGACTGGGAAGACCATAGCGTAGCCTTCTTGGAGACTCTCTTAAGAGAGTTTCGCGATGTGGAGGCTAGCATGTTTGCCAATTCCGCTTCCGATAAAAATCTGTAAAAGGTCAATGGGCCAAATACAGTTCAACAACCTTCCACCGCGACACAGCCACCACCTGACCAAGTTGTTCTAAAACCGCGACCGGGGTGCCTGGTCAACACCCTCTCATTCTATTTCTTGTATATCTTTCACCTAAAGCTTGGATTATCATGGTATGTATGATCTACTTTTGCAATTACCTGGCGGTCACTCACTTCAGGAAAGTTTTACTCGGAAGCTATTCTATCACGCCGTGGGCCACTGGCCAAAGTATGGCTCGCCGCACACATGGAGAGAAAACTCTCCAAAACGCAGACGTTACAGACGGACATTGAACAAGCAGCGGGTGCGTCGTTACTTTATATGCTTTTGACGCGTTATATAACACTTTGCCCTCATCCCAGATGCCATCATGGGACAGGAGGTTGAAGTCATGGCACTACGTCTCAGCGGACAATTATTGCTCGGAGTTGTTCGAATCTACAGTCGCAAAGCGAAGTATCTATTGGATGATTGTAACGAAGCTCTTCTCAAAATCAAGATGGTGATGCCTTATGTTTTGGTGTCAAACATACGTTGACCATGTTCCAGGCATTCCGCCCGGGTGTTGTCGATATGACGGAGGACCAACTGGCTGTGAATCGCAATGCCATTACACTTCAAAGTGGTAATCTTGACTTGGACGTTTTACTTCCAGATATCAACTGGTGAGATGCTCATGTATTTTTCCGTTTCTTGTCCCTTGGCTCATGCGCTGAGCTAGGGACATCGATTTTGAGGACCGTATTGCTGAACCTCAAGGTCATCATGTTGCACGACAAGCAGATATCACTCTCCAAACTGCCGACGACCTCCAATTTGACCTTGACGATCCTGGCTACGGTTTTGACCTTGGTCCGTCGGATGGCATCGGTTCACAGGACTTCGGGGAGCTCGATCTCGGTCTTGACTTCGGCGACGGACCTGCGAGCGTTATCGACGAGAGCGTAGAAGTAGGTCGTGATGCCCCGACTCCACGAAGTGCTAGAGAGTCGTTGGACTCCAGAATGATGGGAAATGGTGGAGAGGGTGAAGATTTCTTCTCGAACAGAAGTAGAGAACCCTCCGAACATCCATTTGGCGCCGACATGAACGTGGACATGGGCTTTGGTCCAGACATGGGAGCTATGGATATTGACTTGGGTATTGATTTCGGGGACCGCCCGTTGAGCGAACGTGAAAAGACTCCTGGTCAAACCAGGTCTCCTTCTCGGATGTGTACGCCGTTCCTGTACGCTTTCCGCTTGACTTTTTTTTGACGTTCAGTAAATAGCCTCTCCGCTCACTGAGCCTCCGCAAACACCGCCACCTGAACTTCTTCTCACACCAAAAGCAGCCGCACAAGAATTAGCTGACGACGAAGCCGCTGCGAAGACCAAGCGCAAGCCCAAAGAAAAGAAGCAGATAATTGATTCTGTTACGGAGCTCACTGATGGCCCCGGAGCTAGAGCTGGTCGCGGTCTAGGTGCACCTGTTGTCAAGGATGTCAGTGATATCCTTGCGGAACATCCATCTCTCCCGCGTTCTGCGATGGTGATGCGACTCATGGAGATCCGCGAGGATCCCCTTGCATATTTTCTTCCCACCAAGGTTACACCCGAAGGGACATTCTTCCTTGCTGGGCCCCCTGGATTAGCACCTGAACTATCCGACCTGTTCATGCGTCCTCTACAGACCGGCCTTCCATCGAAGAAGAGGGGTGCATCCCCTGACAAGGCAGGGAGGAAAAGGCCTAGGGTTGAGGGGAGTATACATGAAGATGAGCAGGTCGAGCAAGCTCGGCGGGATGCCAGTATAGCTCCGAGCGTCGCAATCGCTAGTGAAGCCCTTGGCGGTCGTGCCAGTATAGCTCCTGATGGCGGCTTCGACTTTGGCGACATGACAGGCGGTTTGGACGATTTTCATATGGATATTGGTGGTGAATTCCCGATGGCACATGACGAACTGGGAGTGGAACGAGGCAAAGGTGCTGCAACAGAGCAAAGTCGATCGTCCACGCCAGCCGTTGAGGGAGAAGAAGGTGAAGAGACCTACGCCGATCTGACGTGCCCTATCGCGTCTTTCGATGTGCGGCCCTCGCCCTCTCAAGCGCAGGAGGCTGCCGGTGATGGTGAAGGCACCGGATACAGCAAAAACACAGTAAAGGCACTAGGTATCATTCGCAAGGAGCTCAAACCCGAAGGCCGCGAGCATGACGAAGAGCGCGTTATGAGCTTCCGCAAGATGACGGAAAAAGCTTCTCGGCGTGCTGCGTCTGCGTTCTTCTTCGAGCTCCTTGTCCTTGGAACGCGGGATTGCGTTAAACTGTCGCAGAGCGCCGCCTTTGAGAATATCGAAATCCGTGCCAAGGACAAGTTGTGGGAGCGACAGCGCCACGGATCTGTCGCACCATCTATTGCATCTGCCATGGGACTCTAAGCGTATTTTCTTTTTGAATTTTCAGATCTTGATTCCATGACCATCTACGATGTGGTACTAGGATTTTTTATGTGTTTATTTTATCTTGTGAGCTCACCACACCAAGCTTTTTGTGTGTCATGATGTTGCGTTCTCTGTAGCTTTCTTGATTTATACCATATCTTCCTATACATCCTACAGTTGTTAACAGCCTTTGATCTGTATGTTTTTCTATTACTTACCTGTTCACCAATAAGAAACATTGCTCAGAGTCACAAACATTGTATTACTTACGGATTATTTGTCATGGCCTGGAGAATATATATATATTATTTGGACTGAAATTTGTTCTTGGATGTAAATTACGAGGACTACGGAGGGATTTACAGTGTCACACGATATGTACAACCTAACATGCGTGACGTCGACACTGTACACAACGTTAACGTTTTAACCATGGCATTGGAGTAATTTATGTAATGGTTCCTACACAGTAAGCGTTTAGCCTCTGGCCCTCACCGATTCCTTACGATGTCTTCTAGTCATTCAGCAGTCGCTTCGGCCACACTCCATCCTACAGTACCATGTATGGGACATTGCAGAGCATGTCGTACGGTTACTGTCACAAGGCTCAGGCCATCGTTGGTGCACAAGCAAGAGAATCTCGCCTCCATGCACTCTGATACAGGAGTAGGCTGTCAGAATGAAGGAGAATGAAGATTAAGAAAAGGTGAGCCAAACCGCTTTGAGGTGTCCTTCGTCGACAGACAGTCCGCTCGCTTTGGTGTTGGCTTTCGATTGGCGTGTTTCAGCTCTGTGCTTTGTTTTCTTCCCGTTCTAACTTTCGCTGGCTCAACTTGTAGCTCCTCACCAGATAGCTTCTTCAAGACATGCTGTGGTCTCTTCTGTGGGGGTGCAGACAAGTTGAAATTGAGATTTTCATGGTTTCTGGTACGTTTTTGCCACTAGTATCGTGATCATGACGAATGCGAAAGGAGCAGAGCCTAAGTAATGAGTTTTTTTTGCTTCAATGCATGCTTGTCATCGAACGCATTGTCGCCCTTGACAACGAATAACGTGACTTTCTAGCACTAGTTGACTGTAGTCGACTGTCCAAGCTTATTTCCGCCATAGCTCCTCGCAAATTTCTTGCTTTGGCATGTACCACCTCCAATCTTCTAGGTGTATCTTGAGTTTGATCATTGTGTTCCACATGACGGAACCGGGGTGTACGTTCTTCATTGAAGATTAATTGATGCAGACTGAAATGAGTTCCTCGTACAAACCTAATATGTCTGCACTATCTCGTTTTGGAGAGATCGAAGTTCTCCCTCGCTTAATTTCGTCCATCGGGGTTGGCAACGATATGCCAGTGGTTTCCGCAAATATTTAAGCCGCGTCATGATCGATGCATGATCGAATCCCCGTTTCCCGGTAGCTTTGCTGTCAGGTCCCCGAGCGCCACCTATCCAGTGGTAATTCGTGGCATCTCTCAGCATAGGGCGGATATCCATTCTAGTCTTCAGTATCCTACGGCTAGTATTCCGAGCTCTTCCGGTCAGGATATTCCGTACGCCCTGTAAACAGCTTTAAACACGCTGGCTCTTCCCTACGCGGTTATACTTCCTTCCTCAGTCATTTGAGCAACGAATCCGTTCGTTAATACAGGCTCCATTCGCATCCAAACCATTGTAGTATGTGCGCGTCCATTTCAGCGTCCCAGTGGGGTTCTCCCACTGCTTCCAGGCGAGCTCTGCTTATTCATGGTATGACTGCGTCCTCGATTTCATTGGAGGGCATCGCTCAGCTATTAACAGCAAAAGGTCAGGGCTTTTTAACACTACAGCGATGATGTCTTAACATGCTATTCAGGGTTCTTTGTCGTGGCGCCGAATCTCCTTGGGCATGCATGGAGACGGGGCACTGACTATCGCGTGTCCGCCCTTGCAGAGGATCTCCGACCGTATATGGACACGTCCTACGATGTGATTATAGGGCATTCCCTTGGAGGTGTAGTGGTCTTGTCGCTCCTGCCATTCTTGCCCCAAGCGAAAGGACACCACTGTCATACTCCTCGATCCCGTCCTCGAAGTTGCAGCGGAGCAAATCGAAATAGCTAAATGTATGTTTGTGAAGAAGGTTGCGAGCGTCAAAACCGCCGAGGAGTACATGGCTGATAAGCCTGCTTGGTCACGACGTGACTGCGTGTCAGAATCGCTGGGAGCCTCCATGTGCGATTGCACTGTCATCGAGGGGATATTTGAGGTAATATTTGAGGTGTCGAAATGAGAAGCATTGCTGACAGGTTTTTCCCGTTGTTGTGATCAGCAAACCAAGCCATGGTCTTTCAGTGGGCTGTTCAAGAACATTCCCCCTAACGTGAACATCACTGTGCTGGCATCAGACCCAAAGTTTGGTGCTGCTTGTCGTTTGGAGCATGTCCCTCGTGACGTGGAGAGATTGAATGCTAGAGTTCTTCCGGGCGTTGGTCACTGCATTCAATACGAGCGTCCGGATGCTATCATGGATGCAATCCCGCTACTAAGAGCAGAGCTATGAGCTGTACGGAGGAGATACGGTTTTTGACGGCGTAGTTTGTGTCTACTATTCAATGGAACCTAAATAATCCGTTGTTCGAACATTAGTACTCGCCTGAAGGACAGGTAAATTCGAGTACTTCAGCTTGACCCTAGTCTCCCAGCTTGGCCCTTTGGCGACACCAGATCTCCAGATTTCATTATGTAATGCTTCAAATTGGAATACTCACCCAGCAGTTGCACTGACCCGGATTGTATGCATCATGATACTTCTGCTCGAGCCGAATTCTGTGACAATAAGAGCTAGAAGACTCAAGTCATGCAGTCAATGTTAACCGCTACTTAGTATGTTTCATTTCAGTCTCGACTAACGGAACGCTGCCGTTATTTCTCCAATGTCTAGCCCGAATTCCATTGGCACTACATAATTAATATTAATATCGATCCCGACCAGGTCAGTTTGCCAGTCCTTTGACTCCCGCATCTCTCGCTCCCTTTCCGCTGGCTCCAAGTCAGAATAACAGAATCCTGTCTTTTCTTGATCAACGATGTATACTAGACTTGCAACACTCGCATTTGCACTCGCTTCCTTGGTGATGATCAACGCCCAGTCACTGCTCCCAACATTGACATACACTTTAATCGCCTCACATGTTGGTTATGACTTTCTAGGTAATTTCTCTTGGGAGACAGAGGAAGACCCGACGCACGGCCGTGTCAACTATGTCGATCAAGCTACCGCTCTCAAAAATAATCTGACTTTCGGTACGTATATTCTTTTGTGTACGACTTTGTTCGCTTAATTTTTCGCAGTTTCGGACTCAAAGTTTGTCATGCGCGCTGACGACACGAAGAAAGTTGCGAATACTTCACGCGGGCGAGAAAGTGTACGCATACAATCGCTGGAGGCATATGATGACGCATTGTTCGTCCTTGACATAGCGCACATGCCCGAGGGTTGCTCAACGTGGCCTGCATGGTGGACATTGAGTCAGCAGGGGCCCTGGCCTCACGGTGGCGAAATAGATATCATCGAAGGCGTCAACCTCGGTCAAAGTAATCTTGCCTCGCTACACACCACACCGAATTGCACTATGCCAGAGGTTCGATCACAGAGAGGGTTTGATATTCCATAACCGTTCTGAATATCATTCGCTGAGTCGGTTCGCAGCAATACGACATCCACTTCGTGCGACACATCCGTGAACTCCAACCAGGGTTGCGGAGTCTCTTTTCCTGAGCAGAATTCTTACGGAGAAGGCTTCAACGACGGGGGCGGTGGCTTTTACATCATGGAAAAAAGCAGCACGAAGGGTGTCTCAGTCTGGTTTATAAGCCGTTGGGACTGGCTGGTTCTCAATGACGAGCCCATGTTGGACTTGATGCTTTTATCAACACCTGATGCGTACTTCCCGATGCATGACGAGGCGTCGAACTGCAGCTACTCCGACCACTTCAACGCACATAGCATTGTTTTTGATCTGACATTCTGTGTAAGCACCCTCTTTATGTTCCGCGATCTCGTTGTGACCTCTGCATCAAATTTGCAGGGCGACTGGGCAGGGTCGGTGTGGGAGACGACCACATGTGCAAAAAAAGCCTCCACCTGCAATAGCTGTAAGCCGACCTCGTTGATTTCATCGCTCGCAATCCTGATATACGACTCTCGCAGTTGTTGACAACAATCCTCACGAGTTCACCAAAGCCTATTGGGAAATCAACTCCCTCAATATATATACACCTACACAAGATCTTTTGCGTTAATTTGATACCCGCACTCGATTTTGTCACACTTACTTCCTCCTTATACCATACACTACACAGCCGTTAATGGAGCAAGTCCGGACGATCATTTCACCACACTGTCATTTATCCTTTGCATTGTTTACTGTACTCGTTATGTTAGGTTAGACAAGATTAGACATTGGACAGTCAGCCGCATCAACATTATAATTCGGCTGCGTCAGCCACATCCTTCTATACCTTATACCACCAGGATGCGATTCTTCAAATCGTTTCGGCTACTGCATCGTCGTACAAGGTCTGAAGGCGACGTGTCCCGCATGGTTTCACCTCCAGCATCGTCGACTGGGTCATCTTACTCAGGAGAATTTCTGCAGATGCAATACGCCAGGCCTACATCGCCTAACCCAATCAGCGGTTTAGCGGCCCCGGTGTTCGTGTCCCTCGGGTCATCCCTGCCTTCGTTCGACCCTGCTCAGCTTTATCAACCCCGGCCAACACATCTCCTGGACACGTACACAAACAACTGCATTCACCCGACCGATTGCGATATTTTCCGCCTCCGTCAGGCCAACGCCGACCTCGCAGCCGACCTTGCCGACGTCACCAACGATCTCTCGCAGACCCGTAACAAGCTCTATACCGAGATGACCAAACTTGCCCGCTTCCAGCACCAGCTTGCGCGTGGTATGGACCACATCCAGAAGCTTGAAACACGCTTTCAGCGCCTCGCTGGTCTTCTCGTCGACATTGGCATCCCGTACTTCACCGTTCAGCGGATATCCGATGCATTGGATTCTGATCTCGGCACTGTAGACCATATGTTGGTCGATGCCATAGGTGACGCTGTTCACGATCCAGAAGCGCTTCTCTCAAGCTTGAAGCCCGCGGTCGTTGGTCAGCCTGTACCAGAACACTATCAATCTGCATTGCATATGACTCTCAGCGTGAGGCGCAAAGTCCGTGCTCAAAAGAAGGTCTCCAAGTTCTGGAAACGCCTTGCTCAGGAGGATAACCGCTATGCAGATACCGTCACCCCGTCCTCGTCCGACATATCCTCTGTCCGTGAGCCGCTCAGTCCTGCCCGTCAACACGCTGTCGACGCCCTCATTACTCGCAGACGGGAGGCAAATGCAAGCTCTGCTAGACATATATTTGGCGGGCCCTCTATGCAAGGTGGTTTGGTTCTCCCTGGCTCTGCCTCTGGTGTTGGATCTGCGGCAACCTCTGCATCTGGCTCGACTGTACAGTTGCAACGCCTTGCAAATACTCCGTCTTCGAGTGCACGTTTTTCAATCTCTGAGCTACGCCGACGCTCGACTCCCGTGGTTTTGGGTGACATCGATCTCAACGTCTCCCAATCGTCGGACGAACCTTTCGAAGCGGAGACTGAGCCAGAGGATTCGCAACAGGGTGAATATGAAGACCAGGACGCACGCCCAACGGTAACTCTCAGCCAAGATCTCATCCAGGTACGTCTGATAATAATAATAAATGCATCCAAAAAGGCAATAAAATTATGGCGCATAGAATTTGAATCGCGTTGCCCTTGGACGCGGACACCGCCGCAACTCCTCAGCCATGTCAGGGTCAAGCATTCCATCCCGCCTCTCCGGTTCCACTTCTGCCTTTCCCTCTCTTAGTGCCTCGCTTGGCATACCCACATCCGCTTGTGACCTTAGCTCCGACACGCCGTTCGATAATTCCGCATTCCATAATCTCCTTTATGGGACCGACAGCACTCATGCGGGCCCGGACGTGCGCAGATGCTCCAATACATGTACCAGGAGAAACTCGCGCTTCCTCGAGCATATCAACGAATACTCGACCGGATCCCTTACTATCCTTGACTTTGCCGATCCTTTGGGACTCATGGACTCCACTGCTTCACTTGCGGTACTCAACACCACTGCTTCCACCACCGCGACGTCCCCGGGGTTCTTCGGCCTCAGCGGGGAAAGCAAGGACTCGCTGTTCATGTCTACCCTGACGCCCACGACAGGACCGACCACGCCGAGTAAGACGCCACCTACCGGAAGCAGTACACCTTCATCCAGTGGGAGCAAGCTGCCCGTTCTGAGACACTTGCGTAGCCCTGATGGCTTCATGCGCAACCCAGGGGGGATCGTAAGGCGGTTGTCGCCGAGCCCTGAGAGCTTTGTACGAAAGCTTCGGAACTTGGGTTCTCGTGAGGGGAGTGAGAACGCAAGTCCTGAGAAGCCGTCTGGGATTCCAATTATGCAGCGCCGGATGACGATCAGGGGGCGGGTGAGGAAGTGAGTGGTGGAATTTAAATTTCGATCGAGTGCTAGTATCTTTTCTTTTCTTCTCGCCGTTAATTGTAAATACTTGGGGGCCAGTTTTTTTTCCCTTTTCTTCGATACTTACACTTGGTTGCAAGCCATTCGTGACGTGGCAGCTTCGTCATGGCAAGCGGTAAAGCGGTCCCACCAATTTTCCGAAACGCGAAGAGAAACGGAAAGCATACCTGAACAATACCATCCTTGAATCCCTCGAGTGCTCCGCTATCGACGATTTCGTGGAGCGCGACAAGGCTTTGCTCGGCTGTACGAATGTTTCCGGAGAAAGTAAAAAAAATATGGTACCGGAGAGGAGTGTATGAATAACCAGGGAACCATGAGCAAGACCTGATTGCGTGGTGTCCTCCTCTTGTTTGGGTTCCACATTTGAATTGTTGGTGATGTGCACTTGGGAATATTCGCGAGAGAGAACATTAATGTCGCGAGCTGTTATAGAGTTCCAGCGGGGAAGTGCATCTTGTTTGGCATTTGCGATTGCATTAACATGACCCTTGTCATTATTGACTTTGCCGTCCTTGTCGAACCATGTCATTGCGAGACACTAAGTAATCAATGAAGCGCCTATAAACAGGGCAGACAACATTGAAGATAGTTGATGCACCGGATCTCCATTGCTTTTCAGACTTCCGACGTTGCCTCCTGCTGCCCCATCATATTTGTCCAAGATCTGTGCGAATACCTCAGACGCGCCGCTCATATGCAAAATTCGGGAGATGCCTGCGTGTAGTGCGATGAAATGAGGGTTAGGTAATGGCAAGTCTCGTGTAGGGGCATCATGATTCCTGAAGGTGACGGTTTTACCGAGGAACTTGCGAGGGTGCATCCACGCCCTGCCCCCAACCTCCCTGACTACATACTCGTTTTCTCGCTGGAGCGCTGATCAATGCGAGGCATTGCGAGGATGCAAGACTGCAGGCTCACCTCCGTCTGCTCCAGGTATATTTTTAGCTTGTCAAAAATATTGTGGATGTTGGGCTCAAGCATCATGCCATTGGAAGGGTCGTCTACAAGCCTTTCCATGTTTTGAATAGTTTCTTCGGACATTCCTGAGTAATGCCGAATGATATTCCACGTTGCAGCCGCGGTATGTGCCTGCATGATTCAACTTGAGGTCAGAATTTATGATAACCTGGCAGAGAAATCCTTGCCCGGTCCATGGTGAAAACCCCGACAGCCCGTTTCAGGATGTGCGCTCCTATCAAGGGTACAAAACCCTGATCGACACCGGCGGGAACGTGTGGTCCATCCCAGATACCTGAAACAACGCATCTATAACCGTCCCGTCGATTAACCTGTTGGAAGTTAACACCAAAGCCGCTTTCTAACTGGTAGGACGTACGTCGGTCCTAAATCTGCTACTCCGTTCTGGACTGGCACTCACAAGGCTGCCATAGGTGTCGTCAATGCTAGAATTCAAGTCTGATGATTGGCGGGTTCCGGCTGTGACTACCAGTGAAAATTTGCGTTAGTGTCCGTGGCAGACATCTCGAAGTTCTAACTTACATGGCCAGAGCAGATACATGAACCAATTCCTCGCGAGATTGACTTGCTCGTGGATCTCAGGACATGCGCAAATAGCACATGCAGTATAACGCTCGGAGCTTTCGCCACCGGTCCTGTGAGCGTTCCTCAGCATCGCGTCTAGAACCCTGGATGCGTCAACGTCGTGCACACTTGGTGGAGTTGCAATCCATCTGCGTTGATTCGTCGCTAGCTGCTCTATTGTTTGTCGAGCCTGTCCCACGTAAGTCACAGTGGATACGGCAGCGTTTTGCATGTTGAAGTACACGTTCTCATTGAAGCTGATGACTGATTCAGGTTCGCTGGTAGTCTCGCTCAAGTCGCTGATGTCACTCGATCGCATTTCGTGAATGAGACATGTTAGAAAAGTTAGAACCATATTGGTAGTAAGATGTACTCGGGAAGTTCCGCCTGCGTCGGCAGAAAGCGCAGATTGAAAGTTATTACTCGCCCATGAGGTTGGGGATTTCATGTTGATCGGGTATATGCGTAGCTGCACTGGTCACACTGCCCCTCCCTGTACTACATAAGCCACAACCTCTCATCCACTCAACTCCGTCTGCGAGATGTTGCAGCAACTACGATGACATGCCATGCGTCAAGACTTCGCACAGACCGGCCATTTCCTACATGTCAATACAGATTACGCGGCTAAACATACTCTTGTAATCCTATCAACAACACACTCGTGAGAGGTTCCTGTCAGTACTAGTCTGACGCCCCTGGTAAGTACGGATATTCCTATCCTCAAACTGACCGACACGCGACACGACATTGGCAGTTTCTTCATGTCACCAATTGTATAAATCGTTCACACTTAAAACATCGCGCCTCATCGACATCCCTATCCGTACTTAATCCCACCGCTATGCTACAAGTTCAACGCAGTCCTCCACGAGGAGGGTGATGATGACCGGTGGTATCACTACGTGAACGTGTATGTACCATGTCACTGGTATATTAGTACTTGCCACCCGAGTGGCTTTCTATAGGTTCGTAGATCGAGACATGCGTCTGCGAACGGCTCGCACATGCGGTTTCCCAGACCCATCTCACCGTCAACGAGGTGAGCTCGATGTTTGCATTTCATTGTATCTGCTACTAATGACACACAAAGGTCATCCTCACACCATGACATCTCGCGGCGAGCCTCAAATCCCTGCCGCGCACAATCTTCCCGGCGGAGGAGATGGTACTTCCAGGTCAGTAGATTCCTCGTCCGAAACGCCGAACTTGTACGGCTTGCTGCTGCTGCACCCCCAAGGTATATGTGCATGTGGAACTGTTTTTATATCCTTCATTACTCCTTCCCTCGCAGCGCTCCCAATCCGGCTACCAGCACTCCAGCCTTGACTCTATCTACTCTACAAGCCTCGAATGTGGGCACAGCGCTAGTCAAGTACCGTAGGAGTCTGGGATTCGCACATCCACCGCGTCATGCTGTGCAGTCCTTTCGCAATTCTTTTACAACCGTTAGGCTAACATTGGGCTGCATTGAAAATGTGCCAGTACTCAATATTCAATGGCTGCCAAGGTCTCAGTCGCTCGCACAGTTCTCTACTTCTGCACAGATTTAAAATTCTCTGCGCACGGACAACTCTACACAGCTGGCATGTGCGCTGTCGCATAAATACCTATCAGACACCATAGCTCTTTTCGTCTTGTCCAAACGAAAATCAAGATTCCGAGACATACCGTAGGTCTTCGCTTGTTATTTTATATACCCAATTACTCTTCGTTCACATGTTTTACGCATTGACGATTCACTTTTTGTTGTCCGTCTCAACAGTATTCTTTTATTCAACCACTTGAGTCTCTTCTCTTGAGTCCCTAGACACATTCGAAAATGCCTTCAGGTGCCTATCACCTTCCCAACCTGCTCTGTGTGTCCCAATAAGACTGGAAATATCATCAGCCCTGCCTTTAGAGAAACAAAGGACAGTTACGAAGAGTGGGTCAGAGCAACCATTGGTTATCCTCTGCTAATTGTAAGTTCCACTGTCATATAGACGTAAGGTGTACTGTCTGGTCTTGTAAAGGAAGTCACCAGTGCGGAGATTCCACTGCTTGCAGCTCTTGCGCATCCAAAGGCCAGCTCCGAAGAATTAAGTGGGGTCCTGAATTACATGTCAATCCAGCTCATGTTTGAGAGGTTCACGTGGGTTACTGATGTCTTGACTCTCCTGACTGCATGGTACAGCAATCAATGTTCGAGCGAAGTGGCTAAGGCGACCTCCAAATTGTGGATTGATGTACTAAAAGATCCCCAAGCTGGCAAGAGTCACCATCACCTGTTCATTAAACTCATGGCTAAGTAAGCTTCATCATTATATATTTATACCATTCTTATGAGCATCCTAGCCAAATGGTGCCTTGCTTGAACGATGCTCTGGATCGGTATCACTGACCGGAATCCATACAGTCTAATGTCAAATTTGCAGAGAACGTCGTACAAGAAGCACTCGATCGTGAAGTATCGAAGGGCATTGCAGCAACCCGCTCTACTGCTTCATACATGGCTATGTGGAGAGAAAACATATTTGGCTGTGCTTTGTCTTGATGCGGTCTACCTGCAGGTTATACCTGCTAGAGCACGTCCTGCAACACCCTGTTGTATCTGAGATGGAGAATTATGCCGCTGACACGATATATATCACCAATGTATATCACCTCAGATGTATCAAAGTGTTGTTTATACTAACCAATTATTGGGTGCTTCAGGACATCTATTCCTTCAAAAAGGAGCAATGTAAAGACAGAGCTCTGCACAACATTATCACCATCATCCAGAACTACTCAGCATCTTGATTTTCAGGAAAGATTCCATCATGCAGGCAAACTGTTCTAGGCAGCCTTGAATCGCTTCAATGTCTGCAGAGATGCGGTTCCCAGCTTTGGTGACAGAGATATAAACAGGCACATTGTAGCATTCACGGATGGGATGATAGATTGGATCATTGGTGACATCAATTGGATCATCGCTACAAAGTCTTCATGAGTTGCAACTGACTTGATGCCAGACAAAACAATGTCCTCAGACTGTGTGATCGTTGCGAGGTTTCAACCTCTGCTCATCTTTACAAGCTGTTGTAATTGCCCTGTATTATTTCACTGGTTCTTGTGTCTAGAGTCAAAACTTGGAGATGTTGTGCTATGACACAATTGCCTAAAAGTCCACCTAGTAAAAAAGGAATCAGGTCAAAAGAGGTCAGAAGGTTCCAAATCATTACATACTTACCTCAGTGACAGTTCAACGTTCGAATGTTCAGATCTCATCCATAATGTAATGTTCATATTCCAACACCACCTGTCATGGGTAGCCTCAGCGTTCAGCCCCAGTAGAAGTCCACTATTCTGAGAATGGCTGAGGTTGCATGAAATCGTCTAAACCAAGCGACACAATCTCAACAGAAAAACGAGGCTAATAGCACATATGCAAATGTGCGTGATTGTGCATGATTGTCGCAGATTGTTTGGATGCAATATTTGCACGTCATCCTAGATTGTGCTTGATCTGCTGGTATTATACATTACAGGTAGCCGGATATAATAAAACATCCTGCCACCGTCCGTTCCAGCCCGTGCTCGTTCCAGCCCAGGCTCATCCTAGCCCGTTGGTATCAGGTCGGCAGCAATGGCCACTGGTGGATGTTACAGTGGCGCTATATTTTCTTTTCTCTTTCTTTCTTTACTTACTCATCAAGTCTCGTGACTGCTTATCAACACATCCAACATGTGAACGCTTACCTACATGCTTACTCATTATGCTTACGCAGATGATTACTCATACTGTCCCCTGATTGGTCGATCCAACATCGTACCATTTCTTATCTCCTTTTCTGATTGGTTGATATTCTCTTCCTATTCTCACTTACCTTTCTTGATAGGGTCATCTACCTACAGACCAGCCCTAAACCACCTTCTTGTTACATATATATATCACGTTTCCTGTACTTGTATTCCTTAACTTGAATCTACTAGGTTCTCTCCTGATACTTCGAGTTCACCGATCTAGCTGCCTTCCAAGCAGACTAGCCTGAATACTTGATCTAGCGAGCCCTTGACACTTGCCTAGCCTGAACCTTTGATCTTAGAACTCGCGATACACTTCAGCCTTGATCATCCTTTATTGGAACGCTGAAGAAGAACTATCCTAGTTGTAACAAAAGATTCAAGTTACCTCTAGTTGCCTTACTTCCAAGTAATGCTGAACCCCTTGAACCCCAGAACAGAGTAGCCCAACATTTCGAGGCAACAACAGAACGAACCTTCTCACAGTAATTGGAGAAGCAAGAACGAATCAGAAGAATCCTCAACATCAGAAGGATCAAGAACCCCTCAGACTGTACCATCCTCACCAGTTGTCCAACCTCAGAGTCCATCTTCAATCTCACCCGCCCTAGCAGCATTCTCCCTTTCCCCTCCACCTTCATTCACACCACTACCACCCAGAAGACTGACAATGTCGACAGCTACTAAAGACATCGAGTACAAGATCGGAACCTCTACCTTCAATGGAGACAGAAACAAAGCTAAATGATGGCTCCTCGCCACTATCGCCTATCTTGACATCAATGACAAGATCTACAATGATGACAAGAAGAAGATCATCTTTGCACTACCTCTCATGACTGAAGGAGTAGCCTCTACGTGGGCAGAGAGTTTCCTAGAGAAAGCCCAAGATCCGACCCACACCAACTCAACTGGACAACAGATTGGATATGGGAAATGGCCTGATTTTCTAAAAGACTTCAAGAAAGCCTTTGAACCCACCGCTGCAGTTGCTGATGCACTTAACAAGCTTAGGGCTTTGAAACAGGGGAACGATCTGGCCAAGTATATTGCTAACTTTGACCAATATGCAACTTGTGCAGGAATCACTGAAGATACCCCCAAGATTCAATTCTTCATCAATGGAGCCCACCCAGGACTCATCAAGAAGCTCTACAACACTGGAGTAATCCCTGAAGATTACGACAAGTTTGTCGAAAAATGTGTCACCCTCGACAATGCTCGGCTCCACTTCAATGCAATTAGTGTTCGCAATGGAAACACCTACCAGAAGAAGAAGAACTTTGGTCCTAGCCATTACACGCCCTCTAAAGATCCAAATGCCATGGAAGTAGATCGCTTATCTGAAGCTGACAGAAAAGAGTATATGAGAACAGGGAAATGCTTCCGCTGCGCCAAGACAGGACATTGTGCCAACGACCCTAACTTCCACCCCCAAGGAGATGACAAAAGAAACAATGGGAAAGTACTGGTAAGGCGTGAAGCGCCTGAAGAAGAAGACACTGAGGAAGAAGAAGAAGAAGAAGAAGAAGAAGAAGAAGAAGAAGAAGAAGAAGAAGAAGAAGAAGAAGAAGAAGCCACCCGCCGAATGGATTTTTAGAAGGAAGGACTGTTTTGACGTCAGTACCTTCCATTGATATATGCCTTGTACGAACTGTAGGAGAAAGAAAAGAATTTCAGGTACCGGCGACCCTGATCCTCACAGAGCGTGCGCAAACTGTCGAAACAACCATTGTCGTGGACTGCAGAGCAGCAGGAACATTCATCAGTTGGGACTTCGTCAAGGAACACAACATCCCCATCAAACAACTCTCTGAACCATTCCAGATCAAAACCGCCGATGGATCTTACTCTTCTGACGGACCAGTCTCCTTCTACTGTGTCCTTGGACTCAAGATCGATCAACGAACTATGATAGGAAAGTTCAATGTAACCAAACTTGGACGAAGGGATAAGATTCTCCTTGGAATACCTTGGTTATGGGCTATTAACCCTGACATTGATTGGACCAAGCAGACTATCTCCATCCCTGCAACACCTCACTCCAGGAAGATAGAACGATCCCTCAAGAAACAACAGAACAAGAAAACCCCTGAACCCGCCAAGAAACCATCCAAGAAAGCAACAGTAGAAGAAGTATGAGATGAATCTCTTCCCCCTCTAAACTCCGAAGAACCACTCCCCAATCTGATCCCTGATCCTGATGATGATGAAGAAATTGAGATGCCTGACTTTGACCAGAAGGAGGACGTATGGGTTACTGACCAATTTGCCCGAAAAGTAGAAGACGTCGCAACCTACCCTCTTTCCGATGATGAAATTCTCATAGAGTATGCACAAGATGGCACTACTATCCAAATCATCGAAAACCTCTCCTTCGACTCCCCACTTACTGCTGATGGAACCTCTGCTGCTGAAATCCGACGAGCAAGCACAACTGCCCCACTACGAAACTCCTGGATTCTTGCCACTTCAACAGAAGAAGAATACCACAAGACAAGTAACAAGGCGCAAGAGTTTGCCATGGCTGGAGAACAAGCAAAGAAGAAGAAGTCTTTTGAAGAATTAGTTCCTTCCTATCTCCATGATTTCGCTGACGTATTCGCCAAAGATGGGCTAAATAAACTTCCTCCATCTAGACCAGGAATTGACCATCACATTGAAACAAAGCCAGGATTCATCCCCAAATCATCCAAGATCTACCCCTTATCTGAAAAAGAACGAGAAGCAGTCAAGGCATTCCTAGATGAACACATCCAGAAAGAATTCATCACCGAATTGAAATCTCCCCAAGCCAGCGGTTTCTTCTTCGTGGGAAAGAAAGATGGATCCCTCCGACCCTGCCAAGATTATTGATACATCAATGAATGGACGATATGGAATGCCTACCCTCTCCCCTTGATTCCCCCGCTTATCGCCAAACTCCGAAATGCAAAGTACTTCACCAAAATGGACGTTTGTTCCGGATATAACAACATCCTGATTCACCCAGAAGATTGATGGAAGGCAGCATTCACAACAGAGTTTGGTCTCTACGAACCAAATGTCATGTTCTTCGGACTCTGCAACTCCCCAGCCACAGTTCCAAGCATACATGAATCGCACCTTCCAACAAGAACTCAATGAAGGATGGTTGGTAATCTATATGGACGACATCCTTATCTTCTCAGATTCCCTTGAAGAACATCAGAAGCGAACCCGTAGGATCCTGGAAATCCTAAGGAATGAGAAACTCTTCCTAAAACCAGAGAAGTGCCTTTTTGACGTACAAGAAGTTGACTATCTTGGAATGATCATTCAGTCCAGGACAGATAGTGATGGACCCCGCCAAATTAAAAGGGATTGAAGAATGGCCTATACCAAAGAACATAAAAGATGTTAGATCATTCCTAGGCTTCTGTAACTTCTATCGCCATTTCATCTCCCACTACTCCGACATCGCTAGGCCCCTTGTAGACCTGACAAAGAAGACTTCCACATTTGAATGGGCACCCTCCTGCAATGATGCCTTCAACAAACTCAAGGAATGCTTCCTTTCTACCCCTGTCCTTCGAAACCCTGATCCAACTCAGCAATTTGCCCTTGCCACTGATGCTTCCCTTGTCGCCACTGGCGCAGTACTTCTCCAAACTGACGAAAACGGAGTATACCACCCATGCGGGTACCTTTCCCAATCCTTCAACCCTGCAGAACGAAACTACCAGATCTATGACAGAGAACTCCTTGCCATCATCCGTGCCCTGAAGAACTGGTGCCACTACCTCGAAGGGAACCCACACCCTGTTATTATTTTCACCGATCACAAGAATCTCCTTTATTTCTGTTCTTCTCAGAAACTTACCCGTAGACAAGCCAGATGGCAACTGACACTTTCCGAATTTGACCTAGAATTTGACCATGTCCCTGGGAGCAAACTAGCCGCCCCAGATGCTCTTTCACGACGACCAGATCACCTTCCTGATTCCCTCGATAATACAGATATCACTCTTCTCCCTGATTCTCTTTTTGTTCGCCTTTTAGATACTGATTTCGAAAATGCCCTCCGTTCACCTGATCCTATCTCTGATCCGATCATATTAGCTGCCAGCAAGGCTCTAGACAGCCTCTGCCTTCCTCCTATGACTTCCTCCCTTTCCGATTGGTCCTTTACCGATAACATATTACGATACAAGAACTGCGCTTACGTACCTCCTCATCTCCGCTCCCGTATTCTTTCCCTTCACCATGATTACCCCACTGCAGGTCACCCGGGTCGCTTCAAAACCGAAGAACTCATCAAACACGATTACTGGTGGCCTCAGATGGGCTCCTTTATGCGAAAATACGTAGAGGGCTGTGCTATATGCCAGCAGATGAAATCCGATACCCACCCGACTACACCACCCCTGACACCGATTCCTTCCACTGCCATGCAACCATTTTCCCAGATCTCCGTGGATCTCATCACCAACCTCCCTGTTTCCTTTGACTTTGATTCCATCATGGTTGTGGTAGACCATGGTCTTATGAAGGGGGTAATTCTCGCTCCTTGCAAAAAAACCATCACTTCTGAAGGAGTCGCCCAACTTTTCTTCAAGAAAGTCTTCCTCCGATTTGGCCTACATGACAAACTCATCTCTGATCATGGCCCACAATTCGCATCGAAGTTCTCCAAAGAGCTTGGAAGACTCCTTGACTATGAAGTAGCCCTTTCTACTGCCTATCATCCCCAGACTGATGGACAAACTGAACAACTAAACCAAGAACTTGAAACTTACCTTCACATCTATTGTCGCTCAGCACCCACTGACTGGGTAAAGCACCTTCCCATGGCAGAATTTGTTCATAACCACCGAAAACATGATGCACACAATGCTTCCCCTTTCTTCCTCATGATGGGATATGAACCCCGAGGAATTCCTTATGCTTTCCCCCCAACCGACATCCCTGCATCAGAAGAACGAATCACTTATCTGCAAAAGATCTGAGAAGAAGCCCTTGCATGCCATAACATTGCCAGACAGCGAATGGCAGAACGCTCTCATGGAAAGAAGTATGAACCCTGGAAAATTGGGGATAAGGTTTGGCTCTCTGCCACACACCTCATGACTCACCTTCCATCAAAGAAGCTTGCTCCAAAGCGATATGGCCCCTTCCCGATCACCGCCGTCCTTTCCCCTATCACTTTCAAACTCCGTCTCCCAGAACAATGGAAGGTTCACCCCACATTCCATGCTTCTGAGTTATCATCCTATCAGGAAACCGAAATCCATGGTCCGAACTTCCCTGAACCACCACCTGACGTAATTAACGGCAAAGAAGAATATGAAGTGGACACTATTCTGGCTCACAAAGGACAAAAAGGAAGACACCGCTACCTCATGTCATGGAAAGGTTACTCATCCGCAGACAACATGTGGCTTCCAGAAGATGCCTTAGAAAATGCCCCTGAAATCCTGAAAACCTATAAGAAGCGACTCAAACTCTCTCGAATCCTCATCCCACAAAACCACTAAATCACTATGTCCACTTCATCCAGCTCCTCTTCTGCCTCTTCCCGTTGCAATCTTGAAAACTATGAACTCTTTGAACAACAAGAACATCAAGCCCTCTTTGATGCCACCCTCCTTAGCCGACAACATGCTCTTGAACTCGAGAAGGTTTTCGTCAACAGAAACGACCATATCTCTATGTACCTCCTTTCCATGTTCCTGTGATACCCATTCCATAGAAGAAGACATCATCCCCAACGTTGCCAGTGTTGACACCACTACTCGCCTTCACCTACCTTAATCGAAAGATTAGGAACACCATTCAGATTCTCTTCCCTAAAACTTTCAGAGACGACGTAGCAGTCGCAATCCACACCGTCGCTGAATGCCTTGCCACCACTACAAACACACCACCTTCCCCTCATATCCTCCCAGCCTTACCACCTACCACTCCATCCCCTATAGAAGAACCATCCCCTCGTAAAGCCACCAAAATGAGCACTGGACGAAAACGCCCTACCAAACAAACAACCATCATGACCATTGGTCTTACTCGTCCTACCCCCTGATATTATAAAGATCGTTGCTCATGGCCAGAAATCTGTACTCCTCCTCCAACAAACCCTGCAGTCCTTCCAATGACCCCACCATCGCCGACTCCCATTCCTAAAGAGGAGACCCCTAGTCCTCCCTTCGACAACATTGTTTGTCGTATATGCAAGGAACTCGGGCACCGTCACAAAAACTGCCCATCTTACAGGTGTAGAGTCTGCAGGACACTCTCTCCAGGACACCTTTCCCCATACTGTCCTTCTCTATGAGGAGAAACTATCAGTGCATTCAGAGGGATGACCAGCAGCACTGAAGGGTTCTACACCCATCTAGCCGAGTGGGAAGCACAAGAGGACATGGCGCAAGAAGAGGACTTACTCTCCTACAACGACATCGACGTAGACCCTGTCTACCTCAACGATGCAAGGCTTGACTAGGTTGCAGTCGGTGACTTCAACGATACGAAGGGGGTAATGTTACAGTGGCGCTATATTTTCTTTTCTCTTTCTTTCTTTACTTACTCATCAAGTCTCGTGACTGCTTATCAACACGTCCAACATGTGAACGCTTACCTACATGCTTACTCATTATGCTTACACAGATGATTACTCATACTGTCCCCTGATTGGTCGATCCAACATCGTACCATTTCTTATCTCCTTTTCTGATTGGTTGATATTCTCTTCCTATTCTCGCTTACCTTTCTTGATAGGGTCATCTACCTACAGACCGGCCCTAAACCACCTTCTTGTTACATATATATATCACGTTTCCTGTACTTGTATTCCTTAACTTGAATCTACTAGGTTCTCTCCTGATACTTCGAGTTCACCGATCTAGCTGCCTTCCAAGCAGACTAGCCTGAATACTTGATCTAGCGAGCCCTTGACACTTGCCTAGCCTGAACCTTTGATCTTAGAACTCGCGATACACTTCAGCCTTGATCATCCTTTATTGGAACGCTGAAGAAGAACTATCCTAGTCGTAACAGTGGATTGGCATTGGGTACTATGTCAGACCGAGTCGGCATATCTCCAGAGGGGGAAGGTTGAATCAATGGTAGTTGATTAGCATTAGTAGTCGGTTCAAGAGCAGTACTAGTAATATGGGTTAGTTCAAATTTTTGAATAACAGAATGTAATGAGCAGACTTACAGTGGGTTTGCGAATTTCAATGGCTGTGCATGGAACTACAAACAAGCATCTGAGCATGACATGACAGGATAGTAGAAACCAAAATGTATACTCTAGTGGGGGCCCTGGATGCAGGTGTCTCATTTGAGGAACTAGCAGGCTTAGTGATATTTGTGATTGAAACTTGTACATTGTCAGAATGGCCAGGCTCAGTTGTTGAATCAGCATGGATATATGCACATACCATCAGTCAAATAAGTGATATAACATACCTTGAGCATTCCTGAAGTCCTTCATATCAGAGTATATCTGTTACGGTGGCCAAAGAGCACAAAAAAGGACCTGTGGCATCAATGGTGTAAATTATGAGGGAAAAATATCTTCCAATTCAGCTGGAGTGAAAGATACCGCACTCACAAAGCAACCATCTGGTCAAATTGAAGCAAGTGGTTTGTCTCATGCAAGACTCGGATATCCTCAAGCTTTGTCCTCCGACCTGCCAGCTGGACCGTTTTTGAACCATAAAATCTGAGTAATGTTGTATTCTCAGTGAGTCCGAGGAATGAGGATGAACATAGAATGTTGTCTATGCGGCAGATGTCCTTTTTGGGACATCTCTTCTTTGCTTCATATTACTACTTGCAAGCTCTCAGTACTCAATGACTCTTAGTCATAGCACTCGTTCTTTTGCTTTCTTTTATACAACAACCTTAATCCACTTCCCTCTAATATGCCTTGCCTATCAAGTGACCCGAATCTAAATGTCTGTCCGAATTATGCAGATGATGCATTCTTCAACATGAGACTTCAACTCACCAATGAGAACATTACTGAAGCCCAAGCTATTATAATACTCAAAAATATATGGCAAGCAGAGAACATGGCAAAGAAGGCCCAATGGCAAGAACAAACAGAGGCCGACAGGGAACAACAAGAGCACATGGAGAGGCTCAATGATGAAGAGCAGGAAAGGCAAGAACAAAATTGCCACAATGAAGAGGAAGCAGCATGGAAAGAGGACAGGAAAAAGAACAAGTATAAGTACACTACAGTTCCTGACCTGGATGTGCCCTTGAAGACAGTAATCATTCCATCAGCGTACACCACTTGCAAACTTGACAAAGGAGATTATGTCAAACTATGGTATTTCACCAACGATGGTCTGGATGACGCAAAACTCAAGAGTTCGGTCGACAAAGACGCCATGGTCATGGCCACCTTAGACAGAGGAGATACAGCATGGGTATCAGTGGCATCAGCGCGAAACACAGGAGTGGTTATCAACGATCAGAACCTCACCTTCAAAGACTTCTGTCAGGCTTGTCCATGCATCATCAATGCAATGCAAGAGGCTTCATGGCCTGCAGACCATATAAAAATGATGGCCATGTTTTGGAGAAATTTACAGGTTCACAATTTTCGCTCAATGCGGGACCCCCAAGCACAGACAGCATTGCTTGTCTACCAGGCAGAGCAGAGGAAACGATGGCACATCACCGTCAAATCTGCGGGAGGTGCATATGATCTATCCCAAATCAACGAGGTACTCCTAGAGTGGACTAAATCTAACATCTATCTTGAAGAGCGTACGAGATCGGACAATAGGCGAGACTACAGGGTCAGTGTTTTCCTTCAAAATCACAAATGATCATACACTAACGACCTATATTCCTCCATACAAATATTCAAATCGAACAAACATCACCACATCCAATATGCTACACACTACAAACTACATACTACATGCCACACACTACGTGCCACATGCTACTCGCCACACACTACATGCTACATACTTTGCATCACAATATACATTTAAAAAAAAATCACACGCTTCACACTATGCTACACCACATCATAACAACGCGGCTACTCACAATCAGATGGATCAGAGGATCAACACTCTTGCAGCAGGTACTTCATCAAACCAAGACCACAGAAGCAGGGACAATAATCGTTTGACACGGGATTCCTGTTGTCGTTCAGCACCACCACGTCCAGGACAAGATTATTGTCATCGCTCAGCATCTCCCAAACCAAGCGGGTGTTTGCGATGGGATTTTCGGAGTGGCACAAGCAGAAATACCCTATCTGCTTGCGCAGTCTGCTTGGGAAGACATCTGCACAAGATCATCGAGTGCAAAGCAACCAGAACTTGGGACAATGCAGCGAATACTCTATGCACCCAAGTCGGAAAAATCCTCACCATGTGAGACGGTTGCACAATCTGCAGCAATTGGCAACAAGTCACAGGATGCAGTGAAACCACACACGACCGTCGACACTTCTGTTCCGGATGTGCTGCCTCCTCACATGGAGCACAAAAATGCTCTCAAGTGCAGAAAACATAGAGCCCTCACCCCATATGACCCTAATGCTTGGGAAATTTGCCTTATGCAAGCCAACCTTATTGATAGATATTCTCATATTCCTGAAGGACTCTGTCGAGGCTTTCATCTTAATTTTCCCATCATTAAAAACACTCAGGCTCCTCTGAACAAGGATTCTATTCTTGTATATATGAACGAATTCCAGTCTATCATCAAATCTGAAATCCAAAAAGAAAGATACATTGGACCTTGTACAGCAGCTGAAATCAAGACCCTCATTGGTCCTTTCCAATCATCACCCTTTTCAATCATTCCAAAACTGGGTCGACCAGGACATTTTCAGGTCATACAAGATTACTCATTTCCTCACGCACCTTCCATGAATTCCCTAATCCATCAATCAATTCATGTATCAACCCAGATGACTTTCCCAGTACCTGGGGAACATTCCATACGGTCGCTCTCATCATTAGCCGGTTACCACCAGGATCACAAATGGCTACAAGAGATGTATTGGAAGCATATTGCACAATCCCATTACATTACTCACAATGGCCAGCAGCAGTCATTCACATCGCAAAGGATCAATTCTGCATTGACACATGCATGTGTTTCAGAGTTTCACCCTCTGCAGGAGCATATGGTTGTCTCACAGACGCCAGACTGGATATTTTTAGATCTCAAGGCATTGGTCCCATGTCACAATAGGTTGACAACCATTTATTTTTTCGCATATGAAAGGAATTTCTTGACGGATATAATGAGCAATGGAGGCAGTGGCACAATGACATCATCAAAAGGGGTAGCCATCAAGACGGCAGCCACATATGGTTTGGTGGGCATGTTTTTGATGACGGGACAATTGAAGAGTTTGATGAAGATTGCAGATTTCCGATCCACGATTTGTTGGGAGACTCACCGCGATCACCAGAAGACAACATGTTCACCTGCAATTTTGATGACATTGATTGATCGTCTCATACCACACAGACTCCCTGGGAGCTTCAGAAGGATGCTTACTTCGCCTATACTAATCTGTACATTGGTCTTACTTGGGATCTCATAAGTAATTTGGTATATCTGGCAGAGGAGAAGAAGTCAAAGTATCTTCTCGCAGTACAAGATTGGAAAAATCATGCCACGCACGTGCTTAACAACACACAAAAGCTACATGGCAAACTTCTACACATTTCCTTGGTCTATCTATGAGGTAGAGCATACCTCACAAGCCTTGAGGTCATGCTGCAGGTTTGTCATAATCGTCTGTTCTTACCTCATAGGCCGGTTAAAGGCCTGGCAGAGGATCTTGAGTGGTGGACAAACATTTTACAGAGCACCTTTGTTGAACGAAATATTCCAAAACCACTTGCACTTCACGACCCAGCAGCATTCTCAGATGCCAGCTCTGGTGTCAGAATCGGGATTATCATTGGAAAGCAGTGGAGAGTGTGGAAATTATACCCAGGGTGGTTGACACTTGATGGACAAAGGGATATTGGATGGGCTGAAACAATTGGCTTTGAACTTCTCATTTGATACATTATCGCCTTGGATAGACCAGAACAGCACTTCCACGTCTATGGAGACAACCAAGGGGTCATTGAAGGTGTTAAGGTCGTGCTCAAGGGAGAGGTTGCTCAAAGGGCTTCGGCTTCAGCTCGTGCGCTGTGCCCCTTACCCAAGTACGTGCCCTTTAATTTCTGGGGGACAGAGGGGAAGTCTGGGGAGTTCCAGAGGACTAGTGTCAGTGGAGTTCGGCGGAACTCTGGAAGGCTTATGTGGGGACAGAGTAAGGCTACTACGGAAGTCCGGAGTAGAAACAGAACAGAGGTTAGACTACCCTAAGGCAGAGCCGGAGAGTTAGTCCTAAGGTTTAACCCCTAAGACTCGGAGGTGGACAAGAGATGAGACTCAAGTCCAGAGATTGCAGGAATGAGCAGAACTAAGATGATATTCGAACTGAGGAGTTCCGGAGTATTACAGGGGTTTATATACTGTAGGTATCATGTAAGTAAATCAGTCAGCAAAGGTAGGGGCTATGTACGAAGCATGTGGAAAGTCTATTAGTAAGTGTAACGGATCAAAGCAGTGAAGTCGGAAATGAAGTAAGAATGGACGGATCAGTAAGCATAGCAGAATAGGACATAACCGGTGACCAGAGCAATAGCTAATCTAAAAGGAGTTAGGGGTGAGTGTGGAGATGAAGGTGGAGCGCCGGGTGGAATAGCAGGATGGAGGACTGGACTTTAATGAAGTGGATCCGGAAGTACGGGATATGACAGAAGGCTGGAAGAACAGACATAGTCGCAATGCGGCCGTTAACCAAGTCTTTCAGCGAACCTTCAAATTTCTATCCAGCTTACCAGCTACACACTCTTTTCACCCAACATACATCACCAGCAGCTCCAATCCAGCCGATCCACCTTCCCGAGGTATCTATGGTGACCCGAACTTGCTCCTCACACCCATCCCCATTCCCCATCCACTCTGCCGTTTCATCTATGATCCCTTTGATTTCACACCGAACAAACTACCATATTCCTGAAGGCATGATACCCGCGGCTCATCTACTTTCCAACATTCCATTGTTAGCACAGGATGATGTCTCAGGTCACAATATGGGATCCGAATAGCAAAAGCAGAGAGATCATACTCGTTTCACGACCCCACTCACAGCTACAGTCCCACTATCAAAGCCGCCTCTATACAAGGCAGGGCTAACTCCAGCAGTGTCCCCATTATGTCCGCACTGCTTGGCTCGTGACCAACTTAAACTGTGGTACCCAATTGAAAGTCGATCATTCTGGAGTGCAGATGGAAATATTCTCACCATCACAGATCAAGACCTTCAACAGGTGCTAATGGTGATGAACTCATCCTGGGCACAGAGCACCAGAGAGTCATATGGAGCTGGTTTATTGGTTTTTCACGTCTTTTGCAATATGCAAGGAATTCCAGAACATGAGCAATGTCCCACTGATACCATCACAATTCTCACCTTCATCACAAGTTGTGCCAGCGCATATGTGGGAAAGACTTTGACCAATTACATCTTCGGTATTCGGGCATGGCATGTTCTTCTTGGGCAAGCATGGAAGGTAGAACAGGGAGAGTTGAAATCAGTGCTGGATGGAGCAGCTAACAAAGCTCTGGCTGGATCCAAATGTTCAAAGAGAGAACCACTCGTAATCACATCCATCATAAAAATTTGGACTCACCTCAACCTAGAATCACCTCTCAACACTGCCATCTTCGCGTGCCTAACTAGTTCCTTTTATTCACTCGCGCGGCTTGGAGAATTAACCGTCAAATCAATCAAGGCCTTTACACCAGAGCACCACGTCAAACAAGGAGACGCACAATTAGATGGTGAAGACCATCATGGCTTGCGAGTAACCAAGATACGCATACCGCGCACAAAGACTTCCTTAACTGGTGAAGACATTTACTGGGCAGAACAATCAGATGCATCGGATCCCAAAGTGGCACTTATTAACCACTTCGCAATCAATAATCCCTCACCCGAACATCATCTATATTCGCATGGAAGCACCGCAATGGCATGCGTCCCCTCACACGGAGCGCATTCTTAAAGAGAATCAGCATAATCGCCAAACAAGGAGGGTGCCCAGAGTTGAAGGGTCATAGTATCCGAATTGGAGGAACACTGGAATACTTGCTGCGGGGAATTCCATTTGATGTCATCAAATCAATGGGACGATGGTCGAGTGAAGCCTTCACCATTTATCTATGTGATCACGCTATGATAATGGTGCCATACTTGCAAGACACCCCAATCATTGAACCCTTCACTCGTTACACCATGCCACAACTGCGATAATTTTAAGGTGTGTCTCGCCCCGCTCCTTATAACATGGAGTTCAAGCTGCGCCTGACGCGTCGCTGGGCTCCTTATGTGTTTGGGAATCATGGCTCATCTTGACCTCTTAGGTTCGGAGCGGTGTTTCTGGCCGAAAACCCCTGCAGGGCTTTGCCCAAATACTTACATGCAACTCTCACTTTCGTTACTCGTAGATCAGATCTTATTCGCGTCGCAATTGATCTGATATTTCTTCTCTAACCAGAAAGATAACAGAACGCATAGATTATCAATAAGATGTGTGAATGTGGGAAGACAGTACCAAAACACAGTGAATGTCCATCCAGCATTATGTAAGCAACACCCTCGAGGTCATCGCACCTGGCATCGACGGAGGCTAGGTCTATGTGATGTGTTGCATGCAGCATGCAATCATTGCAATGTGTGCAGTAACGGATAGGGATAAACAACTTCGCACAATCTGAGACTATTGCTATTGTTAGCACTACTATTGCCAGCCAATCTCAAGCAATCTCAACCTCGTCGCAAAATTTCGCACAACCTCGCACAATCTCAGCTATTCTCAGAACAGTGGACTTCTACTGGGGTTCAGCGCTCAGTTGCGAACTTCAAGCTTTTCATTACCTCAAGTGCACTACCTGACCTTCCCATTCACATCTCCTCGCTTCTCCCCTCTGCAAAACATCCACCCGCTGCTCGTCTTTTCATTCCCGCCCAGTACTTATGAACCATGACGAACATATTTTGGCGCTGGAAGGTATGTACGACTCCATCATCCTTCCTGTTACCCATATTCCCGCACGCACGCAGTCATCAATGGCACGAACCTCATCATACCATCTCACCGCGTCCCCGCTGGCCTTTATGTGCTAGTCTCCACCTCCTCTGGCCAGTGGCACACCGCCATTAAGGCCCTGAAGGCAGACTGCAGCGTTGCTTGGAATGAGATCTTGGTCATATGTGCACGCCCACCGAAGTCTTCTTGGTGGCCCATGTCCTTCTTCTCCGGCACCTCAACAGCAGTCCATTTCGAAATTCGTGCCTCGTTTGAATTTGGGCGAACACTCGGTCGAGGCCAGCTTGTTGGTACGGTTGAGACGACTTTAGAAAAGTTGCTCGAGCACGACGAACAGTTCGGTGAGTACTCGATTTACGCGGTGTTACTGTCTTTGACTGTGATTCAGAGGCGTTGTTCCATGCTATCGATAATCAGCAATCATCACTTTTGTTGAGAACGCGACGTACGGAGACGCCACAGCTCAATGGCCACACTACGGACAGTTCTCTGAAGGTACATCATCGACCTTGTAACCATTACTAATTGTTCTCACCTCTTCTCGTTTGCAGAGTGAGGTCGGTTGTGTCACTGATGCAGCACACGAGGCGTACGCTCTCTACTCGAAGAGCAACTGTCGGAACGACCTCGATCGCGCTATTCGAGGCTTCCGGACAGTGCTTGAACAATGTCCCGATGTCCATCCGGACCGTGCCGCAGCGCTCTCCAACTTGGCTCATGCCATCAAGAACATTGGAACTGATATTGACCATGCCATTTCCCTCTTCCGCTCTGCGCTCGCAATCCGTCCCAGAGGGCACCCCGATCATCCGCTATCCATCATCAACCTTTGTGAGGCTCTTCGCCAACGTCACCTAAGGCGACATGATTCTGCCGATGTTCGCGAGGTCGCGGAGCTTTACAGCTCTCTACTACCACTTTGTGTCGAGGGCAGCTATCTTCATCGAGTAGTACTCGACGCCAACGGCGTACAATACGTCATCGACGAGTGCAATGCACTTCCGTGCAGCCCCATGGAGGAGAGCATATTGCTTCGGCGTATTATTCTCGAGCTTTGTCCGCCAGGGCATCATGTCGCGCATGGTCACTTAGCAGTCTAGCCGCAGACCTTTGTGAACGCTTTCGTCAAAATGGAGATATTGATGATATTGATAGGGCTGTTCAACTGTCACGCGACGCACTGGCTATTTGTCCTGTCAAAGCTGGATGTGGCTCCTTTCTCGGTGTATTATGCTACGCCCTCAAGCTCCGCTTTGATCACCACGGCGATCCTAGCGACCTTGATGAGAGCATACCACTATATCGCGCAGCACTCGATCTGTGTCCTCCATTTGATCCAGCTCGTTGGACATCTCTCAACAACCTTGCAGAGGCACTGAATGCCCGCTATAACAAATGCAGCCACGTCTGGGACTTTGAAGAAGCCATCCGCCTCCACCAAGAGGCACTCGCCCTGCGTCCCAGAGGGCGTCCCAGGCGCGACCACACTTTAAATAACATCGCAGCTGCTCATTATACACACTTTCGAAAATCAGAAGACATCAGCGCTCTTGATGACGCCATCAGCTTCTATCGAGAGGCGCTCGAGTTGCGACCTCCGGGTAACCAATGGCATTGTCAAGCCTTGTTGAATCTGGCATCTGCGTTGCAGGAACGCTTTACGCAAACCCGGTACGGCGAGCACATCGAAGAGGCGATCAGACGTTGTCAAGAAGCCCTGGAGTCATTGCCCTTCAATCACCCGGAGTGCTATTTCTGCTATGTGTCGCTTCAAGAAGCTTACACGGCTCGCTTTAATGTCCAATGTCACCCTGATGACCTTGCAAGCGCATTCAAAAACTGTAGACTGGCCGTGAATCTTAGAACGCAAGATTTTCCTCGGCGCATAGAGCAAGTATTTCAATGGATTGAAGATGCTGAGAAGTACAATCATGAGTCGGCATTGGAGGCTTATCAAACATCGCTGCGCCTACTTGATGTTTACCTCTCAACACGATCTTCGGTAACATCACGTCGCGAGGCTGCCTCGCAGTTGCGGCTGGGCCCAGCTCTTTCGGGAAATGCAGCTTCTTCTGCTATCCGTCGTGGAGAATTGGTAACAGCTGTTGAGCTCCTGGAACGTGGGAGAGCGCTGCTATGGTTCCAAGTCTCTCGCCTTCGCACACCGCCAGATCAGTTGCGCATAGCCCGTCCACTCCTTGCAGATCGGTTCGTAGTTCTGAGTGAACAGCTCTCCGCGGCCATTCATACGCGTGGTTCTGTTTTCGATGCTGCCGATAGTGCAGCGGCGAACCGTGCGATGCAGCAGTATGAGAGGCTCTTGACGCAATGGGAAGTTGTGGTAGCGCAGATTCGGGGGATCGGCGGCTTCTCGCGGTTCCTCATTCCACCATCCTACGATGATGCACGGCTAGCAGCACAGCATGGTCCAATCATCCTCCTGATCGCTAGTGAACATTCGTGCCATTCACTAATAATCACGCATGACGCAGAGCAGCCATGCCATGTTCCCTTGTCTATCACTCTCGCAGATGTCAAGTCTCTCAGCGAAGACTTCTCGCACGCGATACGAAATGCGGCTAATATGGACCCAACAGAGTCAAGGATAGCGCTGATAGCAGTGTTGCGCGAGGTATGGGATGAAGGTCATGCTACCCATCGTCAACGTGCTCCGTCATGATCTGAAACTGCGTCCCCGCTCTCGAATATGGCTGTGTCCCTACAGCAGCCTTCATGTCCCTTCCTCTCCGTGCAGGTCGCCTGGAGAATATCTACGTCTGCTCTTACACGCCGACACTTTCGGCTCTGATCAGAGCTCGACAGACGATGAAGAACCAAATAGCCCCCTCCTTCGTGGCGATTGGACACAGCAAATCCGAACATGGTGTCGGGCCCAGTGCTCGAGGGTGTCGACAGGGAGCTCGAGATTGTTTATGAACTCGTTCCATCGGAGACCAACGGCCACCATTTTGCATAGCAACGAAGCCACTAAATCAGGCGTACTTGAAGCTTTGCGACACAACACCTGGGTGCATCCTCGCTTGCCATTGTATCCAGGATCGCAAGCAGCCTTATAATGCACACTTCCGTCATGAGAGATAAACCAATCACGCTGCTTGATATCATGGAGAACAATACTCCCCAAGCTGAATTCGCATTCTTATCTTCGTGCGACACCGCCGTCGGTGATAAGCAGACCCCCGATGAAGCCATCCTACTTCGCAGCTGGTCTACTTTTTTCCGGGTTCAAGAGCTGTCATCGGCACTCTGTCGGTGGTCGATGATGACAGTCAGTAATCACGAGGTTGTCCAAGCTTTCTACAGAGATATGTTCACGGACGGTGTCATGGATTGTACGAGGGCCGCCTCGGCACTCAACAAGGCCACTCGTGCTGTTAAGCAGCGAAGTGCCACTCGAGCAGAGGATCGCTTTTCATTCACATTGGTGTGTAGTATCATACATCCAGCCGCATTGTGTGTATCTTATATCGTTATCTTTGGATTCTCTTTCACTACTTGATGTAAAATTACCCTGATACTCTTATACTGCAATCTTGAGAACATAGTGTCGCCATACTATTTACCTTATGTATCGTGACAGGATTATAGCCCTTTATAGAAAGAGGGACAACTACTTTGCTTCTAAGAGTACTACTTTGCTTCTAAGAGTACTACTTTGCTTCTAAGAGGAGAGACCAAGAAAAGTCGCAGCCATGCCTATGTTAACGTCTATCAGGACATCGAATGGAAAGATCGAGATCATTGATCAATTGCTCTTGCCACACACGACAAAGTACGTAGAGATCACATCCATCGAAGAAGCCCATGATGCTATCAAGGACATGAAGGTCAGACAGGAAATCCATGGATCCTTGCTCGCAATTTTCTTATAACAGTAGATTCGTGGTGCTCCGGCCATTGCATCGTTGGCATCACTAGCTTTTGCTGCTTACATTCAAACTGGTCTCGACGCCGCTCCACAACCAGCCTTCCTCCTGTCACCCGAATCACTTTCCGCCAATGTGATCCACAAGCTTGACTATATCTTTTGCGCTCGTCCTACAGCCGTTAATCTAGGTGCAGCAATTCGCCGCCTAAAAGCGGTTCTTCAGTCCTCTGCAGATGCTGGAAAGTCCGTTGGATTAATCGCGGCAGACTTGATCAGCGAAGGAAAGCTCATAGCAGATGAGGATTTCGACCGCAATAAAAGAATGGCGGAGCACGGCGGTGAATGGCTTGCAGAACTCGACAGGGGATCTGGAGGCAGTGGCCAAGACCTTAATGTCCTCACAGTGTGTAACACAGGATCCCTTGCGACATCGGTATGGCATCTTAGTCTAATGTATCCATTTTTGATACTGATCAATGTGTCATAGGGTTACGGTACAGCACTGGGGTTGATTACCTATCTTCATGAACAAAAGAAGTTAGGCAAAGCATACTATACCCAAACTGCACCATACCACCAAGGGTCCCGGTGAGGTCACCGTTCCGTTACCGTCGATCGTTGACAGCTTTGGCTGAGATCGCGCATCACAGCCTCACAGCGCTAGAGCTCAAGACCATGCAGATCCCCTCTGTAATGATCTGTGACACAATGGTTGGTTCTTTATTCCAGCACCATAAAATACATGCCGTTGGTAAGAACCATTTGAATGCTCCCTGCGATTGCCTGATTTAGGTTGCCCTACCTGCAGCCGTTGGTGCCGATCGGATAGCGAGGAACGGTGACACCGCGAACAAAGTACGTTATCCCTGTTAGCCAGATTCAGAGTTTGAGGTTATTCTTGTTCATGCAGATCGGGACTTACAATGCAGCCGTACTTGCAGCACGGCATAAGATCCCATTCATTGTTGTTGCCCCGATTAGCACTGTCGATCTCGATACCCCGGACGGCTCAAGCATTCCGATCGAGCACCGCAAGCCACTCGAAGCTTGCCTCGTGCGCGGGGCTGTTCATCCCTTTGACTATGATGCCGAGGGCAAGGTTAGGCAGGAGACTGTTATGATCACTCCGAGTGGGCTCGAGGGGATTTACAATCCAAGCTTCGATGTTACCCCCGCTGAACTCATTACCGCGATTGTCACAGAGAAGGGTGTGGCAACCAGGAAAGAGGGCGAGACTAGTTTCGATCTAAGTGGAGTTGTATGATCTCCTCATGGGAACTATAACGTGATTTTCAACTAGAAGCAGAATCTACATGTACTCACATAACAGTTCAGAACTTCAGCTAGAAATTTACCCAGGTGCTGCATAGCTGTGTCTCAGATACTCAGTCGTAAGGTTGACCAATGACTTCGGATGATTCAGAAAGCACCAATGAGATCACTTGGATATTCTAAAAAATGACAGTCCTGTAAATCAGTCTGGACGTTTGCTTTCAATTGTACGATTCAACGAAGAATTTAAATCATTATGGGCCAATCGAAGCTCATCCAGAGCCCGTCTAACGTTCCAGGTGTACTAATTACTTACATGATTTCAAGGCTCACTGTAATAACCTTTTTACCGAACGCCGCGGGACAGACTAAGAAGCATCCGTCACTCATGAGACGACTTTCAAAGCATGGCTGCAGAACATGACAAGAGCCGGCTAGTCGGACATGAGTGACACGCGGATATACTTAGTCTACTCCAAAGTCCAATTCCAATCAAATCAAACTTTTGAATGGAACAGAACTTTACAGTAACAACCTACAACGACGTTGTATGTATAGGGCGAGGCCAGTGGGACGACAAAGAAGACGGATGCACGAGTGTGGGTCCATGATGTTGACAAAGTTCAAACCCCCACGTGGTTACGGCATTATTAAGTAATTTGACAGCACAAATTGGTTGTACGCCAAATAAGGTAGGTGCTGTTAATTCGGGAATCACATGAAAGGGGATTTCCTGCTAGTCCATGCTTGTCCCACCCCCCTCCTTATTCGCTCGCAACTCATCATGATCGATTATCTTCTAGGCAGGCCAAGTCCTTCATGGAAGCGCACTCAGGTAGCTATTACTATACACTGGTGCATTCTTTGTTGACTGGTGAATACAAGGTCTTTCTTGTCATCATCTTTTGGATTTGGAGGCTCGTGCACGGCAGTCCCAATGCTCCACGTCTTCTATGGCTCAGAAAAGTCAACAGACGTTTACGTGAGTGGAGCGCACTCACGCTTATCTATTCGAAGTTTATATTGCCTCCTAGAGCATTTCTCGCCTTGGCAAATTATCGTTAGTACAATGACTGCATTGTACGCTGCTCGGAATTTGGACAAGATTCTTGGTTTTGGAGGTAAGTTCAGGGAGTATCGTCAATTTTTTTTGTATGGCGTCTGAGCACACTTCGCAGCACCGGAACCTCTGGCTCGTTTGGTGAGTTCCGTCCGTCGTTGATGTGTGAGACATTGTCATAACCATCGGAATTTAGTACTCGCCCTCATATTACCGTGCAACATGGATTGCAATTGGCCTTGATGCTGGATTTGCTACGGCCATGTCCATACGCCCTAAATGGCTTAAAGATATCTGCTCTATCTTATTCTCCGTCTATTATATCATCTATGCGAATGAAGCTGATGAAAAGGTATACAATTTGTGCATGCTAATCTCAGTACTATTCACAGAACATGCCTGTAGATCCGTAGGTTCAGAGCTGTTCCGACCGTCGAAATGCTCAGAATTACCTGGGAGAAGACGACCAACCCATATGTAAGATATGTCGTATTCAGCTTTGGGCTTTGTATTAAAAACCCTGGCAGCTTCGTTTAATTGCGCTGACCCCGCCAATGTCTCTGTGTCGGAAATTTTTGCTTCCGAGGCCTCCCACATCGACATACGACCGTCCTTTAAAGGTGCACGTCTACTTTGCGCCACCTGCACCCCAGCTTCAGCAAGCCACAGATCTCATACTTGATTTCCCTGGTGGCGGATTTGTCGCGATGACCCCGGAGCATCACGACGAGCGATTGCGCTCGTGGGCGCTGCGAACGGGCAAACCAGTGCTCTCCGTCGACTACGGAAAGGCACCAGAATGTAATATCAGACTCATGTGCCTTGTCCCTCATTTGCTAACCGGCGTATTAGATCCATACCCTTTCGCGATTGATGAATGCTTCGATGTTTATCAAGCGATCTGCACGTCTGCTGGACGATGCATTGGCATGTCTGGTAAGAAGCTTAACATTATATTGACCGGAGACTCTGCGTACGTCATTCTTGTGTGGTTGCACATATACCGCCCATTCATCGTAATTCTAGCGGAGCAACACTTGTTGTGGGCGTTATGGTCAAAATTTTACAGCACAACGCCACGCTTCCTGCTTCTACAGTACCTCTTCCCGCACCTGTCGCACTTGTCCTGAGCTATGCCGCGCTAGACTTCAATTTTACCTCTTGGATGTCCCCTGAGAACCTCCAAGTCTTGCGCTCGGAGCAGTCCTCGGGCAATCTTCCCGGTATCCACGAGCTGGCATCACAGAAAGATCATCTGCAACACGTCAGCCCACTCAGCATGGTGGGGGACCGCAAACATGGGTCCGGTAGACGGAAATTACATAGACGCAGGAGCTGGAAAGATGCGCTCCTTGATTTCACAGGGGTAGACGCTGACACGAAGCCGGTACCAGAACGGCACCATTCGACCTTGGGAATGAAGAAAAAGAGTTCCGTGGTATCATTTGGGACACGCGCTAGGAAAGACGGTGCACAAACCAAGCCAGCGCGGCACGACGATAGTGGTTTTTGGGCGGGCTCCGAAAGCGATGAAGATGAGCCCATGAGGGAGGAGGACCGGCCACTTGAGGAGCGCGTGCGCTATGTGTACCCGGAATGCGATGGTGCACGTTTGCACCAGACGCTCGAGAAACAGCAAGAGCAACTCTCAGCGGCTGTGGCGGAGGCTGATATTAAAGCATCGTCCATCAAGGGCGGGGACAAGAAGCGGGAACCGATTGGTACCCGATTGACGATGACTAGCCGCACAGGATATTTCCAGGACAGAGTCATACCTCCGAGTATGGTATGTACCGGATCAGTTCTTGGTCCCCAATTGGTGCTCATTGACTCCACAGATGCGCGCTATGGCCATCCTCTATATTGGTCCCCACCACAATCCGGATTTTGCCACTGATTACTTCATCTCGCCGATCCTTACACCTTCGAATCTCTTAGCGCAATTCCCCCCTCTTTTGATGCAATGCGGTGAAAAGGATCCGTTCGTGGACGACACGGTCATTTTTGCGGGACGTGTCCGTGAGGCCAAACGTGCGCGTAAAATTGAACTCGAACTTGCACTTTCTGGCAAGAGCGCCCGGTTTGGGGAAATGCTCCAAATGAGCACCGCGCACTTTGAGAATACAGAGGGGATTGAGAAGTTGAGGAAAGAGAGGGACCAACTTGCTAAAGAAACTGAGGACGACTGGGTGCAGATGGTGCTATTCTCTGATTGGAGCCACGGGTACCTGCAGATGATGTCCCTTATGAGCGAGGCACGGGCTGTGGTTGAGGACCTGGCCGACTGGATGGATGATGCGTTTGTGAGGTACAGTGGTAAAGAGAGCAGCAGCTCTAGGGCCGAGCTGAAACTTGTTGATACTCCTGGAACGAAGAAGACCCGGTCACGCAGGAATTCGCCGCAATCGTCGTCTCACTCGCCGAAACGCGTCAATGGGGATGCGGATGCCGTGAATGGGAAGGATGGTAGTCCCAGCCCGTTTACATCTGAAACGGAGACGGAGGACTCGGGCATTACGTTTGTGGCTCGCAAGCGGCTTACTATGACGCAGGGGAGCTCAGTGAATTCGACGCCTCCGATGAATTCGCGGAGGGGCTCTGGGGAGCTTACTGAGACGGTGTTGCAAACACTGAAGACGGGGCAGAAGCAAACTGAAACGGTCACGACGACGCCTCAGAGCAGTACGCCTCGTGGAGGGAACGTGAAGATAGGACAAAGGATCACGGAGTCTGAATTAATGAGGCGGAGGAGGTTGTTGGATGCACATATATTTGAAGGACAAGGTAGTTCGTGAGGGTTGCACGTTCTACAAAGTGAGTGAAATGTACACTGGATATAGTAATATAATGTATTGTAGCTATAGTTAGTAGTGTGTAGTTGGATACGATTCGCACCGAAAAGTCTGACTCGTCCTAGTATGAGAATACACGATGCGGTTACCGTACCCATCAAAAGTCTGGATTCTAAATATGGTACACGGTGGGAGGTCATGGACGTACATGGGAACTAACAACGTGAAGATGGATCTGATGGCCAGAGAGACTTTAGTTTGATGCAGTGACCGGGAGTTACGGATTTTGTGGAAGATCGGAAGTTGGTTAAGGAAAAGATAGGAATAGGCTAAAAGCTGTATGGTAGTGGCAATGACGTGATGAATGACTGCGGCCGTTGAAGTGGTTGACCGGAAACCGGAGAGCGGAACGGGCCGTGAGAAATTACGGGAGTGTATAGCATTGCGGTGCTGCGGCACAGCAGTCTAAATTGAGACACAGCCACCTTTGTGGACGCGGATGTTGTGAATAAGATTCGTTTTGTAGGTGAAATCGTTGTTCTTCTAGCTTAGCGCTAATAGGTTTGAACCGGGTTATCGGTTTTACTAGGTTAACGGTATACTTGGGGGACTTGGGCTGTGTAACTCTTTTTTTTTCAGTTCCTTACAAAAGGCGCCAGTAGGAGCGCGCTCCATATCCAGCATCCGCTCCCCACCCAGTTGATCCTGAAAAGTCTTCTCTTGAGAACTTCCTTTGATCTTTCAAGACTCAAATCAAAGAAGCCGCTTTCAATTCCCTCGCCTAAATAATAAAAAGGGCATATCCATCCATCAATCATGAACCTC